TACAGGAAAGCAAGACTTCTAGTAAAAAGACAGAAAACTGAACAGCTGAAAACAGTGCTGAAGTGATTTGTAAACTTTCCTTCCATCTATGGTGACAAGCAAGACTGTAACAGCAGGTTCTAGAATGCCTGCTTGCTCTTTCAACTCCCTACACACAGCAGGTAAAGTGGAGCATTCAGGAATTACAATACGAATCAGCACATGACCACATAATACTTCTTAGTGTCCTATGAGAATGAGTATATAAAATGACTAACTTATTTTAAAATCAGTTATGTACATTATAGCCACACAATTTAACTATACCATGTCTAACTCAGAAGACAGATGAAGTGATAACAATGATAATTTAAAAAGTCAGACAAGATAGCCAGAACGGATGGTGTCCTTGGATGCATACACATCCACTTCCTGTGTCTTAGCCTCCAACATTCCCCTCCCACCACATGGCTCCTCTGTCTGCCTTGTTCTTCAGGTTTCCATGGAGGAGTCAAAACTGTACAACTGTGCATATCTAAAAGATCTCTATAGCTGAAGTTCAATGGGGCAATATTACTATCTTAAAGGAGCCAACAATTCCCCACGTGGCCCTGTCTGCCACCCAAAACAATTCACATAAAAGCAGTAGGAGAAAAAGCGTTAAAAGAAGCATAAAGTGTTCTGGAATGTTCATTGGATACTCAAAGAAAATACACAACTGTTAAGGTTAAATTGTTCAATAACTACACTGTCATTAACATGGACTTTCATATGAATAAGAGCAAAACATGAATGCTTCTACCTGAGGGAGCTGTTGTTGGGGTTTTTAAGGTCTTGGTGAAGTCTAATCACCCATTCCTGATACTCTTGTTTTTGGATGGCCGTTGACTGTTTTAACTCATTCGACCATTTGTTCTCTAAGTCCTAAAAGAGACAGCATGACAAATGATGAATGTTTCACAAAACTAAGCAAACACACAAAAACGCAATCATGCATCTACAAGTCACTGTATTTCACTTACTTGCTGGGATTCAAAATGCTGAGCAGCCAGCGAATTTACATCTTGATCCGTCAGAGATTTTCCCAATTCCTGCATCACCTTCTCCATTTCAATTCCCTGTCTGAAACATAAGTAATCAGATGTATTCACCAAGCTTTCAAAGCCCAGGGCCACTTCACAGCCATTGAACAATCTCTACAAAGTGAAAATAAAAACACTTATCTTACATGCATTACATGCTGGAATGGAAAATACAATAGCCTGAAATCACTTGGAATCCTTGAGAGTGGAGATAAAGCAATAACAACGATAATGTCACGGAATATTAACAGTTGTACAGAATTTTTTTAAAAAGGTTTTATTTATTTGAAAGGCAGAGTTAGAAACTTTCCATCTGCTGTTTCAGCTTCCCAAATGGCGACAACGGTCAAGGCTGGGCCAGGCGCGAGCCAGGAGCCTGGAGCTTCCATGCGGGCAGCAGGCCTTCCCTGCGGGCAGCAGGGCCCTTTGTACCAGGGGCCGTGTTCTGCTGCCTTCTCAAGTGCACTAGCAGCAGGCTGCATCAAAGGCAAAGCAATGGGGACTTGAACCTGCGCACACATGGGATGCTACCCTTGTCATACCAACATGCTGGCCCCTGTACAGCTGAATCTCAATCTAAATTGAATACATAAATTAAAATAGTCATAATCTAAGTGAACTTGCAGATATCATAGCTAATGTTGAAAAGTTCAGACCTATTTTCTTTTTTTTTTCTATTTATTTTATTTTTTTATTGTTATTAACATTGTATTCTGTGATACAGTTTTATAGGCACTGGGGATTCCCCCCACCCCTCCCATACCTATTTTCATCTGCAAATTTCCTCACATTCTACAACTCCAGCTTAAACAGATTTTCTAGTTATTTGTGTAAGTGACTACAACCTCTAAAAGTCTGTTACATCTAGAAGCTGTCTGTGTGGTTCTGTAAGTGAAACTGTTACTAAGTCAAAAAAATTACCCTTTCCAGAGGCTTGTAAAATACGGCCTGAACACGTGCTATCATTCTACATTCTTCATTTACCCAAATAAATCATATACAGAAATTTGCAGGAAGAGCTAACCCATGATGTGAGAGGTATAGGTAGTGATTATTTAGGGAGGAGCAGGTGTAGGGACCAGGAGGGCATGACATATGTTTCTGAAGTATTCTGGAACTACTCTCTGTCTTGACCCAGACGACACTTCCGTGCGCATGCTTGCTTTGTGTAAACTGATCTGCATACACTCAGTTTGCTGCCTTTTCTGCATAAATAGTATATTTTCCTAAATAAGCTCATTAAAAATTTTTCCAATTAAAAAATCATCTTCTGACATAAATTTATACAAAGAGCTTGTTCTCAAATATATTCTAAAGAAACCAGGAAAGAACAGAATGCAGACAAAAACCAAAAGGATTTTTACTCTCATTCTGGTCAAGAAAGTTGTTCTTAAAATGAATTGATATGTATAACTAAGACGCTAATAAACACACAAGCAACAAAGCGCACTCAAAGAAGCTGTATACACATTTCTAAACACACTTTCCGGCCCTCAGTAGCCAGCACCACTTAACCTATTTATTCCCAATGCAGATGATCCTCTTAACTCTAATATCGACCACAGGTCAAGTGAAGATGACTCTTGCAAGTCAAATTTTTACTCACAGATGGAAATAACTGTTCAACATTTATAAGTAAAAACCTATATAGCTATGTGTCAATATTATACATGACACATGTTCCCTCTAGTGGATAAAAAGTATTACTGTCATTTGGAAAGGTAAAAAGATACAGAGAATCTGGTTCGCTGAAAAAAAGCAAATTTCTTCTGAGGAAAGAATAGACAAATGAAACACCATGAGCATCTCTTTCAACTTAATGTGCCCAAAATGCAAGCAGCTTAGACCAGCAATGATGCAGCTTCCCGGTGACCCAAGGGTATGTTATCATATTTCAGATAAGATATTGGCTACAAACTGGCTCAGTGTGTCAGCTGTCACAAAAACAGAGGAAAAAAAAGATCGTTGGGGCTATACTGATGTCGTGCCAAGAAACTGTCCTCCAAAGATGCAAAATGGCATTAAAATGGAAGGAGAAGAAAATGTTTCCTGCGATCAGGAATTACATAAGTAAGCACCGATTCTGCGGGAGCCTCCACGGGCGCTTGTGAATTCCTCCTTTGCAGTAAACAGTTCCCACCTGAGGAACGTAAGCTTTCCCTTGGCAAGCCAACAGCTCAGATCCATGAAAACAAACTAGAAAAATGGTTTTTAAATAGATGCATCTGTGCATTGTTTGTACATTTAGAAACAGAAAAAAAAAAGCCCACAAAGCTCTACCAAGAAATTTGGCTAAAGGACACTTCCAACAAGAAACCAAAACATATCCCTATTAAAACACTTGATAGAAGGGAAAGGAATTCAGAGCTGGGGGCTGAGGATGTGGTGCAGTGGGCTAAGCCATAACCATGGCTTGTGATGAGGGGCCCAGCTACCCCACTGCTGACCTTGCTCCCCTGCTGATGCATCTGGCACCCAGGCCAGAGACCAGGATGGCAGTTCTGGGTTCCTGACCTGCGCCTGGCTCTGCCCCAAGCTGTGGCCATGCAAGCAGCGAATCAACAGGTGATTCAGCCTCGCCCTCTCTCTACCACTCTATCTTTCGAATGAATAAAATCTTTTTTTTTTAAGAATTAAGTATTGGTAAATACAGATAATTAGTTAAGTCAGCTTTCCAACAGATGAAGAATCAGAAAGAACAAGTGTCTTCTTCTGATTTAGAAAAACAGAACCAGCATGGGCTACTGATACTGATAGCCAGACATGGGAACTGGCTGCAAATCCAGCTCGGAAATTCACCGGCTAAATCAAGGTGCTGCAGAGGCAGCAGAGGCAGCCAGGACGGGGATGTACCGACATGCTCCAGGAAGCAGAGTGAGTGTAAGACTCAGAGAACAGAATCAATGCAAGGACATGTTAATAAGGCCCAGCAGAAAAGTCAAACAGATGAAATTTAATGGAAAGCAATTAAGTGTGACAAATTACATATTCGTATACTTTTTAAAAATCTAGTTCTTCATTTTGCTCTTTAAGAAAAACACATTCACAATTTTATTTTGCCACATAACAAAGAGACAGAAAAAAAAAACACTATAGCTTCCTCAAGGACAGTCCTCAAGCAGTCGAGGATGGCCCAAAGCCTTGGGACCCTGTACCCGTGTGGGAGACTCAGAAGAAGCCCCTGGCTCCTGGCTTCGGATCAGCTCAGCTCGGGCTATTGCGGCCATTTGGGGAGCAAATCAGTGGATAAAGGTCTGTCTTTTCTTTGGAAATCAATCTTTCCAATAAAAATAAATAAATATTTTTTAAAAAATAACAACAGAAAAAAAGAACAAGAAATGACATTATATAAGATCAACTGCTTCAGAAGTTCTCTAATCCTACAAGATCTTTCCGGTTGAAATGATAGAATCAAAAGTACCATACATCTAATTTCCAACACTAATGACGTTCTTTTATCTCAACTTTTAATTTTGTAACAAACTACAACAAGTCATTCCAGTAAGCCATCATGCTCACACACATGGCATGGTGTGTCAGTGCCAGCAAGGTCAAGTACCTCTCTCTCAACTTCTTCAGCTCCACGTCTCTTTCGCCAATCAGTTCGGAGATGCTGACGAAGTAATTGTGCTCCAGGTTTAGCAGTGTCTCAGAGGCGGGAGAGTGGATGAGCTCATGGTACACGTCGGCAAAATCCTCATCCCAGCTGGGCTCCTCCGGCCGCGCGTGCTCCAGGGTGGTCTGCAGGGTGACAAGCGGCATCCTTGGTTAACACACTAGGGACAGGACCAATGGGATGCTTTGCTCAGAACTGAAGGCCAGGAGACAGGAACTCGACTCAGTCTCCCACTTGGGGAAGAACCCAATGACTTCAGGCAACACTGCTGCTTCCCCGAGCCTGCATTTTCAGGCAGCCTGAGTCAGTATCTAGAGCCAGGAATGACACCAGGTACAGGACTAAGGCCTCCTAAGCGCTGTCTTATTATGCCAAATGCCTGTCTTGAGCATGCTCGGAAGTACATGAAAATGGTTATCGCCTCAGTGCTGCCAAGGCCCCCGTGGAGAAGCTGAGCTCAACGGCAGATCTGAGATATCTAAGCGGATACAAAGCTATTTCAGCAAGGCGGACAATTAAGTGTGTTGTTGTGGGTGATGGTGCTGTGGGTAAAACACGTCACCTGATTTTCTACAAACGCGTTCCGGCTGTTTCTAACAACTACACAGCCACAGTTCTGCCTGGTGGAGAGCCACACGCTCCTGGACTTTTTGATTCTGCAGGACAAGAGGATTACGATAGATTACGGCCACCAGTTATCCACAGGCAGATGTATTTTTAGTCTGTTTTTTCGCTGTTTCTCCATCCTTATTTGAAAATGTGGAAGGAATGTGGGTGCCTGAGAACACCCACCACTGTCCAGAGACTCCTTTCTTGCTTGTTGGGACCCAAACTGATCTCAGAGAAGACCCCTCTACTATTGAGAAGCTTGCCAAGAACAAACAGAAGCCCATTACCCCAGAGACTGCTGAAAAGCTGGCCCGTGATCTGAAAGCTGCCAAGCATGTGGAATGTTCTGAGCTCACAAAGGCAGGCCTAGAGAACGTATTTGATGGGTCTGGTGATGTAGCAGCTAAAGACCTTGCCCTGAATGTGCCGGGATCCCATAGCAGCACCGGTTCTAATCCCAGAGGCCCCGCTTCCCATCCAGCTCCCTGCTTGTGGCCTGGGAAAGCAGTCAAGGATGGCCCAAAGCCTTGGGACCCTGCACCTGCATGGGAGACCCGGAAGAAATTCCTGGCTCCTAGCTCCAGATTGGCTCAGCTCCGGCCATGGCGTTCACTTGGGGAGTGAATCATCAGATGGAAGATCTTCTTCGTCTCTCCTCCTCTCTGTACGTCTGACTTTGCAATAAAAATAAATAAGTAAATCTTAAAAAAAAAAAAAAAAAGCATGTATCTGATGAAGCAATTTTGGCTTCCCTGGAGCCAAACAGCCCCAGGTGCGTGCCCTATGAAGACTCTCCAGGGCCCTTTCTGCACAGCTGGGGTCGGCGTGGCACTGAAAGCAACGCTGAAATCAAACTAAAGATCAAAAATTAAAATTCAGTTTTGCAATAATGACAAATGCCCTGCACCTACCCACATGCACTTGTGTGAGTCAAGGCCCATAGGCAGGGTCCCTTTCTCCTCTAGTATTAGTTAATTTTGAATAATTGTGGACTGTCAGGAAAGTGATCAGTATACTAGTTTATGTTTTGTTCTTCCAAAACAAGGTGTGTTTTGTTTGTTATTTTAAAAGCAAGCCATGCTTTGTGATGACTCTGTAACAGACTACCTTGAATTACTGGGGCTCCTCCTCATTCCTCACTGGAGTGTAATCTGGGACACCCTAGCGGTTCAGCTTAGGGTTTTTGTTTGTTTTTTCCTTTTCTCTGCTGGTGCTCAGGACTCCACTCCTTGCAGCTGTCAACCATCCCACGTTCAACACAAAACCAACCCGTGATCCTGCACCAACACTCAGCAAGTGCCACAGCCTCCTCTTTTCTATAAACAAACGACTCATCGTGGCTACTTCCACACACTTTCTTAGGGTCCCTGAAATCTAGTTGTTGTTTTTTTTTTTTTTTCACCTACACTCCACAGAAATTTATTCTGATCCTTTCCCGAAGCATTGAATTGATAAGCCAAACTGATAACTGGAGTCTTAACTTCTAGGCATTTTATCAGTTTATCTGGTAATGTTGTTCTTTCTTCATAAATAAAACAGTGATATGCATTAGAATCAGTGCCATTCTAAGCCTTTATGAAAAGGGGTTGTTTAAATAGAAGAATGATGGCATCATATAAACAATCCTAACAATGAAGATAAGTGAGAGGATGAAATTAATCCAAAATTTAAAGTGAGCTACTGTTGATTTAGGGCTGTTAGATAAATTAGAATTCCAGACAAATCTTATATAATTGTTTGGTATAACTACGCACTGTGTAATATGTGGAATTTCTTTACACTAAAACTTACTCATTTGCCTGAAATTCTAATTTGGCTAGGTGTTCTGTATTTTGCAGCCTCTCACAAGTGTTAAATCAGATGTGTGTTGGCTGGGGTGCTCACCTGACCTCGCAAGGAGGGACATCAGCCGAAACATGTGTGGTCCATGACCGGGGGGTGTGCAGAGAAAAAAGCATGCTACTGCAACTACAGCATTATCTTAGCTCTTAAAAATATCCTCGTCCAAGTCCAGCATATCCTCAGAACGTCCAGTCTGACCCATGTCCTCACCTCGGCGTATGCTTTGGCCCACGCACTTGCCAGTTGGTGCAGGTCCACTTCCCCCGACTTCACAGCATCCAGGCAGGCTTCAGACTCGGTGTCGTAATCTCTCAGGGATTCTTCCTCTATGAACTGGCTCAGAGCTTCTTTGAGGTCTGGCACAGGGTCAACAAAGTCATCATGAACCAGCAGAATACATTATACCCAGCTAAACAATCCAACAGGAAATTCTACTTTGTTCAGACTATTAGTATTAATAGAATCTCAAAACAAAAATGGGCTTACAGGGTCATTTAATTAATTATAGCATTATTTTTCTCTACTCTTATAGGTTATGGCATGGGGAAAGGTAAAAATCCTTTATCCTTATGTGTAACTGGATATTAATTAGATAAATTTTAATAACTTAAGTCTGATTTCAGTTTAAAGCATAGCAGGTGTAAGTACATAAAGGCAAACACACATATTTTGAGGGTCTGAAGATTATTGTACTAAAGTGAATAAATTTCCTGTATAACTTTAAAAGGTTTCTTGATGGGCCTGGCACAATGGCTCAATTGGCTTAATCCTTATCTTGCAAGTGCCAGGATCCCATATGGGTGCCAGTTTGTGTCCCAACTGTTCTACCTCCCATCCAGCTCCCAGTGTGTGGCCTGGGAAACTAGCAGAGCACGGCCCAAATCCTTGGGACCCCACATTCACATGGGAGATCCAGAAGAAGCTCCCAGTTCCTGGCTGGGGCTCAGCTCAGCTCTGGCCCTTACTGCCATTTGGGGGGCGAAGCAGTTGATGGAAGACCTCTCTGTCTCTTCTCTATAAATCTGCCTTCGAGATAAAAATAAATAAATCTTAAAAAAGTAATAAAAGGAAAATTGCTACCTCTCTTGAATTTGAATGAGAAACTAACTAGCATTTTAAAACCGATTTAGTTCAAATGATTCGTGGTTTCAATTAAAGGAAAGAGCACTGCAAAACAGAAGTCCTGATGTCTGAGTTCTGGCCGTGGCTCCATCACTACTACTGTTGACTTCGGACAAGCAGTTTACAACTTTCATGTACAGTTATCCGAATGCCCTAGAGTTATTCCACTCTGTTACAACAGGCTGAAGTGCCACGCCCAGAGGTCCTGGCCAATCAGGAATGAGTCGATTCACAACTGCCATGCTGTTCTCTCCCTTTCTTTCTTCAAAAAGATCTTTTTATTTAATGTAAAGGAAGAATTACAGAGAAAGTGGGAGAGACAAAAAGATCTTCCATGCAATGCTGGCTCACCCTTCGGATGGCCACAGCAAACAGCACTGGGCTAGGGCAAAGCCAGGAGCCAGCAGCTTCATCCAGGTCTCCCCGGGGTGTGGCAGGGACCCAGACACCTGGGTCATCTTCCATTGCTTTTCTCAGGTTTATTAGCAGAGAGCATCCGGATTGGAAGTGGAGCAGCTGGGACAGGAGCCACGGTGGCTTTCCCCATGACACCACAGGGTCAGCCCCAGAACTGGTTCTAACAGTCCACAGGTGATGCTGTCGCTGCGGAGTAGCAGACCATGTTTTTGGAACTCCTGCCTTGGGGTAAAGAACTGAACCTCTTTACACCCCAGCTTCCTTCTTGGTACGGTGATAACCGTAGGAAGTTTCTAGGTTCCCTTTGAGTGCTAAGTCCCTATCCTCAATATTAATTTTTTTCCTAGTCTGTGAGAGAACACAGAGCTTTCTAAGTGGCGCATCACAGATTGCTTCACGGGCTCATTCAGGAGAGATAGGTCTTCTTCTATGTGACTTGGAAACTTGATGAACAGAACACTCAAAATGCAGCCAACCAAAGCAAGATAATTCTGTCATGTCAGATTAGTTAAAACTGAAACTCCTCAGGAATCGCCCCCAACCAAATTCAGAGGGTAAGTCCCCCACCCCAGACCTTGTAGCTAATATTTCATTACATAATTTTTATCCTCAATCGCTTTACAAAGAATTGCAAGGGTTAGAGGAGAAACATTCAATCAGACAAAGGTCTGGGGAAGCTTCCGTGTTCTTAGAAGCAGTGAAACAGTTCATATTCCGTGGCTTCTCAGTGCGCCTTAGGTTTAGGCTGTCCAATACAAATCACCTAACGAAAAAAACTGCAGGAAAATAGGAGCGCGCTGTTAGTTAAGAGGTCAGTCCTCACCATTTTCTACGAAGCACGGCAAGTTGTGCAATGGCATCAGGCGTCCATGAAGGTGGCTGGCGTTCTCTTGAATGGGGAATTGGAGGGGCACCCTCAGTTCTAAGCATTCTTTTCCTATTTTGAATTCATACACAAATTCCCTGTCTTTGTGGCCGACTCTTTCTCTGCTTTTCTTCATCGTTTGTGACGGCATTTCTATACATGAACAACAACGACAAAGCAATGGGTTACAAGCACATAAAGGAACCACGATGTTTCAGTATTGCTATAGGATTTCTAAGAAATGTTTCACCATTCTTAGATTTAATCTGCGGGACCCTGATTCAATTATCCTACTTCCCCTGCCCCCTCAAATGGTTAACACTGCCTTTTCACCTTGTGATAAAATAAAGCACTACTTCTTAAAAAAAATTCCTTTAAACTTCCTTTGAGGGAAAAACAAACAAAGCAACCATGCCCACAAACGGCTGCCCTCTCAGGTGGAGGGCTCAGTGCTACAGGAACATGGAGAGGAAGGCAATGTGGATTAGCAGGCAGACGTGCAGAGATGAGGCAGGCATGGAGCTAACAGATCAGGGGTGTAAACAAAGTTAGAGAAATGAATGTGTGACCTTGCGAGCACTAGGGGTGGGGTCATGAGAGGCAATTGGTGAAGGGCCGGTAGGAAAGTGTTAGAAAGACCTGCACATAAATAGGAGAGAGAAAGCAGAGGATGCTCCCCACAAGGCAAACTGGACACTACTTAAAGGGAGTACAAATCAATCTCGGCTAAAGATGTATTCATCAGCATCCTAATGGGAGACTGTGTAGCAAGGCATCCATTCCTTCATGAAACCAGTTCTACAATGAAGTCACCGTCATCCTCCTAAAAATAAATCAGTCCACAACTACAGTCATCTCATCTCATGGTTCATCGACTTAATGTCTTTTGATGGCATCCAGCTGTTCTCAGGGGGAAACGCAAATGCCTTAAGCCAGCTGACCATGTCCCTCCTCGACTCTCCAAACCCTGCAGCCCTCTCCTCCAACACACAAAGTCACACAAGCTAGGTTCTACCCACACTCAACTTCAGCCAACTCCAAACTCCCCGTCCCACCTCCACTTTCCGATTTCCTCTTTACAGCACTCTCACTGGTCTGACTTCTCCCGGATGACAAGCACTTCTCCAGGCATTCAGCTTGTAGGCACCCCACACCGTCCAGAAAGCCGCTGTCAACTTTCACAAACTGGACTGGGTCCCCATTGCAAGCTCTCACATCACCACTCTACAGATCTGCATCACGGCTTCTCTGGCAAGCCGTCTCTCATTCTTGAGGGAACAATGTTTTCCAGTGGTATATTCTTTCTTCTTGAACTCTACTGTGTTAGGTAGGATGTTGGGAATACAATGGTAAGACCCAATAAATACTTATTTAATTCTGCAATGTTTTCATTTTCATGATACTGGGGGAAATGAAGAAAACAAGTATTCTCACTCTTCTCTAAAAAGAAGCCACCTCTTGGGAACGCAGTAGAGGATGACCCAAGGTCTTGGGACCCTGCACCCACATGGGAAACCTAGAAGAAAAAAGAAGGGCCTGGTGCAGTAGCCTAGTGGCTAAAGTCCTGGCCTTGCACATGCCCAGGATCCCATATGGGCGCCAATGTGTTATCTCGGCAGCCCCGCTTCCCATCCAGCTCCCTGCCTGTGGCCTGGAAAAGCGATCCAGGACAACCCAAGACCTTGAGACCCTGCGCCAGTGTAGGAGCCCCAAAAGAGGCTCCTGGCTTTGGATCGGCTCAGCTCTGGTGGTTGTGACCACTTGGGAAGTGAACCAGTAGATCAAAGATCTTCTCTCTCTGTCTCTCCTCCTCTCCGTATATCTACTTAACTACCATTTGTTAAAGGCAAAGCAGTGACAACGTGTACACCAACACAGCTACCAAAAGCAGCTCCTCCATTCAATGATTCAGAAATTCCATTCTGAATCTTGTCTGAATTCCATTAAACTGTCAGACTGATCTCTTATGGCCAATGGAAGCACAACCACCTCTCCATCTCTCCGCTTAAAACGCCGCCCCACCTCCTAAAACTCACTGGGCATCCCAGGCGCCCCACCATCTAATGCCTGCTTGCACCTGTAGCTTCACCTCTACTAGGCTACACCCAGGGCTTCGGTCACTGTTAGAAAGAAAACAGGGTTAGCGCAGAGAATAGGCCCCTGTCATTCAAGCAGTTTAAATTCCGCCGCTACGGTCGACTTGCTTTCTCAACAACTGTCAAATGGAGCTACCGCCATCAACACGCAGCCCTGTCTAAAGGATCCAGCAATACACATAAAACACCTGACAAACTTAATATCAGCAAGTGAAGACAGAAACAGTGGGCACACATCCGTCTGAAAGCCACGGCTCCCCGAGAACACAGAGCAGAACCGAACGCTGTCGCCGGGAATCCAAAGTTCCAGAAACAGAGGCTCCAGACCTCACCGAGCTCACAGAATCAAAGCCACCAGCTCTGGCTTCCACCGGGTCAACATTCAGGCTTGCACGGTCCCTCCTACTTAAATGGCTCGCGGTATCTTTGTGTGCCCTGGCCTCCCCTTGGGCAGCCGTGAAATCATCCAAGGAACGAAAGTGGGAACGGAGGAGAGGTGGACCTAAGGAAAGAGCGGAGTCCGCGGCTTGCAGGGATCAGGGAGACGCGCTCGCCTGCCGCGGGGCTCCCCGTCCGAAGCGGATCCCCAGCTCCTAGCTCCCGTCTCACCTCGCACTGGACCCCAAGCAGTCCGCACCCTCGGAACTGTCAGGAAACCTGGGCAAGAGGCAAACGTCAGCTGACCGCAATGTTGTTTTCACAGCCAGCACATCAGCCGCGGCAGATTCGCTCACAGCTTTTCCGATTTTCTGGCACCTGGTATCAGAATCCTCGATTCCTGGGGCTCCCTTTTGCTCCACAGACCTAGATTCAATCATAAGGGGAAAAAAAAAACCGCAAGCATGTGTATTGCTACTGCTGGAGTGGCTCTCGCAGTGACGAAAGTGCAGCGACAGAGCCTCTGGCTGGCCGGATGCGGAAGGGCGGCGCCTGGGGACGGCGGGCAGCGCGCTCAGGGCGCATGCGCCGCGGCGGGATGGCCGGTGCGGATTGGCGGGCTGCAGGCGGCGGGGCGGGGAGCCGGGGTCTCTGGCTTTGAGCGGGAACTGAAACTGCCGCGGCGGACTGGAAGAAGCGGACCGTTGCTGGTGCCCTGCCTGGGGAAGGGACCATGGTGCGGCCCGTGAGGTGAGTGGCGTCCAGCCTGGATGCGGACACGGAGCAGGAGGGCGCTGTGGACTGGTTCTGCACATGGATGGAGGGACAGGCCGGCGACGCTGGTGGAATGGGTCCTGGTTTCCCGGGAAAACCATCTATCCTAGCGTCCTAAACCTTCCCCGACTCTTGGCCCCACTTCGCGGCTGTGGCCATGTCCTCTGCTGACCCCCTCGGAAGGAGAGCATCTCCCAGCGTTTGGAGAGCGCGTTACCAGGGACCGAACACCCGCCTGGGTGTGACTTCATTGGCACGTCGCAGCTAATGCTTCCATATAGTGTATCGATCTTCCTCTTTGGTCGACTGACAGTTCCTAGGTCCGCGTAGCTGTTGTGGGTCGCACAGCTTGTCACTAACTCAGTGGTCAACCCTGAGCCTCCGGCTCGGGATGCTCCGCGCTTTGCATGAGCTTCCTCACGATCGGATCGTCCATGCCTTCAGTGAGGTTATTGGTTATATCCGCTGCGTCTGTGTTGCCCCTAGGTGCTGGAGGTTACGTTCTCAGGGGTGGGGGAGACGAGAGGTTAGGGGGCCCGAAATAAGCGTTTACAGTCCAGAAGAGGAAAACCGCGATGCAAATAGAATGGTTAGGACGTGCTTTCTAAGGGTAGAGTACGTGTGATCGATAAACAGGAACCAAGAGGGGGAACTTGTCACGTCAAAACAGGGGACACTTCAGGTGACAGGGGGAGTGGGGCCAGGCAGGCTGGATTGTGGCGTTCAAGTGGGGGGTGGGGGGTGTCGGGGATTAGGGTGGAGAACAGCAGGCGTCTGAGTTGGTAAGATCTCAGCGTCAGGAAGTTTCGATTTTATCTCAATTCCCATGGAAAGTCAGTAGAGATTTTTTTTTTCCTAGGAGGAGAGAGGAGTTTAATTTTGTTGTTCCAACGATTCCTGGCAGCTGCTGGAGAATGAGGGGGAGGGTGGGGTGACCTGCGTGGGAGCAGGGATACCACTTGGTAGGCTGTGAGGAGTGGGGGTGGTGGTCTGGAGGGGGTTCTTATTGGTGTATGTGGAATGGAACGTGAAGTTGGGGTAGATTTTGCTGATGGAACCTGGTCGTGAAGTGGAGGTGGCAGTGATCTTTGCGATGAGATGAGGGGGGAAAATCAAGGAGGGTGGCTTAGATTTCTAGTCTGAGACACTCGGTGGATGCGTTTTGTGTGTAGGGTCGTGGGAAACACGAGGAACACGCGGTGTGGGAGAATCACAGCCGTTTTCAATTTGAAATGATTTTCAGACATTCCCATAGCAAAGATTCAGACTCTGAAAAAAAAAACACAGTTGTGAAAGTGTATTCCTCGCACTCCTTGGGGGCCTTGAAAGTCTCAGGAGGTCTTTGCGGTTAAAACTCTTCTCAAAATTGTATCCAAGCCTGACCTGCTCCCCGCCTCCGCTGTTCTGTCACCTGCAAAGCCAGGCTGGAAGGCAGCTGGCACTCCGCACAGGCACCACAGTGGCTCTGCACACGCATGACAGTGGCCTCAACGATGAGCTGTGTGTGATTGCATTCCTGTTTTCTTTTTTTTTAAAGATTTGTTTGTTTTTCTACTTAGTAAAGTTACAGAGAGAAAGAGGGACAGATAGAGATCTCCCATCTGCTGGTTCACTTCCCAAACGACTGCAACAACCAGAGCTGAGCCAGTTTGAAACTGGGAGCCAGGGGTTTGTTCTGGGTGTCCCACATGGGGTTGGCAGGGGCCCAAGGACTTTAGCCATCTGCTGCTGCTTTCCCAGGCCATCAGCAGGGAGCTGGGCTGCAAGTAGAGCAGCCAGGACTAGAGCGGGCACCCACAGGGGATGCTGGCACTGCAAGCAAAGGCTTAGTGTGTTAAGCCACCTTCCGGGCCCCTTCATGATTGCATTTTACTTATTGAATCTCAGAATATCTAAGACCGAGGACTCCACATGGTATGTGCCTGATTTCTTGGGCTCTGCAGAGTAGGCGAACAACCTGAGCGCTCTGTTTTACTGCTGAGTGTGAGGCAGTGGCAGTAGCCCTGAAGCCCTGCACCTGCAGCAGACGGGCCCCAGGAGTAGCACCTGCAAGGTGGGTTGTCAGTGGAATGTGTTTCTTTGTCATGGAACATCATTATTGCGTGAAGGAACAGCCGACCGGCAAGCTTGAATATTGACACTAGAACATTTGCACCTTAGAAAGAGATAGAGACCAAGACTAGAAGACCCTGTCATTCAGCGCTTCGACGCCCGGATGTGGGAAATGCAAATTTTTTCGTTCCAGTTTTAGTATATATGCTGCCGAAGAGAGCACAGATATACCTTTTTGTTTTTTTAATTGTAATTTTTTCTAATACCCTTTCGTGTGGTTTAAAGATTCGTTTCCATTGGCAGGAACAAGGTCACTTACCATTTGAAGAGCCCACTGCATGATGAAAGCAATATTTTGTGGACAGATGAAAAAGAATGGATTGTCATGTGCACAAATTTGTATCTAGTAAGGATGATAGAATGCATATAAAAAACAAAAGTGTTCATTCGAGAGGAACTTACAGATTCCCAGTAGCAATTAAGCAGCATATAAATTGTAGTCGTTAATTGTTAATTATATGGATTTTTCTTACTTTGCCAAGTTATCCAAATGGTTTTTCCATGTCCGGTAAGTCAGGTATACCTTACAGGATGCCTCCAAAAGTGGATGGAAAATGCAGATTATGAAAGAATTCTGCATGGAGTTAAATTTTCATTTTGCATCAAAATCAACTTATCTTTTCAGCTCCATTTTTTCACATAAGCTGGGAGATGCTGTCCTTCCGAGGGGGTCAGCGGAAGACATGGCCGCATCCGCGAAGTGGGGCCAAGAGTCCGGGGAAGGTTTAGGACACTAGGATAGATGGTTTCATGTACTTCACCCTTTGAACTAGTTCGGCTAATATTAAATCCCTGTTGTGAAAATACAGGTGTTTTTGAGGTAGGTATTTTTTTCAGAGAGTTTGAACACATTTTTGATTATTTGAGACTGTTACTTGTCATAGGGAGTGGGGTGCAAGTGAGGGAGCCATGGGTGTTAACGCCTCACTTCTCTCTTGTTCCTAGACAGAAGAAGCCGGTCAACTACTCACAGTTTGAAGACTCGGACAGTGATGGTAAGTGGAACCTGTTGTTGTGTAAAGATGTACAGTTGCATTTCCTCGGAATGTGCAACATTTGTAGCTCACAGATGAAAGATTCTCCGACTGCATTTGAAGTTAGTCTGGCGAGAAGAAGGGCCCTAGGATTGTGAGTAGTGGTGCTGATAAGGACACTGACAGGATGGTGCCCGTGAGTGACAAACGAACACACGGGGCCTGAGCTGTGTTCTCACGCTGTTTCTCGGATTAAATTTCACCTCCTGCTTTCCCCGGAGAAGGAACTGTGCCTTTATGAGATGCAGACGTGTTAGAGGATTTTTTATAAGAATTTCCACTACTTGCAATATAGAACAAGACCAGGAAGAAAGGCTGGCCTTCAGCTTTGCTGCGTGGGTTGTGTGTTTGCCCGTCTCTGCTGCCAGGACGCTCAGAGGGTTGAAGAACTTCACAGTAGATTACATCATACTTTGACGTAGATATTCTGGTTCTTTCTGATACCTGTGGAGCTTTCTGTGTGTAAAATATTTAGAAATTTCTGGGTTTGAAAGAATCTGCTTTTGCCCGGGACACAACCTTATGTATGTACGCCTAGAGCCTGGAAGAAGATACTGTGCAATGTCATTTCTAGCTGTTTGTTACTGTCATTAGTTTGTCAGCAAATACGTGTAAGTTGCCATTTACGTTCCAGACACGAAGCATTGCTTGTGTTCATTTGTCACTCAGTTAAATTTATGCCCCTGCATGGGAAGGCACGTAAGAGGAGCATGTATTAATAATAATGATTAAGCCTACCTTGGCCCTGAAGGTATGGTGTGCTCACACGGATCGTATATGTTTAAAAGCCACAGCAGCAATTCTGCATTGAGTATCCAGGACTCATTCCGAGGACTGGTGGGACCAGCAACGCAAGCCAGCAAGCCCGTGAGAGACAGTGCCGGCCTGGGAACAAGCATCTCTGTGCCAGAAATTAGGAGAAATTAGGAGCGTAGGAAGATGAACAGGGAAGATGCTGCTGTGTAAGACAGGAATTCCTGCCCCTTCCTCCTGACGGGCCTTGCTTCCCGTGGAGAAGCAGGGAATGGGCCTTGGGAGACGTCGGACTGCACTGGGAAGCTGCCGTAAACATAATCTCCTTCTGTTTTGTTTAATATGATAAGATGCCGCAGCCTTCCTAAGGCCTTTGCAAGTTGGTGCAGGTGTATGTTTTACATGCATATGCTACCCTAATTGCCTTTACCATTTTTAAAGTAAATTGATTTTTGATGGATTGCTATTTTTCAACAAGGCCGCCAAAGCACCGAGAGGCTAAAACAGAAGAGTTAGAATGCAAGACAAACCGAACAATGCTAGCCATGATTTTTGAATTGTAGAAAGTATACTTGAATACCCACTGAAACGAACTCAGCTGCTAAAAAATCAATCTTTATTTTCACTTCTTACATAAATAGATGATTTCGTCTCAGCAAATGCACCTCTGCACAAGAAATCCAGAACAGCCCCGAAGGAGGTTAAACCAGACAAGCCAAAGTCAAACGTGAAGAATCTCCAGGTGGAAGACATCCCACCCCAAGAGAAGACCCCTAAAAAAAGGTGAGAGGTAAGACAGACAGGATGTGGGGTTAGAGGCATTCGCTGGGCAGCGACACCGGATTCCAGCTGGCGGTTTACATTAGAACTCATGGAAATGCAGAGGTCTTACCCTGTGTATGTAGGAGAACCTGCCAAAATTTACCCCTTCTGACCAGCTGACTTGAAACTTGAAAAAGGGAAACATAGACTTAAATATTCAGACAATAATCATTGCAAAGCTTACAAGCTGTGCAGGGCTGCCACAAGGCCACAAGCCTGTCTCCAAAGTCCTCCAATCATACCAGAGCGCGTGCTTTAAAAGGGACAGTTCTAAGGACTGAGGTGCGGAGCTTTCTGCAGGGAAATGGTAGTTTTCTTGTTATGTGAGTTTATCAGTGAGGCGGTCTTGGAGTTTCCAGACCAGACACAGAATTTCTGTGAGGGAGCTGAGAGGGCGAGATCCCCAGAGATCCCCAGAAGCGTTGCAGGAAGAGGAGACACGGCAAAACAGGAGTGTAAGTGGGTTATGAACGTATAGTGTATCATTGCATTAGAAGTTAATTAACATAGGGAAACTTACCCTGGATCATGCTGTTGTCTTTCCCCCTCTTTATTTTTAAGACTCTTGCACTGAGTTTGGAATATAGGGAAAAAACAACCCAAGGGTGACAAAATCTGTACAAGTAGTAGGAAAAGAAAATGAGTCAGTATGAAAACATGTTTTTGTGCGGGGTCCGTGCCACTTGTAAGGCTGCCAGCCAGTGTCTGAGTGCCCGTCTGAGTGCCAGCTGCTCCACTTCCCATGCTGCCTCCTGCTAGCGTGGCTGCCAAGGCAGTGGAAGACGGCCTAAGTGCCTGGGTCGCTGCCACGCGCGGGTGGACACAAGCACTTCCTGTCCCCTGCCTGCTCCCTGTCCTGGCCCTGTCATTGGAGCCATTTGGGTGATGGAGTGGATGATCTCTCTGCCATGCTGTCTTCAAGAAAATAATTGAAAAAATATTTTCTTTTAATGTGATTAGCAACTCTTAAATAGTTATCTAGAAAGATCTGAGACTGGGCCGTTCAGCTAGCTGGATGTCTTTGAAAGCCCATCGTTATTTGTATTTCTATTGCAGGATGGCTCTGGATGAAAAACTCTACCGGAGGGACTTGGAGGTGGCACTAGCTCTGTCCGTGAAGGAGCTTCCGCCCAGCACCGAAGATGTGCAGAAGTCTCAGGGGAGAAGTATGCTTTTCTCTGTTGAACTTGGAAACTGACCACTTTTGGGTCTTCACAAACTTTGGAGCCTTAGGGTTTAGGATAACCAGTTGGCTGTGGCTTCAGCTGGATTCCATTGCTCATCCAGCTGTGCATGTCTCGTAACCATTCACGCCTCTCTGCTTAACGCTCAGCTGGAGGGGCTGGACCACGAGCCCACTGTTCAAATCCTGTCTGGATACAGAATAAAAATTGAATTTCTTGGCCAGATGAATTGATCTATCAGATCCTAACCATCTGCCTCCTTTTTCTGCAAATCCAAATTAGTGGCACATGTAACAGTAGTAATTTTTTATTATAACATAAAGATTAGAGGTGCTGGTCGATCTCAGAGCCCAGTTGAGTGACGTCTAGATGTCTGGATTTTGTTGGTGTTCCTGGCAGCCGGGCAAGGTGGTCAGTGCTGACACTGCGCACACATCAGTATCCCGAAAGCACGACTCGCTTTTCAGATGAAATTGTTTGGGCTTAACTTCTTCTTATCTAGGAGGAAGATGGTTTAGCCCATTATTCAGAGGTATAACTTGCGTTTTATACTTTTTATTTTATTTTTTCTTTTGGTGTGTTTGTTTTTCAAATCAGTACTGCCTCATATTTACAAATGAAACAGTTTGATTAGCAAGACGAAAAGGGAAGAAGTGTTGAACACTAACCTTCATGTGTCACATCCACAGTTGAGATGTTGAATTCTGTTCCTCTCTTACAAAGACACTGTAAAAACTACAGTAGGAGTCCCTTAGAAGTATCACTACTCGAGCCTGGCGCGGTAGCCTAGCAGCTAAAGTCCTTACCTTGAACATGCCGGGATCCCCTATGGGCACTGGTTCTAATCCCGGCGGCCCCACTTCCCATCCAGCTCCTTGCTTGTGGCCTGGGAAACCAGTCGAGGACAGCCCAAAGCCTTGGGACCCTGCACCCATGTGGGAGACTCAGAAGAGGCTCCTGGCTTTGGATCGGCTCATCTCAGGCTGGTGTGGCCACTTGGGGAATGGATCAATAGATGGAAGATCTTTCACTCTGTCTCTCCTCCTCAATATACACGTCTGACTGCCCAATTAAAAAAAATAAATAAATCTTTTAAAAAAAAGTGTCACTACTGGTTTAATGACACTCTTTTTGGCACTAGCATTAGTACCGATGATCACAACTTAAATGCCCCTACAACACTTCCGCTTGTGTTAAGGTTATTCTAGTGACTGGGGACTCTTGTTCAGAAAAGCATGAACTTGCCTACACAGCAGTGATTGTTAATATTTATCGGTTGTTTATAATAGGCAGTTTCCACATGAGCTCAATGTTTCATCTCCCATAATAACCTAAGTGGTTTTAATCTCCATATCATGCCTGAAAAAGTCAAGTCTAGAAAAGCAACTTGCTTATGGTCACATAGCCAAGGGTCACGTGGGCGAGCCTGAATCGGCCCCACGTCTCTCCTTTTAGGGCACAACTCCCCACAGGCTGAGCTCTCCAGGGAGGCTCAGGGGCCAGTTGTGCGTGGGAACTGTATGTCTGTGTCTAGATGCAGTTCTATTCTAACACTAATCTAACTTCTAGGTCAGAGGTGGGGAACCTCTTTGTTTCAGCCAAGAGCCATTTGGATATTTGTGACATCATTCATGGGCCATGAGCTTAAAAATTGGCCTGCCACAGATGACAGATGTATTGGATTTTGAGCTTTGTCGGGGCCAGGCTAAAGGAATCGTGCAGGCTTTGTGCGGTCTGTCTGCCAGACGTCCCCCACTCCAGTACATCTGAGTTTCTTTTCTTATTCTTCATATATAGACATGCAGAAATGCAACAGCGATGAAACAGAAGCAATGCTGAAGCCTCCGCGTGTCTCTAATTGCAGTGTGACCAGCGATTCCATAGGTAAGTAGCTTTTTTTATATTAGTAATTATGTTTTCGACAGTGCTACTTTCCTGACTTGGATTTAAAGTCCTGAAGCTGTGGTTAGAAACAGGGGGGTCTCCTTTTCGGGGTCTCCTTACCTGCGAGCCTTTGTGTCTCGTGTGCTGGTCTCGTTCTCTTACACGCAGACTTGGCCTCCTCCCAGCTGGGGGGTTGTAGCTGTCCTGGCTTCTGCTCTGGAGTGGTTGACCCCAGAAGAAAGGGCATGCATCTTCCCAGTTCCGGTTTGAAACTTCCTGAGCTACAACTCAGCGTTGGGCTTGGGCTAATCTTTCAGACCAGCTTGTGTTGCCAGGGTACCGATGTATGACCCAGACTGGGCTACCTAGGTGTGATTAAAAGCAGAGGAAGGGGCAGAGCTTGGCAAAGAAAAGCGACAGATATGTGAGAGTCCATTCTGCTGTTCCCGAAATGATTGCTGCTGCCAGGAGCCTCCCGTTGACTTCTTCTGTCTCTCCTGAAGATTTGGATACGATTACTGAGGAAGACGACGTCGGTGGGGCCGCCAGGAAACGCAAAGCAGCGTCCAGCGCTGTGCTGCAGCAGAGGAAGACTCTCGAGGAAGAGGGTGATGGCGACAGTACAAGTGACACTGAACCAGAGTTTGCAACCAGTAAGTCATATCCTGATTTTTAAAAAAAAATGAGCTCCGAGGAACCGGGAGAACATTCCCCGGAGTTATCGATACACTTAGGGCACCGTGCTGCGCCTTTGGGTGTGCAGAGTGGAGAAACACACGGGACAGGTGGATTGAGCTGTGTGTAGGAGGCACCCTCCAAACCAGGCCTTGAACAGGTGAGTCACATTGAGGCAGACGGAAAGGCTGGAATAGCATCTCGGACTGCTCGAGGTACGCAGGGGAGCAGACAGCACAGGTGCAGAGAGAGGAGCCTGCTGGGGACGAGCGTCAGAGAGGAGGCTCACGCCGGAGGGGCTTGGACCCACGCACAAGTCATCCTTACAGCTAGTAGAAACTCATGACATTTGGCAGCAAAAGTGTTCTGTCTCAGTGTTCAAAAATCAGGTCAAACGGGCTCTTTACTGTGCAAACTGCAGGCTGACGTCAAAGAGTCAAGCAGAGGCGCCGTAGTCTCGTGTGCTTTCTGATAGGATCCAGTATAAAGTACAGGCACTCACCCAGGAGTATGTTCTCACCTCAGAAAGGGCAGGAGTTCATCTAATCAAGCCTTGAGAGCAAAGCCCCAGCCCACAGAAAGTGCAAGATCAGCTAGAAGCAGGAAGGGAGAAACAAAGAAGGCAATGGAAAAACCTCCAGTGGAGGCATTCTGTAGGACCGCTGAGCTGGTTACTTCTTGTCGGAGTCACGGCGAGGGGAAGAAGGTGTTGCTCTGTGCTAGAAGCTGAATGCAGACTACGTAGAACGTGATGCCAAGACCTGTCCATCATGTCGGAATGCCATCGTTGCATGAGAAAGTGTCCGTGTTTTTTTAGAGATTCATTCTATTCTAAAGTATGTGGAAATATAATAAGGTGATGCTTTGGGTTCATTTTACTATTCTGCAGAAGAGAGGAGAAAGAGTGAAAGAAATGGAGGCAGGCCCACTGGCAGGGCCGGACGTGAAGCAGGGCAGTGGAACTTGAATCCACACCTGTGTGGAATGCAGGCAGCGGCTTACCGGCTCTGCCACAGCCGCGCTGGTTATTGCCAGTACTTTTTAGATTGGCTCGATCTGCACAACAGTCCCATTAATGTACTTATCACCACCCTCCCTTTTTAAAAATTTATTTTTATTTGAAGGGGAGAGTTACAAAGAGAAAGAGAGATGGAGAGTGGTCTTCCATCTGCTTCATCCCCTAGATTTGTCTGTACCAGCTGGAGCCGAGCCAGTCTGGAGCTAGGAGCTTCCTCCAGGTCTCCCGCATGGGCACAGGAGCTGTCTTCCACTGCTTTCCCAGGCCATAAGCAGGGAGCTGGATGGGAAGTGGAGCAGCTGAGATATGAACTGGCATCCTTATGGGATACCGGCACTGCTGCATGTGGAGGCTTAGCCTACTGTGCCATGATGCCAGCCCCACTTGTTCTGTCTCTTGAGATGAAGAGGCACAGACACAGAGGAAGATGTAGACCTGTGTGAGGGCATGCCACAGGAAGTGGAGGGGCTGGGATTCAAACCCCGGGTACCCATGCTGTCAGCCCCTGCAGTGCTGTGCCCAGCACAGAGGCGTCCAGGAGCGTGGTGCAGATGGTGGGGTGATGGTGCGGTGTGGAGAGCCGTGCTCTATGGCGCCAAGGTAAGCTGTGCACTCTCGTGTCGTAGGTGAAGATCCCACAGATGACTCTGATTATGGAGAGAGTGAAGATAATGATGAAAACTTCACCGTGAGAAAAAGCAAAGTTAAAGAAATTAAAAAACGGGGAGTGAAGGCGAAATCCCCAGGAGGAAAGAAGGAGAAAGGAAAGAAAGAGAAGAAATCTAAATCCAAGTGCAACGCTTCGGGTGAGCTCGCTCCCAACTATTTAATGTTAATGTTATCAGGTCGGCTTGGTTTTGTCTGGCACGTTCGCAGCATCCGTCTCAACCTGGCCTGTGCTCCTTGCGAGTTCAAGTGCGTACAGGGAAGCAGGAGGGCCAGGCAAGGGCAGAACGCAGAGAGCCGGAGCCTTGCTCCTGGTTCCTGTGCGTGGTCCTTCACATCTCACAGCCTCCCCCTGCTGGCTCTGGCAGAGCAGCTAAATCATTTGAGATTTGAGAATTTTAAATCTGCTGTTTGAACCCAAGTGTGTCATTCAGAGACGAGCTCCAGCCGCTGGACCACGTTTTCTCCCGTCCCCACCTTAGTTCAGGCCCTCAGCACGCACTTGTTGGATTCCCATAGTGGCCCGCAGAGTCATCTGCTTGCCCTGCCCTACCACCAGATCGATGTTTGCAAAAGGCAGTCACTTCATGTCTGGCTGGAACTAGCTCAGACTCCTTTTCTAGGAGTCCTGAGTGATCCACGATCAACGAGACTGATGGCCTGCCGTCTGCTCTCACTCCTTCCTTGCTGCAGCCGCACTGAGTCCGTACTGCCTCTGCAGCTTGTCTCGTTCTTCAGTTCTGCGTGCTCTACTCCCCCTGGCCGACTTGCTCAGCTCAGCCACGTGATTTCAGCCTTGATTTGGCTCAGACCGTGCTCACATCTCCCTGGGACTTGTAGGCATAGACTAGCTTCCTGTCCCCCTGGGCATGCCCCTAGTGTCCATCGTTTTTCTTAACACACTGCACTGGACACATGTCTATTTTCTTATCCTTCTCTCTCAAGTGACCGGTCCATAGAACCTCCTTCAGAGCTGGATCCGTGGGTTAGCACGATATTCTGTCATTCTAGCATAGCATTTCATTGATGCCTACGAATGAGAACACGATTATGTAACGGTTCGAGCACAGACTTTGCAGTCAAATCTGATTTCTAATCCTGGCTCAGACATTTACCAGCGATCACACTACAGGCACTTACGTTAGCCCCTCCATTCTGTGCCAGCATCGTCGGAGCGGGTGAAAGGCAGCGTGTTCTTATCACACCGCCTGGCATATAAATGCTCCCAGAGACGGGTAGCGTTGGGCGCTCAGCAAATGTCTCCACATTTGTGATGCTGCCTTTTGAATTTGGGGTGAGTTTGTGTGATTCTGTAATGCTTATGCATACATGCTAGACTGAAAAACTCTTACCTTCCAATCTAACAGTCTTCTATGTGTATTTTTCCAAATAAGTGACTTCCGTCAGCTCTGCTGCATCTGCCATCAAAACCAGTCAGTCTCCGCCCAGGCAGCCTCACCTCCCTGCAGAGGCCGCCAGGAGGCCGCTGCAGACCCACAACGCTGCAGCCGAAAGCAAGAGGCCCAAGTGGGTGCCCCCAGGTACGGCGCGTGCGTGCGGTCAAGGGCAGGGACCTCTGGCGGATCTTTTTTTTCTCCCTCCAGGTGTAAACCCAAGTATCTGAGCCATTTCCCCAGATTGTTAATATTGTTTTAAAACCAAGCTTTAAGTTGCTAATCTTCACTTATTTAGCCATTCCTTCTTTATTATTATCCAAATTGTTTATTTTTTTCCCCCAATATTAAAAATTCTGAAGTCTAGTCCTTGGCCGAAAGAAGCGCTGTGTCAGAGATCCGTGAAATCCGTATGGTATTTTCTGTTTTGAGCAGCGTTCCGTGCTCTTGGCATGCGTGTTGCACCTGTCATGGTTGGCCTTTTGGTGCCGTAGCTTGGCTCCCAGGAACGAGGACAGATAGACAGTGGTGCTCGCCGGGGCTCTCTCCACTCTTCAGATCCAGTTTATTGGTGAATGTCCCCCAGAAAGCAGAGTGAGGCTTACCTCTGTGTGTGTGTGTGTGTGTGTGTGTGTTGTCTTCTGCTGCTTATAAATTAATGAGGAGGAAGAGGTGTCAGACATGGTCAGTGTCACTTCCTGCTCTCTTTCAGCGGCGTCTGGATGCAGCAGCGCCAGCAGCAGCCCGCTCGCAGGAGCCACGGTGAAGTCGCCAAACCAGAGTCTCCGCCTTGGCCTGTCCCGCTTGGCTCGAGTTAAACCTTTGCACCCAAGTGCCGCCAGTAGCTGAGGGAGCTGGCAAAGAAACCTGCGACGCAGAGGGTCCCAGCTCTCCCCATGTGTATGTACTTGATTTGTGGTCATCTCCGTGTTTGAGGGGACATTGCACCATGGCGTGTTGTGTTGTATAAACGTTCTCTCCGTCGGTGATTCTGTTCTCCATAAAGCTATTCAAGCCTCCAGGAAGAGGTTTGTTTATGACTTACCTGCTCATGCCACTTCCTCCTGAGGAGCACGTGCTGTCTTCTTGCACATCAGAAGTCACTGTTGGTGTGTGGCCTCGGTGTGACAGGGAGGGAAGTCGCATCCCGTGCTGTTCCAGTTACATCCTGTCTGTTCCAGCCAGTGCGTGACACCTTCGCTCTGCCTGGAGCTCCCTGGCCAGGGAAGCATCTCCATGGCTTTCAGGAGACATTTCTGATAGTTTCCAAACTACTTAAGCTTCATTAATGGTCAGTTTTATTGCAAAGATGTTTTGTATTCTACCCAAATCACTTTGCAGTGAGTATCTTGCAGGTCACAGTGATTTAAGTAGTCTGTGGATCCTAAACGGATGGTCACTGTGTAGCGAATAGAATTGACATTTTATGAAGTCGTCTTTGTCAAAGCCTTTAATAAAAGTGAAAGTGCTGTTTTGATTGATCCCTTCTCAGGTATCTGTGAATGTGTGCATTTCCTGAAGTCCTTGCAGGGAATGTGAGCCTGTTGCACACAAAACGGGCGGGGGGGGTGGTGTTTCATAACCTCGTGATGTTAAGATAGCACTCTGAAGAGAGGCTCCATGTACTCGGTCATCTGTGTTATTACATTAGGGAGCACACCTCTTCAGGAAGCAGAGAGCTGAATCTGTTGTAAGAACTGTAATGTGTATTTTGTATTTATGGTAAGAATTTCAATGACCCCCAGTGTGGTAGCCTAGTGGCTAAAGTCCTCACCTTACATGCACCGGGATGTCATATGGGCGCCAGTTCTAATCCCGGCGGCCCTGCTTCCCATCCAGCTCCCTGCTTGTGGCCTGGGAAAGCAGTCGAGGACGGCCCAAAGCCTTGGGACCCTGTATCCATGTGGGGGAACCAGAAGAGGCTCTGGGCTCCTGGCTTTGGATCAGCTCAGCTCCAGCCGTTGTGGCCACTTGGGAAGTGAATCAGTGGATAGAAGGAAGATCTTTGTCTCATTTTCTCTGCTTTCCCCTCCCCCACAAAAAATAAATATAGCTTAAAAAAAAACCGTATTATCTAGTTACAGAGTCCTGAGCTACTCTCTGGTCCAGCTCAGCAGTACACATCAGGAGCCTGTTAGGAGCCGATGCATTGATTGGTCAGCTGGCATCAGCCTGACGAGCCGTTTCTGCCATCTTGCTGCACATTCGTTTTTTGTGATCAAAGCGGCCCGGCTGAAAGGAGCAGTGGTTCCTGTGGCCGAGCCTGGTGTCCTTTGTTTCCAAGCCCCCCTGTCCATCATACCCTGATGGAAGCATCCTACTTCGGGGGTCATGTGCCCCCTTTACAATTTTTCTTCCCACGTCCCTGCCTGCTCATTGCTGTTTGGCAAGTTTGTATTCTTTCCTGTCGCCGCCTACACCCACTTTCTCTACGGTGTGCGCTTCCACTTCCTTATGCGGAAACATCCTCACTGGTTTGTCCCAACAGGTGCAGTGCACACACATTCACCTGCCTGCCTGGCTGCCAGGCTGCAGTGCGGCTGGCTGGCCTCCACCTGCTTCTTCAACCTGATCGCACCTGCCCACGTGCACCTTTGACCCCTTGCCCCTGAGTGCGGGCAGCAGTGGTACCCAGCGTTCTTGTGTGCTCTGGCTCTTCAGATTTGTTCTTTCTTGCATTCTTTCCGTGGCTGACCACTATTTTCTTTTAAGATTTATTTACTTTTATTGGAAAGGTAGATCTACAGAGAGAAGGCCAGACAGAGATCTTCCATCCACTGCTTCACTCCCCGGAAGGCTTTAATGGCCAGAGCTGAGCTGAGAGGCCAGAGCTGAGCTGAGAGCCAGGAGTCTTCCGGGTCTCCCTCATGGGGGCGGGGTTCCAAGGACTGCTTTCCCAGGCCATATGCAGGAAGTTGGATTGGAAATGGAGCAGCAGGGACGTGAACCGGCATCCACATGGATTGCTGGTGCTTCAAGGTGGAGGATTAGCCTGTTGAGCCACAGCGCCTGCCCACTAGGCTCATGTTTAAGGGTGCTTTATTTGGGACCGGACCAGAACCTAAGCCCTTTCAGTCCTAAGAGTCACAAAAAGGGCGGAAACCGTCTCCATGGCGACGGGCAGGGGGTGTGGCCTCCACCAACCAGGTCCCATGACTTGCCCTAGCGCCCTGGGCGGGCGGTCTGCGCCAGCCTCATGCAGCTCCTCCCACCCCCGACGCCCACCGGAACAGAGTAAGGGCCTGGGAGTGGGACGGGGCTTGGATGGGTCGAGCGCTCAGGCCGGAGCTACCTGGGGCCCAGTGAGGCCTTCGGACCAGGGTAGAAAGGCCTCCGGAGTGAGGGGTGGAAGCACGGAGAGGGGCGGGCTTACCTGAGAGCTTCCCTTCAGGCTCGCCATCCTGGGGCGCGCCCCCCAGAACCTCCCTCGGGCCGTCCCCAGTCAACAGAATGTCGCCCCCGGAGTTAGGGCATTCCTCGGGAACTCCTGGCGACCTTCCTGGAACCTGTGCTTCCAAGCCTGACCGGACACTTCGCACGCGGAACTGCGTCCTGCCACTGGGGCCTTCCGTTCACGGGTTATTCACCAGCGGGTCCACGGCCACGGGCCTCAAGGTTCGCCCACGCGCCCGGGGCAGCCCGCTAACGGAGCAGGCAGAGGCGCCCGGGGCACCCCGCTAACGGAGCAGGCAGAGGCGGTGCGTGTTCCACACCCAGCAGCCACGCGCTCGCCGCCTCCCGCTCCGCGGAGTTCCCAGCCTCAGCAATGCTTTCACTTGGAGAAAACCAACCCGCCACAGCATCCGTCAGGGCTGCGGGACCCCTCTGACTGACCGCGTCCCCAGTCTTCAACGGAAAAGACCCTGCTGCTGAGGCTTAAAGCCCTGGCAAAAGGTCGGGCCCATTGGAAGGGATAAGTGTGGCATGAGCCGGCGTGTGGTGGTGAGTATGTGCTAACGAGGCGTTCCAGGGAACCCTGCGAACCTGCGCAGAGGGTGCTGGGTAGCGGACCCACCAAGCCTCTTCCTCACTGAGCCTTCTCCTGCTTTGTATTCCTTGCAAACGGGCTAAATGCACACACTTCTTAAAGCTGCAAAGGACCCACTGGCGGAAGTTAGAAGTCTTAGGGGTGTTTGTTTGTTTTAAGATTTATTCATTCTATTGCAAAATCAGACATACAGAGAGGAGGAGAGACAGAGAGGAAAATTTTCCGTCCGATGATGCACTTCCCAAGTGACCGCAACGGCCAGTGCTGAGCCAATCTGAAGCCAGGGACCAGGAACTTCTTCCAGGTCTCCCACATGGGTGCAGGGTCCCAAGGCTTTGGGCCATCCTCGACTGCTTTCCCAGGCCACAAGCAAGGAGCTGGATGGGAAGCAGGGCTGCAGGGATTAGAACTGGCGCCCATATGGGATCCCAGTGTGTGCAAGGTGAGGACTTTAGCCACTAGGCCACTGTGCCAGACCCAGAAATTTTAGTTTTGAACCCCCATGAGTATGTTGTGATGAATTAAAAGGGCAGAAGTTGACATCGACTGTATTAATGAGTAGATAATTAATAGTTAACTGTAATAGTTAATTGATTTGTAATTAATAGATGGCTAATAGTAACAGCTAATGGAGTCTGGCAAGTTTGTCAAAGTCTTATCGGCTGACTTAGCACTGACTAGAACATAAGCTAGATTCTAGAATACGGTAGCTACTTTAAGAGAGGTCGTTTAGAGAGTTAGAAATAGAAGCAGTCTGAACCTGGCCCTCGGTCAGGCCTGGATTCTCTCTCCCAGGAGGGTATGAAAAGTACAAAGCAGAGAAGCCCCAAGAATGCCTGGAGACGAGCAGGTGCAAAGGAGGGAAAAACACTTTTTACTGTTCAAGTTCCGAGCGTTCTAGAATGCTCATGTAGAAGAGCAGGTTGATAGCAAGGAGTGGAGTGGGATGCTTTGCTCAATAAGGTTTTCCAACACACATTTTACCCAATACCAGGTGTCGTTATTAGCAGAGTGGACAGTGGGTTGCCCAGGAAAACAGCACACTGTGTCATGGAAGTATTCCTGCATAGCCAGGGTCATTGCCCAGGGTGCCGTCAGGAGGCCCACTGCCGTGGGAAAATGAGTAAAATGGTCCTTAAAACCTCTACCTGCTCAAAAGAGTGTGCGGGAATTCTCAAGCGTTTCAGAGCCTTGTGCAGTGGGGGCCAGAAGTGCTTACAGGCTGCTGTGTGTGTGTCAGTTAAATGCATGAATGCATGGCCCCCCAAGTGCAGAAATGCAGGAGGGATCCATGTATGTCGTAAATGGCCACAGCGTGTGCCTCATGGCAGCCCCAACGTCACGACGATCTAATCACAACAGAGCAAACTCAAGAAACCCATTTCCTCTCTGTCATGGAGGTCCTGTCTCCCTAGAAAGGGCATATGTACGGATTAACATGCAGCATGGCGATGTGGGAACACTGTGCGTGTGTGCGTGTGTGTGTGTGTGCGTGCCTTGCCCCAGACTTCCAGCTCCTTGCAAACCAGGATGATGTGCACGGTAGTTCATTCTGTCACAGGTTTTGATTAGTCTCAACTATTCAAGATCTCTTTCTTCAGAAGAGTTGTACAAAACAAGTCACTGTCCTCACTCTTGGAAGACATTTAAACAACAACAACAGACCCTCACAGGACAAACCAAGAAACCAATCAGATTAGTTTCTGCAAAAAGACAGTCACCCATTGATGACCTTCCCAGTAAGCTGAGACCATCAATTCCTGCTTAAACATTAAGCCTGATCCGTTACTGTGTGTGGAGGTTTGAGCCACAGAGTATTCTTAAGGCTGGGGCTAGGGAGGGGGTGTGATAGCCTCATCTCTGAGCATGTGTGATGGCGTCAATAATCATATTATGCAAGCATTTCATATCAATTGCACATGGGAACTGCAGACGTATGAGTTTACTCAGCTTATCAGAACTCTAAAGATTGCAACTCGAAGTGTTCCAATGTTTTTACTTTACAGACTAGTATTTAAATAACCTAATAATCATTTCAAGTCACGCTTGTCATCTTTACCTGTAAGATTCCAAATCAAGGTGAAACTAAAATATTTGCACCCCCAGGTAATTAAAACTGTTGACTGGCAAAAATGAGCTCCGGAGATACACTGTGCTATGGGATTCTGAAGGCTAGAGTTCGGTGTTGAGAGCTAGGCAAACTGGCCTGCGTGTTAGATAAAGAAAATAAGGAACTGGAATTTCCAATGCAGTTCAGTTCAGCTCTCCACAGCAGCACGCACGGGAGCTCTGACACTTCATGTGCAATCCTTCATGCAACAAGATACAAGCAACACAAAGTATTTAATTTTTTTCTCCCATGTGGTTTACCACACGTAAAAGATAAACATTTGCAAGGCTGTGAGCAGGGGTTAAATGTTATTGTCGGAAACCAGATTGATTGTGCCAAGGCACACTCGGGAGTGTTGGATAACCCCAGAACCAGCTGTGGTAGGAAAATGTAGTCCAGCACAGTGATTTCCCCCCCAACCCCCCAAGTTCTAACAATCTTTTCACAGAAGAAAGATTACATTTAGAACTGGAAGGGACTTGAGAGGTTTTCTGGTCCATTCTTATTTTACCATTGTGAAAACAGTTCAGAGAAAGCAGTTGACTCCTTTAAAACGGAGGCAGTCTTTGTGGGGCAGCCCTGAGTCTGGCGTCCAAGTCCAGTGCTTGCTCCTTCTGTTAACCTACAAAACTGCCAGAACTGAACAAAGAGTTCTGTTGGGATAAGTGCATGTGGACTTTTACGGGCTCCCACATCCGGTGCAGCAGCTTCTAATACAGAGTCTTGTTGCATTCGGTTTCCTCTGGTGTCTCAATGGCACAACCCCATGTCCATTCGATGGCCAAAATCCCAGATAAATTCCTTCACCTGCCCCAGTCCTGGACCTGCCTTGGCAGCTCTCCCGGTGTCCTCTGTAAACGCAGCCATCGCTAGCATTGTAATGCTCTGTTACCAGGCTCCTCCTCTCCTGCGTGCCCAGTTCTGGAACGCAGAGACTATCTCAGCAAATGACTGTCAAAAGAAGGGCAGCAGGGAAAAAGGAGGTAGAACTGTGTTTGCTAGCAAACAATGATTATTCCCGTCAGTTTTGTGTACAGTTTTCCATTGTGTATGTGCCGTGCCTTCGGCTTCAATTCGACCTTCCCTTTCACCTCTCCTGGCCCCGCTCTGGCCTGTCGCAGTGTGTTTCTTCCAGTGCCTCCTCTGGACCACATGCAAGCCCCTTACTTTTATTCAAGAAATAATTTGGGTAATACCACACACATTGTCCTACTGTGCTTGGTCAGTACATCGGAGTGTAGATTAAGATGAACCTCATTTCTTAACAACTGTATCTCTTTTATAAATCTCCACTTCAACTAGATTGCATAGAAGGCTGCAAGCTTTTTCATCTTGCTGTAAGTTATTTGCAAAGCTGTCTCTAAATGAGTGTGCGAAGACAGCCAGATGAGGTCCTAGCAAAGCCGTCCTAGCAACCGTCCCACTTTCTTTTTCTATAAACACGAGGTCATCCTAGTAGCCAGCTACTTCATGCGTAGGGTAGGAGAATATCCTCACAGCAAGAGGGTGAGGTTTATTTGGCAATTAGTTCAGGGGAAAGGGGGTCTTTTGGGCTTGACATCTAACAGCTGACCTCCTAATCACCCCTCTTCCTCCTGTCACTCCCTCTGCTCTCCAGCCTCAACCGCAGGCAGGGCGGAGGACAAGTGAAACTCGGCCTTCATTTTAGTCGAGCCGTCTTGCTTTGTTCAGACCAGCCCAGCTTCCTTCCACCTGTGTGCTGGAGGGGCATCAGTCTTTACTCCCACTGCTGGACTCATGTTTTGACTCTTCCCTCCCACAGGACTCAAATGGACGCTAAAAAGCCACTGAAACAAAGTTTGACGACCCTCCCAATTTTGAAAACCAGGAAGAAACAAAATTTCACCTCTGTGAAGGTAAACGTCCTTTCATTTCGACTGGGGAAGAGAGGTGTCCTCATGAAAACTTGAGAACGCCAGACCGTGGGGACACTGCCGGGCCCCAAATATCTCTGGGGACTGTGTGAAGGGGCCAGCTGTGGAGGACCATGCTGGTTGGCAAAGGCAGGTCTAGGCAGGCAGGAGCCTGCAGATGCTCAACTGTGGAACAAGACCTTCATCTAACAGGTGGCTTGTATGTGAGGAGCCCCTGTTGCTTCCATAGTGTCTTTTATTTCATTTTGTTTATTGGGACCACACCAGAGTACAAGAATAGTTCTCAACAAATATTATTTAAGAACTCTCCCAGGAAATGTCAGAGTTTTGTTTGGGTGCATGGTTTTTGCCCAATGCATACATCCTTTTTTTTTTTTTTTTTTTTTTAAACTGCGTCTCAAAAACTATGAAAATGTCAAATGCCAGAGCCCCAAAGGTCAGATAGTGATGTGGTCCTTTTGTGTTTATCAATCTATGAGGATGCTTCAAAAAGTTCATATGAAAATGGAATTAAGAAACAAACTTATTTGAACACAAAATAAAGATAAGAGTCTTTAAAAAGTTCATGGAAACACAGATAATGAAAAAAAAATTATGCATGGGTTTAAATTCTTTTTTGCACCAGGAGAAACTTATATTTTAATGATATTTTCCATAATCTGAAGTATCTTCCTTTAAGATCAACTTCTTTCTCTCTCATCGTTGCCCAATTAGACTTTGCATGGGTTAAATAAGTTTAAGGAAGGAAATGCAAACATAGTGTTAACTGCCCCCCTTTGAGCTCAAGTGGACAATTATGCTATGAATTGGAGATTGTAAATGAATGGTATCAATTATGACCTCTTCACCCAAAAGACTGGAGTAAAAAAATTAATAATCATAGCGTTGCAACTGCCCAGTCTATTTTTAAATTTTAAATAAATTATTGCTGATTTATACATTATCATAGTATTTAATATTATGAATTATTAACAAAATTTGTAGTAAACATCAAACATTTAAATATCTTAACCGGATCTGACATGATAGCTCAACTGGTTAATCCTGTGCCTCCAAATGAAATCCCATCTGGCCAGCGGTTTGGTTCCTGGCTTCTCCACTTGCAATCCAGCTCCTTGTTTATGGCCTGGGAAAGCAGAGGAAGGTGGGCCAAGGCCTTGGGATCCTGCACCCACTTGGGACACCCAGAGGAAGATCCTGGCTTCTGGCTTCAGATAGGCTCAGCTTTGACCAGTTGCAGAATGGATGGAAGATGTTTCTTTCCGTCCCTCCTCTTTGTAAGTCTGTCTTTCCGATATAAATGAATAAATATATTTAAAAAAATACCTTAACTATGGATCTTAGCCAGAGACTTTCGAACATGATTTTTAAAGGCTGATTTCACTTGCTTGTTAGTCCACAATGTGGTCCTCTCTCTAGTAGTGTGGGATTCTTTTCACAAAGCATCCATTCATTTGGCTGGGTTCTAAAAAAAGGGAAAAAAAAAAGTTAAAGTACAATCTACCTGTGAGTGTTCTATGTTTGCCCATGGAGATTTCCCATCCTTGCTGTTTAGCCAGTGGGGCTCTCAATGCCCTGCAGGGGAATGCTCTGTATTGGAGCTTATCCTTCCTGTGTGGCCCTCTGGCCTAGTAAGTGACAGGGCATCTAGCTCCTTAATGTTTCCAGTAAGGAGAGCAGTACCCCCAGGGACCCAAAGAGCTAGTGGCCATCCAGCACCTCAGGTTAGGCCATGCTGGCGGGATGCCCTGGAGGCCTTGGAGCTGGAGGAGAGAGCTCTGTTCGTTCAGGCTTTCACTTTACAATCATCTTCCTGACCATGAGCAGGTGCTATAGAGTGTTTCTGGAATCTAGCCAAAGAGTCATGTTGTGGGTCAGCACAGGACACAAAGGGACTTTTCTCTGTCCATCTTCTTAAATCTAAGTCATTCAACTGCTAAATACCACTTCTTTACCTAGGCCTTCCTTTCCCACCTTTTTAAATTATAGATTTGTTGTCTTGTTTAGTACCTGCCTCATCTTCCAGAACCGTCTGTGTAAACAGCCCTCCACACAGGCCTGTGGAAGTTCTGGCATGTGGCCCACCTGGATGGAGGCTGTGAGCATAAACACCGGAGTTCAAAGACAGAGTGTGAAAACAGTGAATGACAAACCACTTACAAGCAACCCTTTCATGGGGTGCATTTTATCAATGTATACCTTAATAAAATTGAAAAAGTAGTCTTACGTAGATCTATGTGAAAAATATTCTGCAGATGGTGTGCTCAGTAGATAAATGAAGTTGATTTCACATGTTTATTTTTACTTCTGTTAAAGTGGTTACTACACAATTTTAAATTACATGAGTGGGTTGCTTGCCTAATGTTTCTGTTGGAAGGTGCTGTTCTAGATTGGTCGCTCCATGGTGCTGATGGATGGATGGCTCTTTGCTGAATTGTCAGCACCTCGGACAGTGCCTCGTGTGACCCAGCACTTGCTGTGTCTTTGTGGAATGAAAACAATAAACTTGAATATTCGTTTGTCCCCTCTGAATATTTATTGAATGCCAACTTGGTGTTTTTTTTTTCTTTTTAAAGATTTATTCATTTTTTGCAGTTCTTTGTGGCTAAATGGGCACAACTGGAAACTATAATGCTAAGGGAAATGAGCGAATCCCAAAAGATTAGATACCACATGTTTGCCTTGATTTAACCTGTAATTTTTTGTTTGGTTGTTTGTTATTTTTTGAACCTGTCATTGATACTGTCTCAACCCAGATGATTCGAAGAATGGAACTTGCATTATTTTTAACATATTGTTTACCCAATACTATGTCAATTAATTCCATAATGTTGTATATTGATACTGAGGCCTTGTTGGGGCTTTTAACTGACCGGATCTTTACGCTGTTAGACCTATCTTCAGACCATAGAAGGTCTCCCCAAGAGGCCACTGAACTTATCTGGACAATAAGACGCTGAACTTTATGCTAGGCATGTGTTTGCAAGCAATGAATCTCAACTGAACTTGAACTATGGTTATGCAACAAGGTGGAGGAATCCACCATGGGGGGAGGGGTATGGGAGGGGTGGGGGGAATCCCCAGTGCCTATAAAACTGTACTACATAATACAATGTAAGCAACAATAAAAAAAAATTTATTCATTTTTATTGGAAAGTCGGATATACAGAGAGGAGGAGAGACAGAGAGAAAGATCCTCCCTCTGCCAATTCGTTCCCCAAGCTGTGGCAATGGCCAGGGCTGTGTCAACCCAAAACTTAGAGCCAGGAACCTCATCTGGGTCTCCCACATGGGTGCATCCTCGACTGCCCTCCCAGGCCACAAGCAGGAAACTGAATGGGAAGTGGGGCAACCAGGACCAGATCCTGTGCCCATATAGGATCCCTGTGAGTTCAAGGCAAGGACTCCAGCCTCCGGGCCAGGATGCCAACTTGTTTTAAACATTTTCTGTGTGCCAAGGATTCACTGGGCAACCCTCCCCCCCAAAAAAAAGCTTTGATGTATCTTAAAATAGAGATTCTTTGAAGAAAACTAAATGTTTCAGTTTGATGCCAAGCATAGTAATGCCCGGCCCTCATTGTCCATATTGCTAGAATTGAAAATGAATAACTTAGTGGATCTTAACCTGGTTTTTATATTTAGAAGAGGCCAAGGAAAATTTCAAAACCAGAATTTCTAGGAGTCATGGACATTGTTTTTCAAAAGCTCTCTGCTATCATGTGGGATCAGATGTCTTTTAATACATTCATTATGTCATCAACTCTCAAGTATTTGCTGGTTGTAAGACTGGGAACTGTGCGTACATCCCCTGGTGGTGGTTCTGTTAAATGAGGGGTGAGCGCGTGAACACGCGGCTGGCTGATGCTGGGGCCAGTCAGTACTGATTCCTTTGACCTTGTCTTACTCTTTATCTCCCTCCTCTCTTTCCATATAACAAAAAGGGGTTTCCTATAACAGATGGGCTTCTAAGTGAATACAAAAGAGCACCCTTTCTGTTATTTCATCAACACTCCATATTTAAAAATCACAAAACCCAAGCTGACCACTTGGTATTGCAAAGGCATGCAAATTGCAATCAAAGCTGAAGGGAGAGGCTTCACTAGCCAGTATGCTCCAGGTTTTCAAGGTGATCCACTGGGATTTATGATTATTAACCCAACTTTCCTTTATTTTTTATTAGACCTATTTTTGTTTGGAAAGCAGAACTACAGAGAGAAACAGGGGAAAGGTGAGGGAAGGTGAAGAGAGAGAGAGAGCTTCCACCTGCTGGTTCACTTCCCAGATGACCACAATGGCTGAAACCAGGAGCCAGGAACTTCTCGGTCTCCCATGTGGGGCGGCAGTGTTACAATCACTTGGACCATCTTCCATGAGTTTTCACGGGCCATTAGCAGGGAGCAGTACTGGAGGTGGAGCAGCTACAACATGAACTGGTGCTCATCTGTGATGCTGGTATCCCAGGCAGCAGTGTAACCTGCCTTGCTACATCATCTGCCCCAAACTCACCTTTTCAATGCATGTGGGGACTCAAACTAGAAGAACATGTAATGATCCCATCAGTAAAATGTTAAGGCCTAGACTGTATAACCACAAGCAGCCAGTCTTGGCTCGATACCATTGACGGCTCAATGACAAGCGTGTTGTACTGTGAGGGGTTTGTGTTGGGGTGGCTTTGGAGTGCTGGAGGGAGCAGAGTGCTTACACACTTTTTCTCCTGTTCTCTCAGGACCCCGCTCTTCCTCCTGAGATCTACGTTGTAAGTACCGATGCCCTTGCTCTGCCATCCTTGTGCGTGTCCAGCTTTTTTTGCATCTTCTTTTAATCATGTTCTGAGGAGCTTATCACCCCATTTCACCAAGGTGACACTGAGGCCCAAAAGAGAGGAATCAGAGTGCCTAAAGACACTCAGCTAGTACAAAGCCGAAGTCAGGATTGTGATTATTTTCTGCAATTTTGGATGCTTTTTAAAGTTTGAGGTTTTTTTTGTTATTAAATATTGAGTATGTAGAAAAGAATACTTAAGATCTATACCTAAGGTATAAGGAATAATACAGAGGTGAGTGTTTGGCCCAGGGAGTAAGACAGTCACGTCTGCTATCACAGTGCCTGGGTTTTGTTCCTGCTTCCAGTTCCCAATTCCAACTTCTTGCCAGTGCAAACCCTGGGAAGCAACAGATAAAGGCTCCAAACCAGACTGACTTCCTCACCCCCGACGGCTGTCTGGCCGAGCTCAGTCCTTTGCTGGGCGTAAGCCAGTAGATGAGAGTTCTGCTTGTCCCTCTGTGTCACATATATCATATGTACAAGGAAAACAATGAGCACTGGAAGAAGTTCTGTGTGTACCTTCCCCTTGTCCTACTCATCAGCTCTCTGAGATAATCAGCTCTTGAACTTGACTTCTATTAATCCATTGTTTTTCATGGTATGTTTCTCAACCTCTTAAATGATGATCTGGTTGATTTTTGCTAATTGGTCAATATAGATTTGCATGGTATTCAGGGCTCTCTGCCCCTTGTTTTCAATGCTCAGGAGTAAGCCGGCACTCATGAGCATAGCAATTGGCTACCTTTCATTTGAATTGATCAGGTCTCTGTGCTAACCATTATCTCAAAGACTCCTCGCTCTGAGTGTTTAGTTAGTATGAATGTCATCTCTGCAGTTTGATTGCTATGGAGCATTGTATGGGCACACCATGCTTTTTGTCAGCTTAAAGTTGATGGTCATGCTGAGACCAAGGTTGGGAAGTAGTGTTTTCCTACAGTGGTCATCAGTCTGGGTTCCCCAAGAGGCTGAAAGCTGTGTGCAAGGGATAATCCCAGGGTGAGCTGAATGAATCTTTGAGACTGATGAGACTTGGGGGAGGGTACACCCTACCCAACCCCCAAGCCAGGAGTATTTCCCACAGTATAAACAGTGGAGAGCACACTAGCTCATGGGAACTCCTTTTCTATTTATAGACAACGCTGAACTTTTGAGTTGAGCTAGACACTCCTTCTCTTTAATTTTTGCACTTTGATTTTCTTCTGTCCTTTGGACTAGGCAGAATAAATTTATTATGTCACTAGTGAGAGCCATTACTCAGGAGTTTTTTTTTTTTAAGAATTATTTATTTGAAAAGCACACACAGAAAGAGGGAGAGAGAAAGTGAGAGAGAGAGAGAGAGAGAGCACTTCCATTTGGCTCACTCTCCAAATAGACTTTACTTTTGAGAACAATTTTAGATTTGCAGAAAAATTGAGCAGATACTGCAGAGAATTCCTATCGACCACTCCCTAACCCTCTACCCATCTATTCACATATTAGACATATTAGTACAGTGCATTTGTTACACGTAAAGAGCCAATATCAATACTTTATGGTTACTTTTAATGCCTATGAATTTATTTTAATGTACCTGAAAGGCAAAGTCAGAGAGAGAAGAGAGAGGAAGAGACCCTGTTTCCGCTTTGGGCAAATGTTCGTCCTTTTCTTAGGAGTATTCTGGAAGAAGGAAGCCTGTGAATTCTTTTTTAAAGGACAGAAACTAGGATCAAACCACAGCCTGTTTGCTAGACTGGACTCATTTCAGTGCCAGCTTTGTCATACCCTTATGGTACTCAGCTTAGTTTGTTTACTTAAATTGTATCCTTATACTGAATAATAATAATCAAAATTACAATTTAGTGTGCAGGCTGTAATTTTTAAAGTGACTATTAAAATAGATGTGTAACCGTTAGAAAACCATCTATGTGCAGCCCACAATTGTGCCTCCTTCCTCCTGGGTGTGCTCAGTAATACCCTTCAGAACACACTGCTCTAGGATCGGGGTTTCTGCTCCCCAACCCTTTCTAGATGTGAAGTTTCTTCTGATCAACCTGGGGTTCTGGCAGGTTCTCCTTCCGGAAGCTTTGGAGTCATCCTGAGAGTGCAGAGGGTTCTGGGCAAGGCTGCGAGCTTGTTCTGTGCTACAGAGAAACAGCCGCACAGCTTTTATTCCCTCCATGCTGAGGGAGTCTAGATTTTTGAAAAAAAAAATTACAGCGATCTTTTTAAGCATGAAAACCATCAGATGAGCAACACCAGGACTTTCTTCTGGAAAGATCTGGAAGGAGCATTTTCCTGAATAGTTATTCCTTCGTACTTTATTGAGTACTTCTTTGAGTCTTTTTTATTTTTTGGTTCTTTCTAGCTTGGGAGTCAGGAGAACTGCTTTCAAGTATATCTTTATTGTAATGAAACAAACAAAAAAATCTCATAACTTGGGGGGAAGCCATGCAAAGAGCTATTACAGTTCTCATACTTGATCTTGCTTGAGAGTAAATCTTTGACCCAAGTCCCGAAACCATCTTCTAAGATGAAGAACATCAGAATGGCTCAATCCGTGAGTCGGGTGTTACCTTAGTTCAGTCTGCCGTTAGCAAATATCTGGGGCTGAGGTGCTTCATAAAGAGATGCATACAGCCCCGAGTGTTGGCCCCACCTGTTGGCCTCTGAGCAGACCCTTGTGGTGAATGATATCACAATGGTGAGTGTGTGAACCCAAGAGGTCGCATTGCCACAGAGAGGCAGCTGCCAGATTGTCACTTTGCTTTTTCAATATCAACCTGCTATTGCAGGAACTAACCAGAGTCCTGTGAAAGCTGCTTTAGTCCTTTCTCAGAATGGCTCCCCCGCAGTGACCTAACTACCCTTCATTAGACCCCGTTGCTCAAGGGTTCCACCATCGCCATATTGGGGAGCAGGCTTCCAATACGTGAACCTTTGGGGAACACACTTAAACTCTATCTGGATCCTAGCAGGTAGGAAGCCATGGTTAGTGCCTGTCGCTGCAGGAAACCGAGGGCAAGTGGATGGCTAGGGAACCTTTTACAAGCTTTTTTTTTTTTTTTTTTAAGATTTATGTTTTTTATTGGAAAGGTAGATGTACAGAGAGGAGGAACTTCGTCCGTTTATTCACTCCCCAAGTGGCCACAATGGCTGGAGCTGTGCCAATCCAAAGCCAGGAGCCTGGAGCCTTTTCCAGGTCTCCCACGCAGGTGCAGGGTCCCAAGGCCTTGGGCCATCCTCGACTGCTTTCCCAGGCCACAAGCAGGGAGCTGGATGGGAAGCAGGCCACCAGGCTGGAGCCCATATGGCATCCCGGTGTGTGCAAAGTGAGGACTTTAGCTGCTAGGCCCACAAGCTTTTCTTCTTCTTTTTTTTTTTTTTTTTTTTAACTTAGCATCATCCTATGATAACATTCTATTCTTATCACCATACAGTGTCTCCACACAGTTTTGTTATTCATTAATGGTCAGACTATTTTTATTAATCAGTTAACCAATCAATGCAGAAGGGCAAAATTTGGCGGAAGTGGAGCTTATGTTGCACCAAAGAATGTTTGCATCATAAAGAACTTCCCCATGCAAGGGTGGTGAGATATTGGAATGGTAATAATAAGGATTCGCTGTGGAGTACTCCACACTGCCGTCTTCCCTGATCCAAAAGAAACCTCATGATCAGGTTTCCATAGCTGCCGTCCTTGTGGTGATGGAATAAACAAGGCACAGGGAAGAAGTTGACATGACCTCTTCGAGGTCTAGAGATTGTCATGGTGGGGCACAAATTCCAACTCAAAGTGCCCATCACCTAGATTATTCTGTTCCCTGAAACCTGCTTTTCTGAGAACATTAAAAGCAGATTTGAGCCCAGATTTCAAAGAAGATCCATCTTTCCTTTACTGAGAGTGTTAGCAGGTCTAACACCCGAGGACACTTTCTTGCCTGAGAGTTCCATAACTTATCCAATTTCTCCCCATGTAGAACAAAAACACCAGCATTACCTCACTCCCTTTTGTGGATACCAAGGGGAAGAAAAACATGGTTAGCTTCCCATGCATCAGCAACAAAATCCTGCTGAGGCCACCCCTGCTTCATCAGGTGAGTAGGCTGATGGACCTGCCTCGGCAGTCAAGTGAAAGACCTGGCTTTGGTCTGTAACCAGGTTAGAAAGAAGGTGAGCTTGACTGAATACGTCATGGACCTTCGTGTCATCCACAGTATGGGTTCTCAATAAACCACGAAGACTTATTGAGAACATCTGGTATATCAATGATAGATCGACATACAATATTATTTTCCTCCTGTCATTTTTCCTTTTTCTGTGCTAGGACCAAATGAGACATTCTAGGGGGAGTATCAAAATAAAGAGGTGGCATCAGCTCCTAAAATCAAGCTTTGGTGTCGTTGGGCAAGTCAGCTTTATCTCGTGGGGAACTAGCCTTCCCAAGTGAAACCTCGTTGCCCTCTCTGCCTGCAGTGACATATTGCTGAATTTGTCCACTGTATACTGTGATGTACCTGGATCTCCCGGGGCATAATGTAGGAGTCAGACAAACACTTTGAAAAAAAAAATGGAAGATTGAACAAAATTATTTTCTTTTAATGTACCTGGATATGTGTATACTGGGCCAGATAAATGATTTGTGACCAACCCCACCCCACCCCAGAGAAACTTCAGTAGTTCTCTATTGCTAACTTTTTTTTTTTCCCCTTTGGACAGGAAAATCAAACTCACAATCACGTGCTGGCCTCTGAGCTCAAGGCTTTAGAGACATCTTACCACTCTGGCATTAAAAAACAAGATAGCAAGTCAGAGCAGAAATCGCCGAGGAAGCACAAGGTGCCACTGACAGCAACAGGTATGCTTCTGGGACAGCAACAAGATGTGTGCATTTTGGGGTGGTTATGGGTGGTTGAGTTGTTCAGAGCTGAGCTGAGCCGAGCTGGAAAGGGCTAAGCTGCTGGGTGTGAGAGTTGTGAGAGCAAGAAAAAGTAGAAATTAAGTCTTCAATCTCTTCCTGGGATTGTAGAAGCAGCAGTTCAACCAAGAGAAAGTGTCAGCTCTGTACTGCCTTGGGCAAACATCAGATGCATGGGCACTGACTGGCTTCCCAGGGAACTCCAACAGAAGGCTCCTGCCACCTCATAGACCTAGGAACTAGGGAGAAGAGAGAAGGGTGGGAAGTGCAAGTCAAAAATAGAGAAAAATGCCGCACTTTCTCCTTTTGTAGAGGAGGTCTTGGCAGAAATGGCTGAGAAAGCCTTTAGTAGGGCTCCTGGCCTAGGAATAAGGGCATGGACAGCTTAGGGGCCTAGTGTTTGGCTGGAACCCACTTCAGAGTGTGCCATGCCTTGGCTATACACCAGATCTGGTGAGGGAATGGCAGCTGAAAAATATCACACATAGGTGCGTGACTGGGAGGCAGACCCCCTGTGGGAAGCTGTGAGGATCCAAAGGAAGAGACCCAAATCCATGGAGCATCTCCATTGTGAAATTGAAATTTATTGTGCTGCTGCTGGTTAGATAAGAACAAGAGCTGCCCATGACGGCCCACTTCCAGTTCTGAGCTAGTGCCAGGTGCTTTTACAAAATTGGTATCTACCTCCATGTTCTTTTGTGTGGGTTCTGCTTTCTTCCTCTGGGAGAACATGATGGCTACGTGACTGTGCAGCTCCCATGGGAGGCCAGGGGTCTTATCCCTCTTGAATGTTATTGCTTCTCCTCGAGGTTCCTTCTATAACTCTCCAGGGATTCATCAGTCACATGATCATGAGTTCTCTTCTGGGAACACTCCTCTATTTAAGTATGAATTTCATCCCCAACCCTTCACCCCTCCGGCTAAATATCAACATCCTGCTCTGATCCGAGCAATGCAGAGAAGAACCGAGGCAACTCCTTCCTGGTAGTCTGAGCTTCCCACTAGCTGATCTACTGGTCTGGATGGGAGCACTTCCTGGGTCTTCCAAGTTGCGCTTCTGTTACCCGTTTGGTCTTTGAAAACGATCATGGCTTCCAGACACTCTCGGTATAGATCATTTGTGTAGCCTGGTTCCACATTAGCTTGAGCAGATGCCTCCTTGAGAGTGTAGGAGAAAATTTCACAGACTTTGCATGCAGCAGGAACTTAACCTAGCAGCTAAGATGCCCACATAGCATACCGCATCATAATACAAGGATTTAAGTCTTGACTTCCTTTCCCAGCTCCAGCTTCTGGCTAATATAGATGCAGGCAGGCAGTGGTAATGACTCAGGTAACTGAGTTTCTGTCCTGTAATTGAGTTCTTGGTTCCTGGCTCCAGCACTGACCCATCTGTCACCCTTGTGGGCATTTGGCAAATGAAACAGTGCGTGGGAGCACTCTTGGTGTCTCATAAACATACCAACATTTAAAAGTAGAATGTGTGGAAAATGGGATTAAAACATACATTTATTTTGGTGCAAAATGATCTTGAAATCCATGCATGTAGAGGTGTTCAAAAAATGTCAATGAAAATGCATAGTATGAAAAAAGTATGCATTGATTTAAACATTTTTATACTGAAATAAATGTATCTTTTAATTCCATAAACAATATGATATATGCTCAGACTATTGTTGATCCTAAGTTTACTTTTGATTTTTTTTTTAATGCATGCTGCTGCAACCCATAGTTCCTTAAGGGTAGAAATGACCCCTTTTCCTGCCTTTGGGTTTTGCTGAAATAAGCACCTGGCCTTGAGCCTGGTCCTCGTGACGTTGCCCTGTATGAGGTTCTTGCTGCGTGAGTCTCTATAAACCACCTAGCTGAGGTCAGGCTCAGGAAGAGGCAGGGAGGCAGGCCGTAATCTGTACCCCAGGCAAATCCCTTCATCCCCTCAACTGACTGACGGCTGTAGTGTTTTTCACACAGAGGCCCTAAAGTTTTTTAAGAACCAGCTGTCTTTTTATGAACGAAGTGAAATCCTGGGCTATACAGAGCTATGGTTCCTGGGGCTTGAAGCTGACAAGCTCAACATGGCTCCCGAGAAACTGAGCAAGACAAGTTTTGATGATGAAAATGGCTCCTACATGAAGGTAATGGGGGAAGTGGATTGTGGGAAACGCGAGGGCTTGTGAGCAGGGTATTGCCTGGAAAGGAATAGTATTTCAGGGTAAGAGATAGAAGGGACCAGTAGGTACTAGACCAAAGAAATGCCATGTTTAAACATAGAAAGGTGTGCAAAGTAGTATGCCAAATGCATTATTGACAGAACACTGATTTTGTTGAGGAGTATCTGGGATAACAGGTGCACATCTGGATGACCTCTCACAGGCAGAGCACTGCACTCACTAGGAAAGACCAGGTTGGAGTCAGATGATCTCCCCAGTACTTGCTTTGTCATTGCCTCCATATAATTCCACACTGTGTGATTAGATGCACACTCTTCTATTTTACAGTGACTCTCCTTCTCTGCCACTCCCAGACAAAAACATGTTGGTCCCTGAAGTGCCTAGTGTTTAGTACTTAACTTCAGGCTGCTTTCCAAAACCTGATTCCAGCAGCTCTTCTTTTTGTCTTGGACTGTGTCTCTGGGGTAGCATGAGGTTCCCCAGGGATAGTGCAGTACCTCTTTCCAGCCTGAAGATGAAATCTAGGCAGTGATTTCCATTTCTGAGAGTGTCTGAATGTGTGAGGCTCGGTTCACAGGCTGTCAGCTCTGGGAAATTTCCTTTTCGGCACGTTTCTTCACAGGTTGGTTTTAAGAGTCAGCATGACTTTGTCGAAGAGGTGGATTTTCTTAATGGCATTCAGAGGCACGTTTCTAAGGCTTCACTAGTACACACACCACTTGGAGGACTTGTTAAAACCGGCAGGTGTGAAGGGACAGCTGGGATTTAGTATGTCCAAAAGGTTTTCCAGATGACGTCTGGATTTTCAACTCTTTGAGCCACACTTGGAGGAGAACCAGGGATTTTGTCACCTACCCTCCATCTGCAGCCATGGTTCTCAACATTTTTGAGTCAAAGATTTTTTGGGGGGGAGTCTATAAAAACTACAGAGCTTCATGCCAGAAAAGGCAACCTTCACATACAGAAAATGTCATAGAGTCAGCAGATCCTTGCTTTAGAATCCTCAATAGAATCCTGCCCTCCACTTTAGACACACTTAATCCCTTCATCCCTGCTGCATCCCTCACCCCAACCTACCTGAGCCCGAGCCTCTAAGAATTCTCTAAGGATGTCGGTACTGCCTTCTGTTAATTTACTATAACTCAGTCCCTCAATGTCCAACCTTAGAGAGCTGTTCTTTCCAGCGGGAAGAGGGGGATCATGGATGCTTTCCATAAGCCCCAATTCTCCGTCTGCATTGTATTTCAGAGCACACACACGTGCATACTGCACATCACCACGTTCTCCTGTGTGACTAGATCCCAACCGCACATTTATACTCCCATCTTGAGAAACTGTGCACAAACATCCTCCACACCCCCAACTTCCTGGGTGCAGTGCTAGCCATCAGAAAATCACAGAGCTTGAAGATTTTAAAGATTGTCTTATCCAGATTCTTTAGTTTTCAGATGAGCGCTCTGGCCACCCATGGGGACTAAATGGCTCATCTGAAGCCACCTTGTTTTTGATCAAAAATGACCTGTGAAAAATTTTTGACTAATCAATCGCCTGTTCCCTAGGAGAGAAATGGGTGATTCTGGCTCTTGGAAAATATTTTCCTTTTTAACCAAGAAATGTCAAAAAAAAAAAATTGAATTACTGTCTCTGGGATAGGGCTAAATCTGATTGAGCTTAAGCGACAACCAAATCTGATCAAGAAGCAGCAAAGCAGACATAAAGTGTCTTGATTTGGTGACACATCAAAGGTCAGAAATAGAACTCCAAGGCCTGCCCTGTGGTATAGCAGGGTAAGCTGCTACCAGAGACACTGTCATTCTGTGTAGGTGCCAGTTCAAGACCCAGTTCCTCCACTTCTCGTTTAGCTCCCCAATAATGTGCCTGGGAGGGCAGCAGGAGATGACCCAACTGCTTGGGCCCATGCTACCCATTTGGGACACCCAGATGGAACTCCTGGCTCATGGCCTTGGGCCTGGTCCAGCTGTGATTTGTGTGGACATTTGGGGAAATGAATCAGCAGATGGAAGATCTCTCTTACTGTACTTTAAAAAAAAAGCTTCCCTGCTTCCCCTCAATTGGAACTCTATTCAACTTTAACAATCATGGAATTTCCTAACAGGAAGATACCTTCAGAGCTTTTTTGTTCAATCCTCTTACACTGTAGGTCCTAAGATATGGAGAAAACTAGAGGAATACAACTTGAATCCAAGTTTACTGAATGCCATGTGAAGTGCTTTGCATCCTTGGCCATGGACAAGCCTGTGGGTAGTCTGGGGCCAGGCAATAGCCGAATCATTGCAGCAACAGTGAGGTGAGGGTGAGGGTGGTACAGTGTCCATTGTGGTTCAGAAAACTCCCCACAGGCATGAGCCATGAGCCAGCTGGGGATGGGTCCCCTGAGTCAGGGACTCCCCAGGTCCTGGAACTCTGCTCCTCACACCTGGCCTGGCTTCCACAGGTCCTACACGACCACATCGCTTATCGCTATGAGGTCCTGGAGATGATCGGGAAAGGGTCCTTTGGGCAGGTGGCCAAGTGCATGGATCACAAAAACAATGAGTTGGTGGCCCTGAAAATCATCAGGAACAAGAAAAGGTGTGGGCTCGGTGGACAGTGTAGGTCAAAGATGCGGGGACCCTGCATATGGGCACCCTTTTCCTCTGGTCTTTCTCTTCCCTTTCATCTTTCACTGCCTCTGCCTGGATGCTTCCAAGAAGGGTCAAAGAGTAAATGAGAAAGTGGCGAGTTTGTGATGCTTTCTGTTACCCTAGACCATCTTATTGGGATCTCAGGGAAGAACTAAGGACCCGGGCTCAGAGCTAAGGCATAACTTGATACCTGTATTTTCTGTCTCCATGTCTTTTTTTCCCTCTCCCACCCCCTCTGCCATTGCCTAAGATTCCACCACCAGGCCCTGGTGGAGCTGAAGATCCTGGAAGCTCTCAGAAAGAAGGACAAAGACAACACCTACAACGTGGTGCACATGAAGGACTTTTTCTACTTCCGCAATCACCTCTGCATCACCTTTGAACTCTTGGGGTCAGCTGCTATGTTTAATAATTTGCTTCCATTTGAGAAGTTACTTAAGTGACAGATGGGAAACTTAGAGGTCAGGATACTGGATTTTCCTGGGTGTGACTAGCATTGGTAATGAGTTAGAGTGGACACAGGAGCTGCTCACCGATCCAGAAATTCTAGAAGTAAGGATGCTGGGACCAAAAAAGTTGCTGTCTCACCTGGTCCTTCTGTCTGCCTGTCCTGGGTATAATGGCCTTCGATGTGCTTCCCTGGGCTGGATGCTGACTCGATGAAACAGCCAGAACAAGTTCTGGGCTCCCAACAGCTTAACTGAAATATGTGGGAAAACACTTTATTTGTCTGCCATTGGCTTCCCAACTGAAGAATCTGGATAAGACAATCATTAAATTCTTCAAGCTCTGTGATTTTCTGATGACTAGCACTGCACCCAGAGCAGAGCTTTAAACCCTAAGAAAAATGCAGCTAGGTATTCAGAAAAAGGGTTTTGAGCCTCACCAAATAAGGACAACTGCAGGTATTTTTAGTAAAAGGGTAGAACGCTGATAATTAGATGGCCTGGTCTGACTGAATATTGAAGCTGAAAAGTTAACACTAACTGTGGAGGCATGCTAATTTGATGACTTCTCTCTGAAAGGGTTGCCCGCTGCAATTTAAATAAAACCCAAAAGCCAGAGTGCATTTAGCCAAGGAGAAGAATGGTGGGTGAGCTCTCAGACGCCAGTGTTACTGGATTCACTGAGCTCTCGCGATGGCATTGCTGATGGTGAGATTACCTAGCCAAGGGAAAGCTGGCATCTCACCATTTCTGTTGCTTACAAAAGTGTGGTTGATTCTCCAGTGGGAAAAGGTGAATTATCTTCTTGCTGACAAACTGGATAACCCAGGTTGCCCTCCTAGGCCCTTCATCACAGTGTCCAGATGGTTCTCATGGTACTTAAATGAATTCTGAGAGGTCCAGATATGGGGACAAGAAACTAAATTCCAAACAGGCTGATGAGCCTCCCCGGGGTTACAGGTCAGAATGGAATCATTTCTCCAGTGCATCCCTCGCTAAACCCTGGAGGTCAATTCATCATAGAAAATGGAAGGCTGGGAGGAGCCAGCAGGATACAACACACAGGATCATTTCTGGGTTCTGTTATTTCTTGCATATCCCAAACTGACAGCTCAAAATAAGGCTTTCTTTTTCTCCTGTGTCTTCCATTAGCATGCAACAATTGCAAGGCAGAGGTCTCTTTATAATATCTCAGACTCCAGCCACCCTGGAGAGCTGGTTCTCTGGAATGAGCAAGCACCCTTTCCTGGACAGCCATGCTAGAACAGGATCCAGCAGCTGTGCCTGCTTATGTTGGGGCAGGAGCTCTGCATCTTGTCTCCATCCCATCTTTCCACTGTCTTGCTCCTTGTCCACATGGCCTTATTATCTGGGATGGGGGTAGGGGGTGCTGCTGGATCAAGTGACATTTATAGGCTTCCTAGATTTGTGCCAGAGGCCCGAAGAATGGCTAATATGACAGAAGTCTGCTCCAACCTCTTGGCCCACAAGCATAGCCCTGTGCTTGTTACATAAGGGGACATCTGAGAGGCCAGCCCTGTTGAGCTTCATCCTGGGCCTGCCATGAATCAGGAACACTGAGTAAACAGGACATAAAAGGCCTATCTTCCTGTTGAGTTGACTCTCGAGGGAGAGCAGGTGGCAGGTGCGAACTCAGTCCGATCCTTTGGACACCTGTAGCATCAGCTTCTCTCTCTTTTCCCCAGAATCAACTTGTATGAGTTGATGAAGAACAACAGCTTTCAAGGTTTCAGTCTGTCGATAGTTCGGCGCTTCACCCTCTCCCTTTTGAAGTGCTTACAGATGCTTTATGTAGAGAAAATCATCCACTGTGACCTCAAACCTGTGAGTACAATCTCCATCCCACCGCGGGAACACATTCCCTCCATTCGCTGGCGGTGGCTGGAGCAGGCAGCATGGCTGAGATCCAGACTGGAAGCCACGCAGTCCTACAGATGGGTTCTGTCAGTCCAGTGGGCTGCAGGGAAGCCACAGGCCCAAATCCTGAGCAACAGAAGAGAGCAGGGCTGTCATGGAGACAGGGGTAGCAAGGCCTGAAGGTTGGCCTCCAGAAGGGTTACGGAAGTCTAGCAACCTGTTTTCTTGACTGCCTTTTGTTTTCTGTGAGAAAATTGACAGTCACCAACAGCCCTTAGTGCTTGCTGGGTCCTTGGGTTCTCCTTTTTGTCTAACTCCTCACCAGAGCCCTCTGCCGCAAACCCCACGCAGACCAAGGTCTGTTCTCCAAGTGTGTGTGTCCCTCCCACAGCTGTCCCTACAGGCCCACTCCCTTGCTTCCTTATCTGCCTCTCCCATGGCACCACCACGAGCTCCCCCAAGGTCACTCTCACGGCCCCTGGATCTCACACAATACTCAGTAATAACAATGATAAGCAAACACGTATTAAGGGAGTTCGTGGAGGTGTGGGCATTTGGTCTGTTCTCCAAGATTGATGTATGTTTATGAGAGAGTCGCAGGGAGAAGGAAGGAAAGAGAAAGAGATCTCTCCTGTGCTGGTTCATTCTCCAAATGGCTGCAGTGGCTGAGGCTGCGGCTGGGCCAGGCCAAAGCCAGGAGCCAGGAGCTTCCTTGTATCTCTCGTGGGAGTAGCAGGGACCCAAGAACTTGGACTATCTTTGACTGCTTTTCCGAAGACATTAGCAGGAAGTTGAAACTGCTTGTTTGACTTTGAGATCCTTGAGTACATGAGAGCACAGGCAGAATATTGCCTTCTTATCCACGACGATACTGAAACACTTGGTTTCACATTTACCCATAATCAGCCCAGGAATGGTTGCCTTTGAGACATGAGGAGTCTTCTGCTGTCCTAGCAGTATGCTAATGAGGGCAGATAATGGAAGCATTAAAGAAATCTAGGCAGTGGCATTCGTCTGTCCTTATAAGAGTAAGATGCAGAACCAGATGTCAAAGCTAAAGCCACTGTCTTCAGGAATTACGCAACTGCTAAAGAAATGCAGCAAATCAGTGCTGACTGGGTCCCAGTCAGGGGTACAGATTATGTGTCAGTTGGGTGTCAGAGGAAGGGGAAGATCATGAGATGTAGAGAAGATGGGGAAGATCTTTGGAAGTGGCCATGTTTGAACTGGGCTCTGAAGGATGGACAGAATTTGGGTAAATAGAGTTAGAGCAACCTAATCCAAACTTGATGAATGTCTTATCTTGTTTCTAGGAAAATATAGTGCTCTATCAAAGGGGCCAAGTCTCCGTCAAAGTTATTGACTTTGGATCGAGCTGTTACGAACACCAGAAAGGTAGGCCCTATGCCAGTGCCTCGGTCTGAGTCTTCCCTTCACACCTGAGGTCACCTGGTTTCTATGCTCAGCAAGAGTGTGTGATTTTTGAACACAATACTTCATTTGTTTAAACTCAGGTTTATTCATCTATAAACAGAAGGTTGGGTTCAAACAGCTCGGAAGCTCTCCTAGTGTGTGGGTTTTGAATTATCTAAGAACACTGGGTCCTAGAAACCAACTAGATGTGTATCAGAATCATTCAAGGACTCTGACAAATCCTAGTTTTCAGGGTCGCATTCCAGATGTTCAATGTCCAAATATGTGGGAGTTTGGGCTGTAGAAAGTAAAACCATTCTAAAGTTTGACTGCTTTGGCCTTACCAGACTTTTAAGATTTTTAAATTTGTTCATTAATGTGAGAGAGAGGATGGGGAAAGAGACAGAGAATCTGTCCACTGGTTCACTCTGAAAATGCCCTGGGGCTGGGCCAGGATTTCCAGGACCTTGGGACTTCATTTGCATGTCTTCGGTGGGTGGCAGTGATCCCGGTACTTGAACCATCACCTGATGCTTCCCAAGATGTGTGTTAGTAGGAAGCGAGATCAGAAGTGGAGCATCTGTGACTCAAGCCAGGTATTGCAGTGTGAGGCTGTGGGATGTGGGCATTCCCAATGCTGACTTATCTGCTACACCACAACACCCACACCCAGATTTAGCAGGCTTTATAGGCTTTGCCAGCTAGAATTCAGCGAGTAGCCCTGGTGGATGAGGACCACAAGACCACATTTCCACAGGCGTAGAAACAGGAACTAAATCCAGCAATCAGACTCCAAAGTGATCATTTCATTTCATTGCTGTATTTTTGTGTGTGTGCATTTCTAAGTTCACTGCCACATAGCAGAGAAAATATTCAATATTTGTCCTTTTGGGACTGGCTTCTCTCTCTCTGTAACTCTGTCCTTCAAATAAAATAATCACAGCAGCCTCTCTAAGCTTTTAGAAGGACCAGATAGATGTTTCCAAGCACAGTGCAAAATCGCGTTTGAGGATGTGTCACTTTTTTCTTTTGTGTGTGGATCCTATGAGAAATCCCAGCTAGAAAACATTGCCCCCCACAGAGAACTGCGGTGTTTATTTTTCTCAGGTTCTGGAAGCTGTGTAACCTGCTAGACAGCATTCGTTCTGAGTCCTAAGATACTCAGATCTGAACACTATGCTTCTCTATGAGTTTTCTGAATTCCCTTTTGATCTTAAATAGTGAGAGTTTACCTTTTTAAATATTTAGTTTTTATTTGAAAAGCAGACTTAGAGAGAGAAGGAATAACAGAGAGGGTCTTCCATCTGCTGGCTCATTCCCCAAATGGTCTCAACAGCCCTGAATGGAGGTAATCTGAAGCTGGGAACCAGGAGCTTCTTTGGGGTCTCCCACGTGGGTGTAGGGACCCGAGGACTTGAAACATCCTCTGCTGTTTTCCCAGGAAATAAACATGGAGCTGGATAAGAAGTAGAGAAGCCAGGACTAGAACCAGCGCTCATATGGGATGCCGGCACCACAGGTGGAGGATTAGCCCATTGAATCACTATGCTGGCCCCTGACTTACTTTCTGTATAGGATGTGGCCACTAGCATTAGATTGTCTGATTTTAAATTTTGGCTTTTGGGCCCAGTGTGGTGGCTTAGTGTCTAAAGTCCTCATCTTGAAAGTGCCAGGATATCCCATATGGGCGCCCGTTCTAATCCTGGCAGCCCTGCTTCCCATCCAGCTCCCTGCTTATTGCCTGGGAAAACAGTCGAGCATGGCCCAAAGCTTTGGGACCCTGCACCCATGTGCGAGACCTAGAAGAATTCCCAGGCTCCTGGCTTTGGATCAGCTCAGCTCCGGCCGTGGCGATCATTTGGGGAGTGAATCATTGGACGGAAGATCTTTCTCTCTGTCTCTTCTGCTCTCTGTATATCTGACTTTGCAATAAAAATTAAGCAAATCTTAATTTAAAAAAGAAATGCACTTCTAAAAATAAATAAATAAAAATAAGTTTTGGCTTTGTCACGTAGACCCCCTGTCTCCCCAGGTTCCTCATCTACAAGATGGAGACAATGATAGTACCTGCTACAACTACGACAACTCAGGGTTATTGTTGGGACTGAAAGCATTTTTGTATATAAAGCATTTGGAATCATTAAATGCTACATAAATCCCATTAAATTCATAGTTCTAGAGCCCAACACAATAGCCTAGTTGTTGATGTCCTCACCTTGCACGCACTGGGATCCCATATAGATGCCAGTTCTAACCTCAGCAGTCCCGCTTCCCATCTAGCTCCCCGCTTGTGGCCTGGGAAAGCAGTTGAGGACGGCCTAGGGCCTTGGGACCCTGTACCCATGTGGGAGACCTGGAAGAAGCTCCGGGCTCCTGGCCTCAGATTGGCTCAGCTCCCAGGGATGGGTGACAGTCCTTTGATGATGCCCCAAGATCCTATGTAGGGAAGAGTCTTCTGAGGTGTTAATTGGTGGTTTTGTTGCTCCAGAGTTGAGAAAATCTTTCCAAAGAATATTGGTTGACCAGGTCCACCTCAGTGTATGCACCGACCCAGACACTTGCTGCAAAGCTCGGCCAGGAGAGTTGTCCAACCTGTTCTGCTTTTCATCCTCTGATGAGGAGCTTGACATCTGCTGCTGGTCTAGATGAGCTGACCGTCATGTCCCCCATGTGCATATGGACATGCTGTCTACTGCACAGGTATCAGCAGCTGAGGAGACCTAGTCCTGATGCATGCACTCCAAGGGCAGACCACTACATATGATTTTCCCTGAGGCTGGGGTACATTCTGTTTTATTTCTTATTTTTTTATTAATTAATTTATTTTATTATTTCATTATACAGTTCCCTAGGCTCTGGGATTTCCATTTCCCCTTCCTCACTAATTTTCCCCATGTCATTACAATATCATAGTTCTCCACAGTCAGTCATAAGTCCATTTTTCTGCTATTTAAGTGTATCCTGACATTGTAGGCATGGGCAATGACAGAGTCGAGCATCCTATTCTCAAGATACGTTCAGCAGTTTCATTAAGCGTCCATCTTTGATTTGGAAGTAGTGATGTACACTGCACTATATCTTCACATCTTTATGTGATAGTCTATACTACACAGTTACTAGACATCCCTTTAAACAACAAGCCATGAAACAAAATCAACAACAGAGAGAAAAATAGAAAACTTACAACATGAGGTTAAATGACCTGCTACTGAATGTGTCATTGAAGAAATGAAAAAGAAAAGACTTTCTTGAAGCAAACGATGCAATTGTGTGACTTATGACACAAGAGTCATTCAATAGCGTGTTAATTTAACTTGGCCGACTTAGTTTCGCATCTCTGAAATGGGTGCTCCTTTGGAACTCCTGTTAAGTGGGAATAACATCACTGAGTAATCAAATTGCTAGGATGGTTGGATGTGACATCTCCCATGTGACTCGTGAATTCTGACCTGAGGTCACAAGTCTCTCTAAAAGCTCATAGGATAAAACTGGGCTGCAATCTAAGTTCTCGGTCACCCTCCACCATGAAGCTATCCATGAGACTAGAGAAGAATGTTCTGGGAAAGGAGATTTTTTTTTCCATGTGAGTTTTTCTCCCTCTTAACTCTCTCAGTCTATACCTATATTCAAAGCCGGTTCTACCGGTCGCCAGAAGTGATCTTGGGCCTGCCCTACAACATGGCCATCGACATGTGGAGCCTGGGCTGCATCATGGCGGAGCTGTACACCGGTTACCCTCTGTTTGCCGGGGAGGATGAAGTGGAGCAGCTGGCCTGCATCATGGAGGTGAGGAGGTGGGCTGGCCACTAGCATGGTGAGGTCTGCACCATGGCGTCCCTCAAGGGTTGGCTTCAGCACACACCTGCCGAGGGCTGGTCTGGGTTGACTGTGCTCTCTGGTACATTATTGAGTTGGCCTGTAATATTTTCACTGAGAACTTAAGTAACCGCAACGAATGTCAGTTGCACCATCATCATCTAAATAATGACATTTTAAATTCAAGCTGTTATATATGTATTTCACAAGAAAAAGTATGTGTGTGGGGGTGTGGCAGAAGCTGATAGAAAAACTCAGAAGTATGTGAACAAACTCTCCTTTAAGAGTTGGACCTTTCTTTTTCTTTTTTGTCCTCGACCTAACTTTCATTTCTATTCGACTTATTCCATGTGGCATTCTTCCAGTTTCATTTATATTTTGAAGTCTACGTATTACTGAAACATAAACATTTTCACATCACCGTACACTCCACGTGTGAAATATTTGCTTCTGGTGAATGATTAAAATACAAGTAATGTGCAACTCTTGGTAAAAACAAAAAACTTACCAAACATAAAATATGAAAGTTTATTGAGTGGAAAAAAAAAAAAGGTAGGCCAGCTTTTCTCTTTTTCCACCTGATTCCTGTACCAACAGGTGAACACTACTTCTGGTGGGAATCAACAGCCGTAGGAGTAAGCCATTGCAGTCAGTCAGCCACACAGATGGGAACCCTGGAAAGAGACCTACTCAGGGGGTCCCCTAATTCTGTCACTCCTTTTGAGTTCCATGTAAACAACCAAAGGATTACATCATCAAAAATTCTTGTATGACCTGTCAGCTGACAACATGATCTTTTTGAAAACAAATAACTGGAAATTATCTTCTTTATAAATGTATTGTTCAGTCATTGACTATTCACAATCTTTATGAGTATCAACTCTGCTATGAAATGATGCATCAGATGGCCTTGACTGGTAACTCTTGCCGTTCAGTTAAACAACTTGCTGTTGCAAATGTTACGCTTTACAGTTTGCCCAGTAAAGAAAGATATTTTGACAGCAGAAAGTCTTTTTGTATGTAAGAGACTATTTTGCAATATTTGTGAAAAATGAAATGAAAACATACCTAGTTTGGTGCAAACATTGTGGAAATCCATGTATATAAGGAATCTTCAAAAAGATCATATGAAGTATACATTGTGAGAATTCTGTGCATGATTTTGACATTCTTCGCACCAAAATGAGCTTGTCGTATTAATTAAACTTTTCTGTTAGCTTTTTGAAGTTGCCCAGCATTTATCTTTGTATATGAGACATTTCTGTTATCCGGATTGTGACAAGAGACAAGCATACCCTTGAAAATCACCTGCTCTGAGTAATTTCACTTATGGATGAAACGAACAATAAAAGATCAAAGGAATTTAGGTACACGTAGCCTTTCCACAGTAGCTGCATTGGATTGAACACTAATCCAAGAACCAGCAAGCCTGGGGTCTAGCCCTGGATGTGTCTCTTTGGCAAGTTACTGCCCCACCTTGGGCTGTAAAATGAGAGTTCAAAGCAGGTAGCTTCCAAGGTTAGAAATGAGTGATTCTGAGAAACATCCATGAGCTGTTGTTACTCCCCTAGCCGGGAGGCGAAGTCTGGCCAAGGTGCCGCCTAGCTCTAACAGCCTTTGAATCAGTGACTCCACAGAGAGTGAAGCAGCTTTCTGTGCTTGTTGAAGGTGCTGGGCCTGCCGCCAACCAGCTTTATCCAGACGGCTTCCAGGAGACAGACGTTCTTTGGTGAGTTCCAAGATCTAATTCTCTTTCCTGTTGTGTCCAGTGGGGGAATCATAAGCCTTCAGGACATTCCCCTATTCCTGGGTAGTCACCACTCCACACCAAAACAAGCGATCATTAGGAGCTCCTCCAAGAAACGTCATAATAATAAATATGTTGAGAAATGACACCAAATAGGCATGGCAGAGATGGGGTGCAGTTGGGATGGGGGGCTGGGATCGCATCGGAAATGAGGACCCAACAATGAACAATGAAAACGCACAGAGCAAGCCGTGGGCAACCTCATGCCCAGACAATTCATCAGCAAGCATTAGGAAGTTGCTCCCCTTCCCCAAGCACCTTGCCCTCCCGCACTTTGCCCTGTGCAAAAAAAGCAAGAGCAGAAGCTTGCTTTCAAGAGCAGTGGAAAATTCCTTTTTTTAAAAAAAAATTTGTTTATTATTTTATGATAGTTCTATAGGCTCTGGGATCTCCGCTCCTCCTTCCCTATGTTTCTACCCCTTCCCCCATTTCCCCTATAGAAAGATTCCATTGTTACATGCTGTCATTAACAGAGCACCCATCTTTCACCCCAGACCTTTACTCCCAGGTTCCTTGCCTCCCTGCTGTAAAACATGTAAGCAATGGCTAATGAGGATAGTTTTGCTTAGATGTGTTGTGGCCAGTGGATAATAATCAGGCTACCTGTTTAATTGCTGGAATTAGGCCTCATTTATAGCCTCCTGCTGCCCCTCTCATTATAACTTCCCGAAGCAATAGATAAAGTAAGTCCCAGGCTTAAATCCCTTTGGAGAACTACAAGAAGCTGAGGGATCTCTGGATAGAAAAGGGGCCAGTGGTCAGGTGGAGCAAAAGCAGACATGAAGAAGGGGACTCCACAGATGGCAACTCTTGATCACCTGGAACAATACTGCTGAGCGGCAGCTGTTGTCAGCTTAGCTCACAGACACATCGAGCAACCCCAGTCATTCCTAACTCCATTACTTCTTATCTCCAACAAGGGAGCTCTCAGAGGCAAATTCTGTCATCTCTTTCCACTTCTCCATGAATACAAGGATCAGTAACATCCCTTATGAGGATCTTCCAGGAACGTCCTGTGGGGTAGGGAGTTAAGCTGTAGATGACTTGGTCTAATTTGGTAAAAAGCCACAGCCTGAAGTCATGCCACAGCTGCAAGCTCCCCTAGTCCCACTCTCAGGAGTCCTTGGACCTCCCATGATCCTGAAACTAAACGTTGAAGGCCCACCGACTCCACGATTCTATTTTCTTGCTAAGGCTGTCATGCACCCTGATGAGCCATCCCATGCCAATCTAATGGTTGAATCTTTTAAAATCACCCTGTAATCATGGGTGGGGCTTTGAAGACCTTGCTTCTGGGCAGGGCAGTGTCCAGGTTGCCTTAAAGCCATGCCTGCACACGAAGATTTCAAGCAGGAGTGTAAGATGGGAAGCATAGGAACCGGCTGACTTTTCAGGATAACTTATCACAGAGCAATGCGACTGCTCTGTTGATCCTCCATGTGCTTTCCCCACTCACGACTTCAATTCAGCCTTTTGAATTTTGAAGGAATTGGTGGTGAGAAAGCCTAGCCTGAGGAAAAATCAATAGCTCAACTTTTTTTGCACCAAATCCTTCATTGCATCTCAACAGGAAATTGAAGATAGGGACTTCAGTTGGGAATATGAAGAAAGTCATTCCCCCCAAATAACTCTTTTATTCTACACCGTGGGGGTCTCCAGTTCTTACTTTATTGGACTAGAGGAGAAAAGAAAGGGCAAACTCAAAGACAATCTGAAAATGGACATTATCCTTTTTGTTCAAGGCTGAGTGTTTCTGTCGCTTCAGATCTATTTTGTTACCTGGATTAATGTGAAACAATATAAATGGTTTTATCTGGGGAGAGGTAATGGGATGGATAGAGAGAGCGTAATGAATTACAGGGGAGAAGTGTCTCCTAGTTTGTCATATATACTGATTAGTCTGCATATGGTCATTTCAGACTGAGACTCTGCGTGTGTGTGTACCATAGACTGGGGGTGGGAATGCCTGCAGGAGCAGGCGAGGGAGGCAGAATGCCTAAACACTGTAAAGCCACTCCAACTCCAGGGGGCAGCTGGGATGTGACCACGGATTACCTCTGCCTGGAACTAAACACAAAATGTTGTCTCTCTCAAGATTCCCAAGGGTTTCCTAGAACCATAGCCAACAACAGAGGGAAGAAAAGATATCCAGATTCCAAGGATCTCACGGTGGTGCTGAAAACCTACGACGCCAGCTTCCTGGACTTTCTCAGAAAGTGTTTAGTGTGAGTTTGTTGGCCTCTCTTTGCCTCTGGCTTTCCGGTTAAACACTGAAGTCTCTCACACCTCTGCCTGTGGAAGTCTGAGGCTGGAAGAAACTTCAGAAAAGTGTAGACGATAAATCCTGATAACAGAGTATTTCAAGTCACCCAACTGCTGTCACAGCTGCTGTCTCCCCACACGGCTCTCTTCCTGTGTGCTTGTCACAGCAGATGATCTTCATTTTGCCAAAATGCAAATGGATTAGGTAACTTGTCCTGGATCCCACAGTGTGTGGGGGAAGTGTGCCATCTTTCTGGCCTCAAGCTGCATGGGCTCAGTGGCATCGTGGGCAAATCCTAGATGCCTTCTGTTCTGAGATCCGAAGCCAGTGTCTTCAGCGTGCCTCGTCACCCTTCTCACACACACACCCAGTGTCAAGTGGATTTGGAGCTTGTTCTGTTTCTTCCCAACCTTCCCACCCTCCCCCCAGCCAAGGATTTTGTGTTCCACTCTTGCATTGGGGAATTAGAGAGGAGAGTAGGCTGTAAACCATTTGTTGTGTACAGCTTTTTACACACTGTTTTGCATCTAATCAATTGTGTATTATGTCTTTGCAAATTGGGTCCTGTGCCTAATGTCAAATCTTTACTGGTTAGGTCCTATGCGTTAGTGAAGTCATGCCTTAGTGAAGGAGAAAAAAAAGGATCTGGCATATAGAGTGCCCAGAATAATGCCCAGTATAGAAGGTATTTGGAAAATGCTGGCTTGTATTACTGTTTTACTACTGTTAAAGAAGTTTTACAAGTTTGTGTCCACCGAGTGGCAGGTCAATTAGCTGTATAGTCCTTGGCAAGTCATTTCTCTTTCAGTTCAGTCTCCTTTTCTGTAACATGATAGAAGTGGGTTCCTCGCAGGGACTCCTGAGCTTTGTCAGTTCTGTGACTGTTTAGTATTTTTACAAGACTATCTTTTTACTCTGTGTTATAGTGGGGCTGCAGCAGTGGTAGTAAACCGCTCTCCTGGCATTTGTGCACTCCAGAATTGATGGAAGGAAGCTATCTGGTTTGCAAAGTTGCCACCAAAGAGGGGCATGTTGCACACTCACTCGAACAATCAGGGATCCTGTACCCTACCTTTACCCCGACCCTGCCTCGGCCTCTTACTGAAGCTCTACTTCCCAAAGGACAGAAACTGGTTCAAGAGACGAGATATTCAGAACCATCTGGAACATAGCTCCCTACCAAGAAAGATGATTACTGCAAAGATCTCTCTCACAGCTTGGAAGAGGCAGCCAAACTGATGTGACCTGCTTCCTTATCTACATTTTGCTGGTTAGCAGACCTTGGGCATGAAAGCAGTTTTGAGTCAAATCTGATGATAAGGATAAATGAAAGCCTTGTGTCTAGATTTTGTAGGCCAACTCTATAGCGCAAGAGAGGGGAGATGCTGCCTACTAGCAGTTGACTTGGCGGCGGAATGGGAGCTGGAGTCATTTAAGGCCTGAGGGAGTGTGGGATGTTAATGCCCTCTCTCTACCATTAGAAGCTAGTCCCAGTGCAGCAGACAACTGCTGACATTTCCCTTCTCGGAAGGTGATCAGCTGGTGGAAACCATAGTACGTGATCAATGGTCCGAGAAATGTTTTCAGATAATTGAAGGACTCTGGCATGAAGGATTAGTTATTTGATTCTGTATAGTGCCAATGGGTAGGCTTAGGACCTATTCAAACTTACCAGGAAATAAGCCAGTTTTGACTCACCAAAAAATGGAAGACTTTTTTAAAGAGTTGGAATTTGGGAAAACAGAACAGGTGCTTCTGTGAGTTAGCATCACGATGCTAAAAAGAAATGTTATTACTGTATTAAAAGTTTGCCTGAATTATACCTGGGACCTCTTGTAACATCCTGGGATTCTGTACTTTCCCTTGTGGTTTATTTTGAGGCCCAAATCCTGTAGTGAGAGGGAGTTGAACCGAGGTACCTCCTCGTTTTTATCTTCTCAGTCTATCACACTCTATATTTCATTGTAATCATTTCTTAGAAGGGAGTTTTGCAATCTTAGAATTCCTAGGAATTCTGTAAGATTGAGATGCTAATGTACTCCCCATCTTGTCTTAAATTTTTATTTTCTGAAAAGAGTATTTCTGATAGTTTTTTCCTAGGAACCTTTCAGATGTATGTCATAGTCTCTTGTCTGTGATTGTTTTGAAATTGCTTTGAATTTGAGTGAAAATATACTTACTTGGTTTAAAAATGTTTTAACCTTCAAAGTAAGGCAGTGCATCGGTGCACAGCGCTCACCCCGCCCTGGGCTTTGTCGGTCCTGCAGGTGGGATCCTTCTTTGCGAATGACCCCCGACCAGGCTCTCAAACACGCTTGGATTCATGAATCACGAAACCTCAGAACACGAGCCAGGCCCCAGGCCCTGAGGAAATCCAGCTTCTGCTTCCCCTCTGAGACAAGGAAAGACAAGGTCCAAGGATCTCAACTCTCCAGTAAAAAAGGTACAGCCCCCAAGAACCCCTAGTCCAGGCAGCCAGGCCTTCCTGGAAGCTTTGCAGGCTGCCATCGTCCCTGAATTTTTTTTTTAATATCTTTTTTAATAGGAAAGTTAGATATACAGAGAGGAGTAGAGACAGAGAGGAAGATCTCTCCTCCAATGATTCACTCCCCAGCAGCTGCAACGGCCAGAGCTGAGCTGATCAGAAGCCAGGAACTCGGAAGCCTTTTCTGGATATTCTACTTGGGTGCAGAGTCCCAAGGCTTTGGGCCGGGAGCTGAATGGGAAGCAGGGCTGCGGGGATTAGAACTAGCACCCACTTGGGATCCTGGGCGTGTAAGGCGAAGACTTCAGCTGCTAGGCTACCGTGCTGGGCTTAACCTGGGATCATTCTTCTAGCTCTATCCTATTTTGGAGATTTTCCACTTCAGGGAACTTGGCTTATTGTTTTATTTCCCCCACCTCATCATTTCCCATTGTCCTCAATTCCTTTACTCTCCCCTCTTTCACTGTGTGTAGTAAGTTTATGTCTTATATTTACATTTTGAATTTTTCTCAATGACAGATTATGGCACCTTGCAAAGCTTTTAATATGGCAGAGAGCCCAGTGGTTAAATACAGGTCCTTGGTGTCAGGGATTAGGTTCTGGTTGTACCGCTCTTCCCAGGGGCCGTGGGCAGAACCTGCTCTCTGTAGGTCAGTCTGTTCATTAGCCCTCCAGGGAGGCTTAGAGTAACACCCAGTCACAAGGTGTGCTCTACAGTGAACTAGTTTTTAAGAATATTTAATCTTCACGTACTTGAAAGCCAGAATATGAGGAGGAACCACTTCCGTCCACTGGTTCACTGTCCAGGTGACCTCAACAGCAAGGATTGGGCCAGGATGATGGCGGAAGCCCATGATTCCACCTGGATCTGCCACCTGTGCGGCTACCTGCTGTCTCCCAAGAGGCGTTAGCAGGAAGCTTCACTGGGAAGTGGATCACCTGGCTTTGAACAGGCACTTGACAGGCAATGCTAGCACCCCAAGCAGTAGCTTAGCTTGCTGCGCTATGCATGCCCCTTATATAGCATTTCAACCATGACTTCCCCAAGGGGATTTACAGCTTGCTGGACACCCAGAATATATAACAATTACATTTGCACACATGCTTTTCTTCCCCCCATCTTTCTCTTTCAAGCAGATGAGAGGAACAAGGAGAAGACGGAGAAAATAAAACACGGAGCCACTAAGCATATTCAGAATTCAAGTGATCTGCAGGACTCTGGCCAGCATGCCACAGACACAGTCCAGCTGCCTCAGCTGGCAGAAGCGTCTAGGAAATCAGAGGTAGTCATCGGGTCAGACGCAGCTGTGACCTCTGCAGGACAGCAGAGCAAAAGCTCCTCCCCCAAGAACACGAACATTTTACCACCCATTGTCTGACTCCTGCTGAGGGTGTGTCCAGTTCCCTTCCTGCGGTATCCTGCAATACTCCAAATTGTTGCTTTTTTAAAAATGCATAAAGGTTTGTTTGAAAAGGAAGAGAAAACTCTAGTCACATGGCCAATTGGCATGATCTCCTTAAGGAGAGGAGTGATGTCCTTGCACTGAAACTCAATCCTTATTATTTTTTTTTTTGGAGGAGGTGGGATGAAGGGATAGTTTTAAATATTCAATGCTATGGCACAATGCTATTAACAAAACTCTGAATAAAAGGCAAAAAAAAAAGTCCTTGTCTATGGCTACCAACCTATGTCAGCTAGGATTTATGACATTACTATAAATGTCTACATATATATATATATATATATATAGGCTTTCATTCATGGTTCCCGTCTCATGACTTTCCTCCTCTACCTCCCAAGTCACACCCTAGAACCAGAATTTCTCTTTTCCCAGGGCAGGTCAAAGAAACTACAATATTCCTGTGTTTTTAGCTGGATATGAAGAAATTCTCAGACCTCAGTTGGTCTGAGCGAGCTGTGTGGACCCTCATCTTGGAAAGGGGTCCTTTCTCATGCCTTGGGGAAAGCAGCAGCGCTCAGAGGCTGCAAAGAGCTGTGCTGGGCGTCCGTAGCCAGTCTGTTAGCGCAAGGGTGTGTCTCAGCAGGTAGCCTGTCTGGGTCCCACAGACAGCAAGCCACAGAACCGTCAGCGACAGAACCCAGGCCTTGGGATCACTGCAGGGGCTGCTGTGTAACCGTGGGCAAAGCTGGAAATGACAGTTGTTTGGAGCTCGACAGAGAAAAGCCAGGAAGCCGAGTCCTTGGCATCATAATTAGAATGATTTTGATTGGGTATTAGGAACTACTGTCTTCTTCTCGTGGTTATAAAAGGCTCAAGTGAATTCTTGAACGTTTTTGGTTTCTTTGAAGGGGAGAATTTCATTTGGGGGCAGGGAGTACAAAGGAAGAGGCTGAAAGCTGTGGCATAGGGACAGGCCACACATCTGACCCAGTGCCCTTTGCCAGTGGCTACTGGCCCAGCACTAGTTTGCCTCTGCCATCTGATTCATTTTCTCCACTCTTGAGATTTTTTTTCTTTTTTTTTTTTTTACCTTGTGGTCCCACTGGATCCCAAGGAAACCAAACACCTGGAGCCCTTGAATTGTAATTTTTTAATTTTATGTCCTTGCTCGCATGGACAGGAAAATCTGCAAAATCCAGTGACTAGCATAAGATGACATGTCTCTGACGTGAGTGGTATGGAGATAATGTGAGGCCTCTGAGAGGATGTGGGGAGAGAAGGATGGGAGTGAGGAGAAAGGAGGGAGGGAGGGAGGACTGGGCCCACCACTGCAAGAGGAGGAGCAGTGTGTGGTGCCGCTCACAGGTTCAGCATCAGCCAGTCCAGCAGCTGCAGCCGCGTGACGTTTCCCACCGCCTCATCCAGCTGTCGCTCCTTCTCATAGCGTAGCACCGACTGCAGGACCTCACCCACGCTGCGGCCTTTGTCCACAGCGGCCGCCGAGAGCTGAAGCAGCTGTGCAAAGGAAAGGAAACAGGAGTGGAGGGCCAGGGCATCCCTACTAAGAGCCGGAAAGGACTTGCCCAGGGTGAAAATCAAGGGGTCAGGACCACTATGGGCTATGTAGCAGCTTCTAGAAGGGACACAAGTCAGCTGTCGAGACGATCTCCTTAACTGTTAAGTATGCTGGGTTCTTTGACATAAGAAAGTTGACGAGGATACCTTGAAAGCAGAGACATTAACACCCAGCTGTCTACAACACAGAAAATGAGGCTCCTCATTAAGACTAAATTCTCTTGGGTTTTTGTTGTTGTTTTGTTTTGTTCTTCCCTACAAGGCTGTGCTTCCATTGAGTTGTGTATCAAGGGTGTTCTTGAACTCCACTGATTCTAAGGCTCTGTGTTTTACTTGATGCCATAACACCCCCCATCATTGCCCTAAGATTCAAGGGTGAGACGGAGAACATTTCAAGGACAAATGTAGATGCTGTCATCCATGCCTGATAGACCAGAGGATCCTGCAATGTTAGAACAGGAAGACTGTTTCCAAGTATACAAAAGGAGAAACATTAGTCAGTGCAACCATTGCATGAACATAGTAGACTGCTATTCACATGGGTTATGAAGGTCTCAAACTATCTCAGGTAACAAGGTTGTGGGTTTATGCTTGCTGTTCTTGACAGTTGATGAGAAAGGACCAAAGAGCCAATGAGCCATCTGTTAGGAGCCTTTTTAGAAGGAAAACTTTGCACCTAAGAAACTGAAGTCCATGTGAGTAGTACTGAGCAAGACACAGAGAAATAAAAGGTACAAATAACAGCCAAATAGAAATTTTGAAACTAAAGAAAAAAGGCAGTAAATCTAAGACATGTTCTGTGCTCCAGCATGAATGCGCGCACACACACACACACACACACACACACACACACACACACACACACACAAATCCCCTGGATATTTTGCTAGAAGGGAGACTCATTGAATAGGTCTGGAGGAATTCTACACTTTTCACCATCTCCCTGGTGATACCTTTGTGCAGCAAGCATTCTCTTGCTAAGACTAAAATCAAGATCACATTAGCCCAATCTGAATGCATATAATCCAGGGTCCTTCTACTCAGCAGATCAACCCAATAATGAGAGTTACCAATATCACTTATAAAAACAGAGAAAGCGTCTTTCTCCCATCTGCTGGTTTCTATGATGATGAGTTTTTTTCCTACATAATCTTGCCTTCCTCAGTCACCTCTCAACTATTTAATAGCAGTCGTTGTCCAGGAGCAGATAAAGAGGGAGATCCGCTTGCCATGGCATGGAGCAGCAGCAGCTTGGGGGAGTGTGCCTGCTTTCCAGACTCAAACCTTCCCTGGGGTGAGGAATTCCACCGGGTAGGAGCAACCACTCGGCAGGTTTACTAATTCTTAACAGTAACAACACTGACAAGTTGGCTTCACAGCCTGTCTTAAGTATCAGCTGATTTGAGACTTACCGGGGTGGGGAGGATCTCTTCCAATCCCAGCACTGTTCGGACGACAAACTAAGAGGGTAACGTCGGACTCAAAAAGGACGTAAGGTCCAGGCTTCTCATCCATGTACCCAACACTTACCCCAGGATTACTTTCCAGTAGCTCCATCTCATTCACTAGGCAATGCTGTCATATTGAAAGGCCGGCCTACCTAGCTCAGAGTCAAGTTAATTCCTAATTCCGTCACCACGTTTCTTGCAGTTTCCTCTTCTACAGCCTCCCACCAATAAACCGAGGAAAGCATCGTATTATCTCATCCTTTACCCTGTTCTTACACCCCTATGGGGCCAAGTCTGATTTTGTGTTATCCATTACCTCAGCTGACACACACAAGCTCACTTTCCTATTGTTCCTGTTCTACCTATCACTCCTCAGGCTGTCTTCCCATTCAGAAAGGAAACCCAAAGGACCCTTTCTCATGCTTCCCTTATGCCGCTCACTTTTCATCCTTACCTTCTCCTGGATCCCTTCATCATCACCAGCAAAGTACAAAATCGGCACGTTGAGCTCCGAGGCAGCTACCCACTGCAGGACGGCTTGGAGTTGCTTGTTCTGAACGGTATCCGTGAGGTTGTGGTTACTGACTATCACCTTGGGTGCACATCCTTCGAAGGGCTGTCCTGAAATGCCTCTCAATTCATTATGGATGGCTTGGTAGGCGTTCTGCAGAAGAGCTTCTGCCGTCTCTGTGCCTTTGACTGGCAAACACTCATATAGATTATCGGGGAAGGCAGAATTCGGCCTGCTGGCATCCCCGGACTTGTCATCGGACAGTTCTGCTAAGGGCGAGTCACAAGAATTGGCAATGATGAGGCACAACTTCATCACGGAGTCCATCAAGTGTTCGACCATCTGCCCGTTCACTTGGCCATCAGGCTGGTTGGCGACCACCTTGGTCAAGCCAGAAAAGGTACTACTGGTCTCACAGCTTTCATCAACTTTGATGGGAGAAGGTGTGACAGGTCTCTCACAGTAGTGCCTGACTTCTTCCTTAGCTGACTGTTCTGGTGTCTTGGGTTCAGGGTTTTTGTCACTCTTGAAGATGGTCTCACTGAGTAAGTTTCGGATAAAATTGAAGAAAACACTCATGAGGTCCTTCTTTTCTGCTTGTTCTTGGTCACATACCACATGAGGGATCTTAACACTGGGCTCATCAGGAACTACAGGGCACTTTTTGGTGGGAAAATTGGTGGTGCTCGCAGCTTCAAGGAAGCTCTGGGGATCCATCTTTCCACCCTGGGCGAGGTGGTACTGAATCAGAAGTAGAGCAGATACAATCAGATCTTTGGCCCAGGAGTCTGACTCACACATGAAATTTTCAGGATTCTCTGGGTGTTGCAGCAGAGGACTGAGGCAGCAGTTATCCTGAGTGATTTCAAAAGGAATGTCTGGTGTCAGCTTACAGTGTTTGCTGGGATCCAAAAATGCTGCACGCTCAAAGCCTGGAGATGGGCATTCTTTACGTTGACTTTTATGCCACATGGAGAGTCCCTCTTTGATAATGTGCTCACCCAAAGTCTCGGCACAAGACTTCTCCTTCTGGGGCTTGGGAGCAGAATACATCTTTTCTCTCAACTTGGCTTCAGATCTCATTGCAAAGTTGACATTGCAGTGTCTAGGGTCCCCCATTCCTTTCGTGGACATCACAGAATAACTCTCTTGCTTGTCTTTAGTTTTCTGGAGGTTCTCAGGGAATTTCTTAGTGAACATCACCGTGTAGAGCTTGCCCAGCATGGCATCCATGATGTCTGAGGCCTTCTGGCTTCCGTGACAGAAGAAGCTTCTTTTCACAGCTGAGACAAAGTCCGTGTCCGTCATGAGGGTCCCTGTGATGTTGTGGAGGTTCTTCATGAAGGAGTCAATGAGATCTGAGACCACTTCTTTAGCATGCTTGATCAGGACCTTCTTCAGCAGGATGGTGGCAATGGTTGTATCTTTCACCTGGATCCTCAAGGTCTTCATGATGGAGACCATCATGTCAGACACCACGCTATTGGCATAGGTCATGATCCCTTGACTGATGGATGTGGTAAAGTCATCAGGCCTCTCCTGCCCCCTGAACAGCCTTCTCTCACCAAGTAATCTTCCACCCTCTCGGGCGTCCCCTGCATTACGAGACTCAAACACTTCCTTGTAGAAGAAAGACTTTCTGGAAACAGGCTTGTCATCTGAACCCTTGCTTTCCCTGGTGGTCTCCTTGATCTTCAGAGTGGACTTCTTCTTCAAGCTCGGGAGACTAGAAGATCCGGCTCTGTCCCCGGAGCCGGGAGCCTTGTCCGAGTCACCGCTCCTGGAACACGCAGACACGGTCTCGTTCACCAGCTCGGACGCTACCTTACTCAGGCTTTTGGTGGGTGTGGGCTCATCCCCCATGTACAGGGACTGATGAATACATTTTTTTTCTGAGCCATCAATCTTCTCGTTGATCTCTTTGCGGGCCATGGCTATCACTAGATTTGTAAGGCGGTTGGCATAGAAGGAGACTTCATCTACTGACTTTCCATTGCCAGGCAGAGCCCCAGGGCCCTGGGAAGGGATCTCTTTGTGGGTTACCTCAAAGTGCAGTTTCCCTGGGATGCCCTTGCTGGTGGTGTTGTAGGCATCCATGTAGAAACCTCTTTGTGAGTCTCCTGCGTTGGCCATGCCTTCAGCCAGTGCCGATTCTCCAGGCTTGAACCTAACATCTTGGAACCCTGCTGTACTTTTCTCCAAGTCTCGACGGAGCCAGCTGAGCACTCGCACGGGATCTTTGGAGACTTCCTTGAGAGCAGACAAGGACTCCTCTGACTATGACAAAGATAGGGAAGGTTCAGGACAACCTCAAAAGTCAGTTACCAGACCTTACTACTCCTTTCTCCCCCAATCACTGCCCTAAGCTTGCATCATCACACGAAAGAGTCACCAACATCTACATATGTTGTACAGCTTACTATGTATCAGGAACTGTTCTAGATTGGTATCTTAAGACCATTATCTCATGTAATACTGTTTTCACAACAAACTTGAATGGTAGCTCTCATATCATCCTCATGTGGACCAGAACATGAAGAACTGCCAGGTTGAGTTACTTATCTGATGTTGTCGGTGGAGCAGGATTTCCAGTTTGGCCAGCCTACCTTCAATGCCTACTCTCTCAGCTATTACATTATATTGCTTCTCATAACATACAAGTGGTCTTCGTGGAGAGTCAGACATTTGGCATAGAGGTTAAGACATGGCTTCAGAGACCTGCATCACCTGACTCCATGTTCTGGCTAATGTGCACCTTGGGAGGCAGTAGATAATGACTCAGGTGGTTGGTTAGCTCCTTGCCACCCAAGTCAGAGACCCAGATTGAGTTCCTGGCTTCCTCAGGAGTGGTTCTCATTGAGCAAAAAACCAAAGGATTTTTGTTTCTTTGGTTTACCACAGAAATTGACCTGCCTCCCTCTCCACCCCACAAATCACAAAACAAATAAAAAAATAAGTAGGAGCAGTTTTAGTTGTCTTTTACAGTCATTGAAGATGGACTAGAATAACTTAATATTCCTCTTTTGGCAGTAGAGGGCATTGGCGGGGCAGTGCACAGCAATGGGAAGAGGCAGTGGCCTCCTCTCTGGCAACCCTTGTGGGGCTTCCTGTGGCAGGTGGAGCCTGAAGACAACCTTGGCTGGGGGAAGAGGATACTTGTATGAATCTGGAGTTTCTTTCTTTGCAACTTTCTCAGTCTAGTAACTGTTCTCTGGTTGGTATTTCTGGAGCTCCCAGAGAGCTCTTTCATGCTTCCAGTAGTTACACAGCAAATGATTTCTTTCTTAATAACTGGTACAGTTTCTATATTCTGACTTGACCCTGACTTTACAGGGCCTGGTACTAACTAAAGAAATGTTGAATGATGAAGACACAATGAGAATGTAACTGAAAGTTTAGCACTTTGACAACTAAGGCAACCCCACATTTCAGAAAATCTTTCGTGGGCCCAGTGCAGTGGCCTAGCAGCTAAAGTCCTTGTCTTGAACACACTGGGAATCCCATATGGGCTCCAGTTCTAATCCTGAAAGCCACACTTCCCATCCAGCTCCCTGCTTGTGGCCTGGGAAAGCAGTTGAGGAAGGCCCAAAACCTTGGGACCCTGCACCTGCGTGGGAGGTCCAGAAGAGCTCCTGGCTCCTGGCTTCAAATGAGCGCAGCTCCAGCCGTTGTGTTCACTTGGGGAGTGAATCATCAGATGGAAGATATTTCTCTCTGTTTCTCCTTCATTCTCTCTATATATCTGACTTTGCAATAAAAATAAATAAATCCTTTTTTAAAAAAAGAAGATCTATCCTGTGAGCCTTGCAGTCATTCATTTTTGATTTCTATCTGATGGAAAAAACAAAATTTTTATAGCTCTTTTTATGAATTACAGCATATTATTGTCTAAAAATATACATATGATAAGCATTTTAACAAAACTTTGTCATAGAGAAACTAATTTTTCTCCTAAGAACCATACTTTCAAAAATAAAATATGGGACCCTGTGACATCCCCACATACTACTGGTGTGAAAAAGAAGTTGAACCTGGGCCCAGCGCAGTATGCTAGAGGCTACTTGCATAGTACGCACCAGGATCCCATACGGGCGCTGGTTTGTGTCCCAGCGGCCCCACTTCCCACCCAGCTCCCTTGCTTGTGGCCTGGGAAAGCAGTCGAGGACAGCCCAAAGCCTTGCGATCCTGCACCCGTGTGGGAGAGCCAGAAGAAGCTCCTGGCTCCTGGCTTCAGATTGGCTTGGGTCTGCTCGTTGCAGTTGCTTGTGGAGTGAATCAATGGACAGAAGATCTTCCTCTCTGTCTCTCCTCCTCTCTGTGTATCTGACTTTCCAATAAAATAAGTTTGGTTTTTTTTGTTTGTTTGTTTGTTTAAAAACTGGTGGTTGAACTTTACCATTTTCCAGTCTTGGATTTGATTGTCTCCAGGTGAATAGACATCAACTTTGCATACTCCATTTTGGCTTTGTAACCAGTCCACCCTCTCTGACATCTGGAAGAACAAAACAAAAAAAAAAAAAAAATGAAGAAGGCTCATCTGGCAGGCAGATGATATGAACCTAAAAGAGAGGCAAGGTGAATTGTGGAGGAGTGAAAAATAGGAGTCATGCACATCCTGGGAGGCATCAGGTGCTAACCAGACAGCTGAATCCCTGACACCCATGTATGTGGGAAACAGGGATTGAACTGCTGGCTCCTTGCTTCAGGAGCTGTTGCAGGTACTTGGGCAGTGAATTTGCTCGTGGGAGCTCTATCTGTATGCCTCTCTGTTTCTCTGTTTCTCTCTGCCTCTCAAAGAAAAAAATTCAAAAATTAAAATAAATCAAAGACAGATCAAACACATGACTTAAACTTACATATGAAGATGTACTGTCTTTGTCATACACAGTATTAAAAGGAAAATGTCAGATCTCTAAAGAGCTGTTTGTCTCTGGGTAGAAACCCTTTTCTCTTAATCTGCGTGATTACTGATGTGCCTCCAGAACTGAGAGTTCTGGACCAGGGCTTGTCTGGAAAGACTCTTCGGGCAAGACAGCTCAGGTCCAATCTGAGGATCACTCACTCTCCTTTGACATTTTTCTCTGAGATGAACTTCCTAATGTCCTTTTGATCTTATTGAACGTTCATGGCTTTAACAAGGATGTGGTTAAGGTCTATGCAGTAAATTCTTGTATTGCCCTCAGCAACTCAGTATTACATGAAAACATTTTCATGCTTATGTGAGAAGGAAGGGGTAGTTATTTGGTCTAAGAACGGGAAGTCTAAGAGGTAAGTTCTAGATTGCGGATAGTGTGGGACCCAGAAACATATGTCTTAATGTCTAGTTTATATTTCATCCAAATGAATTGTCTGTAATGGAAAAACAACAGAATCAACAGGACATACTGCTTTAGTTAGGCTCTGTGCTGCAATTAAAGAGGAAAGACATTAAGCACAAAAGGCAAGGAAATCTCTGATCACTTACTCTTATCGAGGACAGGTTCTGAGACAGGAAGAACGCTCTTTAACTAGCTTGCTGTTGAATTCACAATCCCCAAGTTTACCCACCCCTGCTGCCATGTAATATAAGGAATCTGCAATGGAAAAGCACACACACATAAAAGGGGACCAATTTTACATTTAAACCTTGGTTATTTTTATTATTACATAATGATTTTCATTTATTCATTATGTTCATATGCACATGCAGACAATGAGCACAAAATAACATTCACATTTCACAAAGGGAGAGGATTCGGATCTAACATTGCTACATCCTGAAAGTTCTCCGATGACAAAAAAGTGGTTCTTCCTGGTAAATGATTTTTTTTAGATGAATATTCTTCATCTCCACTTTTTGAATCACTCATATAGAAACTTATTTAGCCAGGAGGAGGACATTGCAAAGTTTTTATGCTAGTCTCAAATTTGCTTGAATAGAAAGAATCAACAGCTACAGTGGAGAAAAGCAGCCTTGATTTCACAGATCACTAACACTTGAATAGCAGGCCTTCAATAGAAAAACACATCATTATGCTGTGAAGGGAGTTCATAATTAGTATATTCCAGATCAATTAACTGACTTATACTATCTCCACCAAGACTTTTCACTGGATGTTATTAAACTGTTATGTGCTCATTTTAGTATTTCCACTCGGTGCCCACTTCCAATTACGCCTGTAAACCACATCCTGAAATTTCCCATCAATAAATGATTTCCTAAAATACCTAACTGAATGCAAGTGCTCCTTCATCAGACTTTCCACCACATTTAGTTTCAAACTGCACTCTCTCAGGTATTTTAATGACTTGTGTATAGTTCATCTCTTTTACTAGATGGCTTCCTGAGAACGGGGGCATTTTCTTATTCCTCTTGGTGTCCTTCATATTGTTTTTAAAAAAGATTTATTTATTTTTATTGGAAAGGCAGATATACAGAGAGGAGAAGAGACAGAAAGATCTTCCATCCAATGGTTCACCCCCAAACAGCTGCAATGACTGGAGCTGAGTCACTCTGAAGCCAGGAGTTCAGAGTGTCTTCCAGGTCTGCCACGTGGGTGCAGGGTCCCAAATCTTTGGGCCATCCTCTACTGTTTTCCCAGGCCACAAACAGGGAGCTGGATGTGAAGCAGGGCTGCTGGGATTAGAACTGGCACCCATATGGGATCCTTGGGATTCTGCATCAATGTGGGAGACCCAGAAGTTCCTGCCTCCTGGCTTCCAATCAGCTCAGCTCAGACCACTAAGGCATTTGAAGAGTGAACCAGCAGATGGAAGATCTTTGCCTTTCCTCTCCTGTTCCAGTAAAAAAATATATATTTTTAAAGGAGAGAATACATTTATTGTATTTATAACTCTTTTGATCGCTCCCTTTTTAAAGGGGATTCTATAATGTAGTAATTTAGTACATGTTACTTAAATCAGAATTTTGATGGGCTGTAAGTAAAAATGAAAAGTGTTTGTGTTCCTTTCAGGCCACTTACAGTTAAGTCTTCCTGTGGCTCTCTTTTCAGTCCATATTCCCCCAGTAACTGTGTCTTTCTTTGGAGCAACATCAGCACCAATGCAGACACACACTACTCCTAGGCAGACATTTCCTGCCCTTTCCCAGTCCCGTTGTCTACCCACAGCTTCAGAAATAACAAGGAGTAGCAGAACATGGATGAGGACTGAACTGAGAGCTATACCAGCCTGAGATTACTCTTAGGGCATTAGAAAGAAGAAGAAAAATATCTTGGATTAGGCAAGCATTCACAAGTCAACCAAGCCTGCTCCTTTAGTGTAAAACTGGGAATCAAGGACTAAACTCTCATGTCACCAAAGGATGACCAATGAAATCTGCACAAGCTCATACCACAATCAACAGTTTCCTAGCAGATGGTAGGCCTGGAGGCAAGGCTGCTGATGGACCCATTTGCTTCTAGAAGACTCCGAGGTGAACTGTAAACTACTGGGCAGAAAAGCAAGGTCAGGTCGCCCATCCCTCATCACTGAATTCTTTCTAAACACAGAGGGTCAGCAAATGGGCTATTTGGTGAGTGTGAGGGGGTCTTCTTACCTCTGTAACACTGGAGTAGTGAAGCACAGAAGACTCCAGAATATATTTTTAAAGTCAATGAAGATGCTGGGATGTTCTTACTCAGCTCAAGATCTTGTTTTCTCCCAGAGCCTTCCATGCACCTCCCCCTTGTTGGGACCAGGGAGTGACATCAGAATCACAGCTCACGATGTCACTGTCTCCACGGTAACAGTGACATGTGTCAGAAACTGACTTGTGGTCAAATGGCTGAAAGGAGGGATGATGATACATTGCCAGTTCCGATGTTCAGTGTGGAAGGACTGTGCATCGTTTGTCTTGACTAATTCTCCCCTTGGAGTGTTTCAGATGGGGAGTTGGAACAGCAAAATTTTCTCATCAGGTTTTATCTAACACAGCAGGGTGACTAGGGAAAAACAAACCCTGATCGCTTCAGGTAATAACACAAAATTAAAAATCAAAAAAATATATGGAGGATTGACATCAGCTTCTTCTGCAAAGTCCCAGGAACCACTTGTACTTTGATTCTTATTGTAAGCACCTTGCCTTTTGTAAAACACAAAAACTAGAAGAATTTATTCCATCATATTTTGCTTGAAGTGACCATCTCTAGAATAAAATGTATCATCATTGTCAGACACAGTAACATCAATCCACTTTGGGATCAATCTTGCCAAGGGAAGCTTGGCTGAAAACTAATTCTAGGCCTACGGAGAAACTTAACAGTGCATTCTCTTTGGCAATGTTACCTTAGGTCCTGTGTATGCATTAAATATAAGATTAACACATAGGAGAATATGTCAATATGTTTATGAAAAAAAGATAAGTTTACTACTGTGTGGGAATTTTTGAAATACGTGTGATTTTTTACAAATGTGCAATATCCATGAACTTTTCCATGTACCCTCACACAATCTTTAGAAAGCAGAAACTTCTAATTTAAATTGAATAGATTCCAGTTGATGGGCTTACCACAGACTTCCTTCGATGAAGTTATTTAACTGTTGATCTTTTTCATTAGGTCTCAATTTCTTCATCGTTTAAAATAAAGACATTGGGGTCAGTGTAGTGGCTCAACAGGCTAATTCTCCACTTGCAAGTGCCAGCATTCCTTATGAGTGCCAATTCGTGTCTCAGCTGCTTTGTCTCCCACCCAGCTCCCTGCCTGTGGCCTGGGAAAGCAGTGGAGGACGGCCCAAGGCCTTGGATCCCTGCACCCATGTGGAAGAACAAAGAGAAGCTCTTGGATTCTGGCTTCAAATCAGCTCAGTTCTGGCAGTTGCGGCCATTGGGGAGTGAACCAGTGGATGGAAGATCTATCGTTCTCAGTTTCTCCTTCTCTCTGTAATTCTGCCTTTTAAACAATAATAAATAAATCTCTACAGTGAAATCAAGATGTTGGGTGTGTTGATATCTTTAGACCCCTTGGGGCTGTTTGATTTTGAGGTTTTGCTGACATTTAGACGGCAACGCACATGCTTGCACATCTAGCTGACAACACACCTTCACATCCGTGTTATCATGGAACTGTCACAATAATGTCCCGAGGTAACAGAGCAGTTACTTTCCCTGTGACTCACCTGTAAAAGCTTATCTAGGTTAAAAGTAACAAATGGTACAACTGGGGCTGCAACTTAACATGATACCTCGAAATCTGAACTGAGAACCCAAAACAGTGTCTGCTGTACATGGATGGTAATGTTATACAGAGTTTAGGAAGTTGCTGACAATAGAGGGGGACTCGCACAGTGTTAAAATTCACAGTGAACCCAGAATCAAGCACATTCTAAGTACTGAGCGAACGTATGATGAAGCCAACGTGAAAGCGCAACATTACTAAGCTGACAAAAAGGGTTTCTTTCTTCTTCCGATTCAATTTGGTGGGTGACACTTCGATGAACAGTAGGGCTGGGGTAAGTGGAAATAAGTTATTTACAAGTCTAGAACAACTAATTCAACTCACCAGCGACCTATTGTCTATTTCAGCAACACCCACTCTGAAAATACTAGACATGGTCAGACCGCAAAGTCTAGAAAGATTCCCCTCAAGTAAGTTATTTCCTGGCAAGCTCAAGGCTTATGTCTTCTACTCAGAGGTCTTAAGAGGCCGGCCAGATTTAAAATGATCTTTCTAGAATCTCCTCAGGATCCAGAATACTGTCGATTTCCAAAGGGATTCACAGTTAAAAACACAAAACCACCAGCTGCCCTGGAGTGTGCTGTGCAGTCTTCCCAGCTGCACGGGCACCCACAGCCATTGGCATCAGCCTGCTTTCAGCAAGTTCAGATTCTTCCCGAGGCTCGCGACTCAAGGATTCCTGGACTCACAGGTCAAGTGGTGATGACGTTGAGATAAACACAGGGAACAAAGCCAACCCTGGGCTGGGTGGATGCTCACCACTTTGCAGAGGAGGCTGAGAAGCCTCTATATGCAGGGCTTTGAGCTAGAAAAAACACAAGCTGCAAATGCAAAGTCTGCGAAGAGAGAGGGGGCTTGCGAACTCGAGCTACATTTGCTAATTTGGGGGCCTGGCGCAGTGTCCCAGTGGCTAGTTACTGCCCATTGGGGCACCGTCTCTAATCCCGGCTGCCCCGCTTCCCGGCCAGCGGGCGCATTCCGCACGGAAGGTCTTCCTCTCTGTCTCTCCTCCTCTCTGTATATCTGACTTTCCAATAAAAAAGCATCTTAAAAAAAAAAATTGGCTAATTTGGGACAGAGCCCCGTCATTCCTCATTCCCACTTTCCCGCTCTCTGTCCCCGCCTCCGGCTTCCCAAGGTCTTCCAGAACGGCTCGCTTTTGGCATTTTCAGGCAACTTGGAACTGCTGCTCCACCACTTTCTGAGAATTCGTAGACGCTGCAGAGGTCTTGTGACCCCTTCCTCGGCTCTCCTCAGCCTCCTCCCCGCAAGGTCTCACTCTTCTCACAACCTGCGGCGCGCCCCCGGGACTTCCGGCAGGCGCATGCGCAGACAGTAGGCCCCGCCGCCGTATGACCCAGCTGAGGAGCCGTAGCTCTCGGCTGCCTGGCCGGCCGTGGGGGCTTGTGGGAGAAGATGGCGGCCGCCCTGCACCTCAGGGTTGTCCGGGCTTGGCCAATGTCACGTAAGTGTTAGAGAGGGGAGCGGTCGTCTTGTCCAGAGGGTCCGAGAAAAGGGATATCTGGAGTTTGCTGCTGGGCAGGCGTCTCGTCGAATCCAGCGCGCGTTATTGTTCCAGGGCCGGAGCTGCCTGGGGCTGCGCGTCTTGTCTCCGGCTCACGGTTGCACCCTTGGCAGGCGGACACGAGACCTTGAGCGGCTGGAGGGAGAGAGGAGGGACGCGGGGTGACACGGTCATCTAGAGAACCGGAGTGCGAGACGCTCGTGCGGGGCGAGGGGTGGGCGTCTGCGGCTGCTGGCGAACGCGTTCACCGAATGGCTTCGGTCTCAACTTGAGGCTCTCGGTGCCGCAATTAAAAAAAAAAAGGCAAAACCGAGTCTGTTAACACGTCAGAGGATGAAACCCAGTGATAATTGTAAAAGTGATACGTAAAAAAAAAGCATCCCCACCGGTCAGGTGCGGAACTGGGCTGGGAGAAGAATGGAGACCTTAGAATTTGTCTGACGGGTTAATTTGTCTTTTTCTTCCAGTCTAAAAACCTAACAGCTTGTTGTTCCAGAGGCTGGGAAAGCAAGAAACTTAGCAACAGAGTAGAACTTCGCTATTCTTCCTTTACCCTGTCCTCTTCCACAAACTCCCCCGCCGTTGACTTTCCCCGCGTGTACCTGTCTGTGCTTTGGCGTTTCAGAATACCACGTCCTTAGAAACTTGCGCCATACGCAGTTGCTCATGCATTTTTGTAAAGAACAAAAGTGGGGGCTCGTTTGTGCAGCCCCTGAATCAGAAGTGTTGAGATGAGATGGTTACAACTTGGATTTTTTTTTAAGGCATCCAACAGAGTTCTGATGTGGAGGGTGTTTTTTTGATTTTCACTTTGGGCGAGATTCTTACGAACCCCTGGGAAGGTGATAGTGCGTGTCATTTACTTATACTTGAGGAAGTTCCTGGAAGAGAGGTTAAAATATAAGGAAGGGACCCCTACTGTGGTATTGTAGGCTAAACTTGGCATCCCATATGGGTGCCAGTTGGAGTCCCAGCTGCTCCATTTCAAGTGCAGCTCTCTGCTCACGCACCTCAGACAGCAGCAGAGGCTGGCCCACAGGCTGTGTCTACACCCAGGGGGGAGACGTGGAAGAAGCCCCTGGCTTTGGACTAGCCAGGCTCTAGCCTCTGAAGCCATTTGGGGAGTGAGCCAGTGATGGGGGTTTCTCTTTCTCTCTTTCTTTCCCTGTGCCTCTTTCAAATAAAAAATACATTTTTAAAATATGTTGAAATTATGAGTATGAAGGATCTTCAAAAGTTCATGACAATGTATTAAAAATGCATGTATTTCAGGGTTTTTTTTTTTTTTTTGCATTAAGCATCTTTTAATTCCATTTGCATGAATTTTTTAAAGTACTTTTTCCTTCATTTGTGTGTTTTAAGGTTTATTTTATAGGCCTGGTACGGTAGCCTAGCAGCTGAAGTCCTTTCCTTGTATGCTCTAGGATCCCATATGGGCATCAGTTCTAATCGCAGTTGGCTCCACTTCCCATCCAGCTCTCTGCTTGTGGCCTGGGAAAGCAGTTGAGGACGGCCCAAGGCCTTGGGACCTTGCACCCATGTGGGAGATGCAGAAGAAGCTCAGATCGGCTCAGCTCTGGCCGTTGTGGCCACTTAAGGAGTGAACAAGCAGATGGAAGATCTTTCTGTATCTCCTCTATGTAAATCTGACCTTCCAATAAAAGTAAATAAACCTTAAGAAAGATTTATGTGTTTGAAAGGCAGAGACACAGCGAGAGAAAGGTCTTTCATCCTCTAATCCAGTGCGAGCTGGCTGCAGCAGGCAGCACTGGGCCAGACTGAAGCCAGGAGATTTTTCTAGTCTCTCATGGGGTGCAGGGGCCCAAGACTTGGACCATCTTCTGCTGCTTTGTCAGGCCCATCAGCAGGGAGTCGGATCAAAAGTGCAGCAGCTTGGACTCGAGCCTGGTGCTCATATGCTCATATGGGATTCCACCATTGCTGATGGTGGCATGCCATGCCCCTGAAACACTCCTTTTAAAAATATATGTGTTTGGGACTAGTGCTGTGGCATAGAGGGTAAAGCTTTTCTGTCTGTTTTACCAGCATCCTTTGTGGGCGTTAGTTCAAGTCCTGGCTGCTTTTACAAAAGATTATTTATATGTTTTGAAAGGCACAGTTAGAGAGGGAGAGACAGAAAGCTTCCATTTGCTGGTTCATTCACCCGATGGCTACCATGAGCTGCCAGCTGAAGTCTGGAGCCATGAATTTCATCCGGGTCTCCCACGTGGGTGGTAGAGATTGAAACACCTAGAGCATCCTTTGTTGGTTTTCTGAGGCCTCCAGCACAGAGCTGGATCAGAAGTGAGGCAGCTGAGAGGAGCTAACATGCAAATGGCATGCCAGAGTCACAGGCCATGGCTTCGCATGCTGTGCCAAAAGGCCGCAAAGTCTTGCAGTGGATGGATTTGTGGCCGTGAATTTTTTACAAAGGCATTTGCTGGTTCTTACTATTGCAATGGTGTGACAGATTAAGTGGCAATAAGTATTATTTACTTATGTTTTTACAGTTTTATTTCATTTGAAAGACAGTATTACAGAGAGAGAAGGAGAGTTAGAGAGATCTTCCATCCACTAGATTGACTCCCCAATGGCCGCAGTGGCCTGAGCTGAGCCATCTGAAGCGCTAGGAGCTTAGAGAGAAAGAGATACCTGACAGTTGTTAGTTGACTGCCCAAATAGTCTCAGCAGCCCAGGCCCAGGAGTCGGGAATTCTTAGGTCTCTCTGGTGCATGGGGCCAAGCACGTGGGCCCCCTCAGCTGCTGTCCCAGGCACATTAGCAGGGAGCTAGGTGAGAAGTGAAGTGGCAGGATTAGAACTGGCTCTCACGTGGGATGCCAGAATCTCAGGCTGGGCTGCAGTGCTGGCTCTGAGTTCTAGTTATTTCCGTGTTTACTCTAAAGTGTTTCATTTTAGTTTTTGCTTTGGTGAGCATAGCGTACATTCTTAATCATTCTGTTCCACTGTGTTTATTATACTTTTAAAACAATTCCAGGGGCAAAGCTAGCTTGCCACATCATCGAAATACCAAAGGAAGAAACTCAGCAAAGTGATTGTACGTGGCTAAGTGTGGCAGGACTCTGGCAGTGACAGAGGTTGGGCGTTGTCCACTCACAGAGGCATCAGAGCCGTACCAGGCGCCGTCGGGAGCAGTCAGTGACCTCCAGTGTGTCTGGGAGAGTGGGAAAGAGAGAGCTTGAGTGTGTTAGGTGGGCTCAGGGAATGCAGGGCTTCAGAAGTTGGGTAGAGTTCAGTGACTTCCAGCGTGCTGTGTACAAGAGGGAATAGTGAGTTACGAAAACGCTACATCCACACAGTATAACTTTCTGGAATAATCACAGTGGCTGCATACCAGACATTTCCAAGTGCTTTAACAAATGCTTTATAATCTCTGAATATGTTGATACTACATGGAACATGAATTGAATTTTAAAATAAATACTTAGAAAAGGAGTGCATTGTTCACTATGTTAATCTGGACTGTTGACTTATATGTTGCAGTTAGAAAACAATGTTGATTTTTCAACAAACATAATCAGTACATAATGTTACATGCATTAGCTTTTTCAGAGCTTTTCCCAAAAACGCTTTGTCCAGGAATCCTTCCTTCTCCATGATAACATGACTTGTCACTCCTTTACTTCATTTTCTGGACTTCTTTCACTATGGGGTTTTATAATGTCCTAACCTGTAATTATTTAATGTTTCTTGAAAAATATGATTTCCCTCCCTAGGTGAATTTCATGTTGTAAGGCATAAGGTTTCCGTTCTAGTGGTTGTATATTCACTCGGGTCCTTTGAATTCTGTGTGGCAGTGGTCTCTGCTTGTTTTTGTCCTTGGTCCTTACATTGGTCAAGTCCAGAGGGCAGGATGCTGTCACAGGTGTGGGAGAGAAGCACTCAGTAGGCACAGTTACTTCCTTGCTGGCATTTACCCTTTTCGTGTGCTGTGGATCTTTTTTAAGGTTCTGCTGTCACTGCACTGGCTACCTCCGTATGTCACGGCCCAGCCCGTCGCCTTCTTCACCACGCCCTCATACCTCATGGCCAAGGCGGGCGGTCCTCGGTCAGCGGGCTTGTGGCCACCGTGTTTGGGGCCACAGGGTTCTTGGGCCGATACGTCGTCAACCACCTGGGTGAGTCTGAGTAGCTGTCTGTCGTTCCCTGGGTGTCAGAGCCACTTATTGGGAGTACCTCATGAGCAGCCATGAGCTGTGTCCCTTCATTTTAACAATAATACAGATCACTCTTGTCTCCGATTTATGTGATTTTTACAGTATGCCCAAGTTATGACAGAGGGTAAGATGTCGTACGGAGTGTAATGGCAGTTCAGTGATCGCACTAAAGCTTCGGTGTTTACAGATCACCGCTGTATACTGCACCTCTACGATGCTCATGCTGCCCTTGGTTTCAATCCACCTTTTAGGACGTATGGGATCCCAGGTGATCGTACCCTACCGGTGTGACATGTACGACATCATGCACCTTCGTCCCATGGGGGACCTGGGCCAGATTATCTTCCTGGTAAGAACCCTCCTGGCTGGGTTTGTAAAGTTGACATAGTGTCCATCACTATGACGTTTTTCAGAAAGAGTCCATTTTTACTGACCCCATTTCCTCCCAAAGTGGGTCAAGGGCATTTCACGTTTAAATTCCTGTGTTTTTATATTTTGGTGTAGGATTTCTAGATCAGCAGTTGGCCTGGCAGTTCTTAGAGTTTGTCACAATTACTCATTTCTGCCTGTGTGAGCCCAGAGGCAGCCACAGACAGTAACTGGATGGCCGCAGCTGTCCTGTTTTCCTGTTTTCTGTCTTACCCTTCTGCCTTCCATTGCACTGATATATGCACATATACTTAGTATTTGGCCTAGAAAATTCTTACTACTTGTTTTTTAATACTGACATAGCATTGACTTTCCGTTTTAAGACGGATCCTGGCCTGGGATCACTTTGCAGGTTTACTTAATGCAACCCAGCTGCTATTGTGGACAAATGTATCACTTTGACTTCAGTGCTAAATGAGCTGTGAATCTACTGAGTCCCCAGACCCGTTGGCTGATTTTAAAATTTTATTTTATTTTTATTTTATAATCCGATTCCATAGGCTCAAAAATTTCCTCTTTCTCCTCCCTAGTTCCTCCCTCCCCACCAATTTCCCTTTTATGACTACAGTAGTATAGTTCATTTTGCAAATTTTTAGCAGCCAGCTAGATTGAAAATAGAGAAGGCAGGAGGACTTGAACTGGTGCTAGTTTGGGATGCTGACAATACAGGTGGCAGCTTAACAGGCTGCACCACAATGCCGGCTTCATGTTTCCCAATTTTTAAAGTAGGAGTAACTAATTCAGTTATAAAAGAGTGAAGAGTAAAGAGAACTAGAAAGCAGTTGTGAAGACTCTCCTGTGTTCGGTCAGCTGCCAGAAGGGGAAGTGTACTTACTCCGAAGTAAGCCTTGGGTGTTTGGCTTTTGAAGGGAGACTAGACGGCTGGGTTTCCTTATTTGATGAGTGGGAGAATTGGGTGGACAAAAACCAGTGTGCTTCGTTAAGGAGAAACAGTGACTCTTCAGTTCTCCCAGTTCCTTTGATGAGTCGGTCTCCAGCACAGTCAGGGACTCGGCCTGGGCTGTGGCCCGAGCAGCCTGCGTTCAGCAGCACTCTGTGCTCCCGGGGGCTGCGGAGGTGTGGCGGGCTCGGCGTCACTCCTGGGGCTTCACCTGCTGGGCTGCTGCTCCTACAGGAATGGAACGGCAGGGACAAAGACTCGATCCGGAGGGCGGTGCAGCACAGCAACGTGGTCATCAACCTTGTCGGACGGGAGTGGGAAACCAGGTCAGCCTTGGATGCACGTGTCTTTGCAGAATCCCATCTTGGGGTCCACTGGATGGTAACTGAGCACCTTGTAGGTGCTTGTTTAGTCCCTTAGTCAGGGCTGATGGAACACCAGGGGAGCTCCTTAGGAGCGTTTCACTTTTGTGTGGGTTTGAATGTTTGTATTTAGCCTTTGTATGGGCTGTTTATGTACAAACTGATGCATTTCACTTTAAAGAGACAGAGACAGGTTATCTGTTTACTGGTTCACTCTCCAGATGTGCACAGCAGCCGGGGCTGGGCCAGGCTGAAAGCAGAATCTCAATACATTCTAGGTCTCCCACATGGGTGACTGAGACCCAGGTGTCTGAGCTGTCACCTGCTGCCCCCTCAGGTGTGCATTGGCAGGAAGCTGGAGCCAGGAGCAGTGCCAGGAGCTGGACCAGGCTTGCCACTATGAGACATGTGGCAGGTGTCCAGAGCAGCATCGTAACCACTGGGCTGGATGCTTGTCTCTAAACAGAGTTTTAATCCTGTACTTTCACAGTACTTTGTTCCCAGTTTTCTTTTCCCCCCAGCACTTGGCTAATGTTTGGCTTAGATTCGTCTTAGATTGATTTATGTGTATTTGTCTCATTAAATATGTTTTAAGTCTTGGATGACACAGAGCATCTTACTCATCTTCATATCCTCTTTATGAGTAGCACAGTGGAAGCAGTAGTTATGGTACTAACTCGGTAACTGCTGTTTAGTATCTTCCTTTTCCAGCCCCCAGTGCTTCCCTTCTGTTTGCTAGCAAGTGCAGCGCAGCTTGTTAAAGAGCCCCAAGAACACAGAGTTGTCAGTGCCGAATAGATGAGCCTGACATTGTGCTCAGGAATGACAGCCGGGCTAGAAAACTCGGGAAGACCGTGAATTTGGACTTTAAGTGAAATCATTACTGTTTAAAAGTGCAGCTATTAGGAATTTCAGTATGGCTAGGAAAACCAGCTTACCACAGAAAAGTTTGAAATCCCGGGTCCCATTCCTAACTAATCTCATTTGTATTCTTTGTTTCAGAAACTTTGATTTTGAGGATGTTTTCGTGAAGATTCCCCAAGCAATTGCTCAAGTGTCCAGGGAAGCTGGGGTTGAAAGATTCATCCATGTTTCACATCTGAATGCTGATATCAAAAGTCCTTCCAGATACCTGAGAAATAAGGTAACAAGTTGATGTGGGGCATGTTTCAGAGAGCTAGTTCCTAAGGATCTCGGAGCTGATTGAAGTGACAAGTGTTTCTCATCTGACCCTGCATGTTCCCAGTTGAGTGATGGTGTGTGTTGTCTTCTGACTTCCTGGTTGACTGCTGTCCAGGGCATTCTGCTGAGGGGTCCCCAGATGGATTGATATTGTTGGCCTATCTGCATAGGCATCGGGTAGCTCTGGGATGTGGTAGGATCAGGCAGAAGCATCATAAAAGCTAGAGTAGGCCTTCTGCTAGGGAGTCAAACTTGTTTACCCTCCTATGGTTAAAGGACCATTTTTTGTTCTCCGACTCCTTGCCTAATTGTGGTTTTTATGCGCTGTCCCCTCTTCTTTAAAAAGTTTATTTATTTGAAAGGCAGAATGATAAAGAGAAAGATAGCATAGATCCACTGGTTCAGTCTCCCTAAATGGCTGTATCTTCCAGGGCTGGTCCAGACCGAAGCCAGGAGCCAGGGACTCCATCCAGGTTTCCCACGTGTGTATTAGGGGCCCAGGTATTTGGGCTGGATTGGAAGCCAGGGCAGATGGGACTCAAACTGGTGCTCCCAGATGGGATGCCAGCATGGCCTGTGGCAACCTAGCTCACTGTAGCACAACACTTTTACATGGGTGATATGAAGGCTGGCCATGGCGGGTAAGTGCTGCCAGGGGAACGGCTGTTCTTGTAGCACTTCCAGTTCTCTAGTTACCTTCTAGACTAGGTGAGACAATCTCCAGGGGCAGGCCTTGCACATCAGTAGCTTTAAACTTTCCTTATGTAATTCCAAGCGATAATTTCAACATTGAGGAACACTGTGTAACTCAAGACAGAAGAAGAGGGTCCAGCTGGGCACTTGGGCTTCAGGTGCACTGCGCATGTGCTTTCTGCCCAGACAAGAGTGGCCAAGTGGTGGTTTAAGATCCTGGGGTTTGAAACAGAGATCTGGGAAGAAATGAAAGGTTTGGAAGTCAGCGGCCTTTGATGTTCATTGAAGTAGTAGGGGAACCACAAGGTGTGTTAGTAAGGAATTGAGGTTGAGAAAAGACCCAGAGGCACATGCAAAAACCAAACAAACACAGAAGATTATGGCAAGGTGGACGTGGTGAGGTAGAAGGCAGAGCAGGGGCGTGTGATGCGTTGAACGAGAACTGTGAAGTCGCTCGTTGACGTGGAGGTCAGCTGTGATCCTAAAAAAATCGTTTCTGCACAAACCTTGAGGCAGAGCCCGGTGTACAGGTGAGTGAAGAGTGACTTAGAGCTGAGGCAGTGAGAGTGAGAGAAGCGTGTTTTCAAGCACACTGGTTGATGAGACGAGGAAGGGGGCTGCTTGGGAGGCAGAGAGGTGGGGACATGAGACGGAGGGTTGTTCCGTTTGCCTTGGCCGATGCTTGCGGGGAGGTGCTGGCCACGAGAGCGGGACTGAAGCGGGGGGAAAGAGCCAAGTGGACAGGTTCCTGACGAGCTGAAAGGAGGTGAGCTCTGAAGCCTTGGCGACTACATTGCTGGTCCTGGAGGAGAAAGTGTTCCTGGGCTTGCTGGTTTTTATAGTGAGAGCTGGAGGCATCTTTTTGTCTGCTGTGTTAATTTTGTGTTTGAATCTGAATATGAAGTTATTTTCTGACAGGAGAAATAAAGGAAGTCTGAAATTGTAAGAGCATAGAACATGTGTGAAGCCGTGAGGGGCCACGTCAGCTAGAAGGAGCTCTGTTCCTGGCAGGGAGCTGGGCTGTTGGCAACAACCAGAGCTCCTCCAGCCAGGAGGGCAACAGGAGCTGCAAACACTCTGATTTTTCTTCATTCCCTTATTTTTATTTTTTAAAAAAGTATTCTTTATTAAAGATTTATTTATTTTTTGGGGGGGAAGGCAGATATACAGAATGGAGGAAAGACAGATCTTTTGTCCAATGGTTCACTCCCTAAGTGGCTGCAATGGCTGGAGGTGAGCCAATCCGAAGCCAGGAACCAGGAGCCTTTTCTGGATCTCCCATGCGGGTATAGGGTCCCAAGGCTTTGGGCTGTCTTAGACTGCTTTCCCAGGCCACAAGCAGGGAGCTAGATGGGAAGTGGGGCTGCTGGGATTAGAGCTGGTGCCCATGTGGGATCCCGGTGCGTTCAAGGCAAGGGCTTTAGCCACTATGCTATCTTGTCGGGTCCCTTCCTTCCTCTTTAAACATCCCTAAATGCAAACAGGAAGAAACCCACCAGCAGCCACAGAAGGGGCAAAGCATTAACACTGTAATACGGTCTCACATGACTATCTTCATATGGAGAAAGAATAGACCTTTGAAATGCAGGTTGTGTCCTGACAGTGCAAGAGGGATGCAAGTTTTGCTCACTTGTCCCAGAACTTTGAACACTTACGACAGATGCTTTGTTTTGTTTTTTAAGGCTGTTGGAGAGAAAGCAGTGAGAGATGTATTTCCAGAAGCCACTATCATAAAGCCATCGGACATCTTCGGAAGGGAGGACAGATTCCTCAACCATTTTGCTAGTACGTATTCTTTATAGTTGAAGAACGGTGCCGTCTAAGTAGGCTTGACTTGAGTACAAACCAATTCTTCTCTGATTCAACAGGCTGGCTATATTCTTGCCCATTTACCTTTTCATCCCCTGATATTATATTTCCTTTTTTAAAACATTCTTGATCTTTTTGTTTTAGTTGGCCATCCTCCACAGGCAGGTGGCTGGACAGGAAGTGCCCCATGTAGGATGCACATGCAGGATGCCGCCGCCTGGAGGCAGAGGATTATCCAGTCGAGCCAATGCACTGGCCCCAGTGTTAATTTTCATAGTTGATGAATTCCTTCTATGATCTTTGCGACTCAGATGAATGGAAAGTGCATGGCCGAGGACATCTGCGGCTTGAGTTTACACTTTGGCCTAATTAACTTCATGACTTTGTCGGGATAGTAGAATATTACTCAGAATTACTCTTGCTGCCCTCACATCCGTCGTGTTTCCTGTGCTGTCCCTTCCTCCTCCTGGCGTGATTGACCACAGTGAATCTGGGCAGTATCTCCTAAGTTTTTTCTTTTCCAGAGCATCGTGGAGTTGGGATCACCCATATGACTTGTAGCCTTAGGAGATTGGCTTTCGTGCACTAGGGCTTCTTTGTGTGGCTGAGTCATACTGCCTTTTATGGATGTGCCAGTTTACCTAGTTCTGATTTTTTTTTAAACGGTGTAATTATTTTTATTGGAAAGTCAGATTTACAGAGAAAAGGAGAGACATCCACTGGTTCACTCCCCAAGTGGCCACAGTGACCACAGCTAAGCAGATCCGAAGCCAGCAGTCAGGAGCCTCCTTCGGGTCTCCCACGTAGGTGCAGGGTCCTAAGGACGTGGTCCATCCTCGACTGCTTTCCCAGGCTACAAGCAGGGAGCTGGATGGGAAGTGGAGCAGCCGGGATATGAACTGGCACCCCATATAGGATCCCTGCACATGAAAGGCCAGGTCTTAGCCACTAGGCTACCTCACTGGACCCTAGTTTTTTTTGTCACATTGCTTTTATCACTGTATTCTTCATCTGTCCGTTCTTGTGTGGGTTCTTGGAGTGGACTGCTTTTGTGGTGTGGTCTTGTGGATGGTCGGGCAGTTAGCATCACCGAGCAGGCGCTAGTTGGCAGGCCGTTGACTGCTCTGCTCTCTGCATCATTTTCATTTGCATGTGTATCATCTGAGGAGCAAGTGGCTGCTCCTTTTAAGGTCCTCAGCTTCCTCAGAATCGACGACACTGGTCTCTCGTGTGCTGTTCTGTTGATCTGTGTATTGGTGCGTAGCAGCACAGGCCTCCTAAGGGTGGTTCTTGTGCCTTTCAGATATCCGCTGGTTTGGCGGTGTGCCTCTCATCTCCTTGGGCAAGAAGACAGTGAAGCAGCCAGTGTATGTGAGTACCCTGGGTGGAGCAAAGTACAAGCTTGAGCTCAAATTGGGTTTGGGTAATTGATTTTCTGGTTTTGTTCTAATCCAGTAGCCATCCTTTTCTTCTTTGTCATGTTACTTTCGTTGGCTTCCTCTTAGCTAAGAGTACATGTTTTGTCAAAGTCTCCCCTAGTTTATTCCTTCAATAAAATGTATTGAACCCTCAGTGCACCCAACACGGGGCGTGTCACTGGGGTTATCAAGATAGTGAACTGCAGGAACACATTGCTAACCTCAGTGGGGCTAATGTGATGATGTGATGTGAGAGGGAAAGGGTTTATTGAAGTCAGAGGGATGCCTGATCTATCCTTGGGCCCGTCAGAGGAGGTGTTCCCTGAGGTGACCCCTGATGGACTAGCGACAGTCGTAAGTCCAGTGAGGGGACTTGAGGGAGTGTCCTGCAGGGGAGACAGGTGGCCTGCGTGCGCAGGGGAGATGGTGCCACCAGATCCCGTCGGATGCTGAGTCACAAGTTCTCAGTGCTAGCACCTTTGGCACTTTTCCCCCAGCTGTTCTTTGTGTTGGGCCTGTCTCAGGGTGGCAGCGTCCTGTCCTCCAGCCTCTAGATGCTACGGCACCACCCACAGCTGCAACAACCAAAAATGTTGGGTGGAAAGCCATGCTGCTGCTTTTGAAAGTCAGAATGGCAGAGTGTCAGCAGGTCTGTGTCTCTCGACTTGCATTTAAGATGGCTTTGGGGCAGAGCTTGGGGAGAGCAGGGAGGGACGTTGTGGCCCAGGCCAAGCCAGGGGGGTCTTGAGCCTTGCGGTGATTGGTGTGTCCTTACCAGGAGAGTGCTTCTCAAAGCAGTCGTTGAGCTCTCTTGCAGAGATAGTGTGTGTGTCCTTTCTCTTGTAAGAAGCTTTCTGGAAACAGACAATTGTGTTATTTTCATGTTGTCACATAATCAGTATGGCCTGCTCTCCTTTCTTGCTTTGTTCTTTTCCTCCCTTCTTACCTCACTGTGCTGTTTTTTAATAGTTGTTGTAATTTGTTGTAGGTTGTAGACGTGTCCAAAGGAATTGTGAATGCAATTAAGGATGCAGATGCCAAAGGAAAAACCTTTGTCTTCAGTGGGTAAGTGCCCAGAGCTTGACTTTAAAGTTTTCCGCCAGTAAGTAACAGGAATAAATGGGCAGAACTGGCTCTTGGAACATTGCCTGCTTGCTCCTGGGTTGATACGGTTCTAAATCAGAACTGGTTGTTACAGTCTGTGCGAGGCTCCAGCAGGTCACTCTTGGTTGACGTAATGCTGGGACGAGTAATACTAGACATGTAACGCCATCGTTTTTCCCAGAAAATTATAGATTGTTATTTACACTTTTCTTCTTGTCTGTTTAGCACTAGCAAAATTCCTGCTTATTTCCCCATTTTTTAAAAAGATTTGTTTGTTTTTGTTGGAAAGTCAGATTTACAGAGAGGAGGATCTTCTGTCTGCTGATTCATTCCCCAAGTGGTCATAATGACTAGAGCTGAGCCGATCTGAAGCCAGAAGCCAGGAGCTTCTTTTGGGTCTCCTATGTGGGTTCAGGATCCCAAGGCTTTGGGCCGTCCTCGACTGCTTTCCCAGGCCACAAGCAGGGAGCTGGATGGGAAGTGGGGCTGCCAGGATTAGAACTGGTGCCCACATGGGATCCTGGTGCATGCAAGGCAAGGTCTTTAGCCACTAGGCTACCACACTGAGCCCTTCCCTGGTGTTTTGAGTTAGACTCAGTAGCAGCTGGGACTGAGCTAGCCTGAAACCAGGAGCCAGAAGATGCGCTCATGTGCCCCTCTGGTGCTTGAGCCGTCCTGTTCTGCCTTCCAGGTTAAGAAGAGCTGGCCTGGAGGCACAGTCACCTCTCTGGTGGCTTTCAGGTCTTCCACGCAGGGGCAGCCCCACGTAGTACCTGCTCTGCGAACTTTTGTATTTTAGATAACACCATTAAAAAAAGCAAGAACCCTGACACAGACTGAGAAAGTGTTTGTTAATTTTAACATTCAGATCCAGGTTTATTGGGTTATAGAATTTTTTTCTGTTTAAAGATTAACATATCATGAAAGTCAGAATTCTGGAGAGGGCGACAGAGATCCCTTCTACTCCTTGACTCCCTGGATGGTGGCAGTGACAGCCTGGGTCAGGTGGAAGGCAGGAGCCAAGAGCTTCGTCGGCCTGCCCCACGTGGATGCGAGGGCACAGACACTTAGTCCGTCTTCCACTGCTTCTCTCTGACCATTAGCTGGGCAGCTGGCTCAGGTGGAACAGCCAGCACACAAACCGGCACCCGTATGGGATACTGGCTTCCTGGGCAGTGGCTTTCCCCATGTGCTGCAGTGCTCATCTCGGTTATGGAATTGTGGGAGTCTCTTCTCACTGGACTGTGAGAAGGCTGTTAGCTAAAAGTGAGGAGGAGGTGGGGCGGAGAAGGCCGTAAGTGTAGGATTACCAGGCAGAACTCAGCGTGCCATTTGAAAGGGCTGATCGGAAGTGTGAGGCTGAGGCAGTTGACTCAGCAGTCTCCTCAGTTGTATTTTCCATGTGATTCTGTCCTGCCTGGAGTTCAGGCCCAGGCAGATACTGGACATTACCCAGAGCCAGGCTTTGGCTGGCTGAGTACGGTGCAGAAGAGCAGTTGATAAACACTTCAGTGTTTCAGTGTTTTTACTCCACAGAAGCCTCGCTGTTTCAAAATATACTTTGACCCAGTTCTGCTTCTAGAAATTTATTTTAAATGCAAGGTATCTTCTAAATACATGATTGTGGCACAAATATTTGCAATAATGTTTATTAAAAATACTATTTTATAGGAGAAAAAGATATTAATAGCTTAAATAGCTGTAAACTGTAAATTGATAAAGCAATTATGATTATATTCAATGCAATAATAGACAATTGAATATTTAATCACATAGAATGATTGTGATGTTAGCTTTGTTCTCTTTAGTAGTGGGATCATGGGTGCTAATCTGCTTATGCTCATCTGTTTTTATTGCATATATATTTACCTTTTCATCATAAAAATGTTGCTGTGGGCGTTGAGCAGAGTGCTTAAGCTGCTGGTTGGAATGACCGTGTCCCGTGTTTAAGAACCGTCTGTTTGCTCTTTGAAGGCCAAGTCGGTACCTGCTCTTTGACCTGGTGCAGTACATCTATGCTGTGGCTCACAGGCCCTTCCTCCCATACCCCATGCCGCACTTTGCCTACCGGTGAGTACAGTGCTGCTTTTCTGTCCCCTCCTTTAAAGAGCTGACTTGACACATTTGGAACTAGTGCCTGCCTAGAAGTGCAGGGGTCTGTCTGTAACAGTGCAGGGCCAGGGTCTGAATCAAAGAGGGGCTCCTCGTGCCCCGATGCGAGCCGAGGGACGAGTCGGGCGTCTAGGAAAGGGGCATGTAGATTGGTGCAAATGACAGAAACTGTGTGTGCAAGGGAGCTGCAGCTACAGTGTCTTCAAACTGCAATGGAAATTTGGAACCGGGTTGTAGAAGGAAGCCGTCGGCAGAGAGCGCCTCTTGGTGAGTCAGTGTGGCTGCAGTCGCTGGAGGAGCCAGGACAGTTCAGCTCTGTCCTGTGTCCTGCCTTGTCCTCCTGGTTTACTTCTTTGCAGGTCTGAAGTCTTGAACTTAATCATGTCATACCGAGTGGCCTGATCAGGAAGGTCTTCACATTTGTCAGAAACTGATTTATAAACCAATGTGACAATTCACTCTTCTCATTCGTATGCTTAGTCATTCCACAAATGTCTGGTATTCTTAGGCAGTGTATTAAGTCCTAAGCAATTACAACAAACCTTCGAAAAGCCTGTGGTCTGATGTGGGACTCAGACAATTAGGACACAGAGTGGTGACTGCTTATTCAGTGGTCTATCCTTTGGGCTTTTTGACTTGATCTCACTTGATCCTCACACTGACTGAAAGCAGACGCCACAGAATGATGCGGACTGCCTCCTCTAGAGGACCAGCTGAGTGTGAGAGTCAGTCAGAGAGGCAAAGGAAGAGCGCTCAGACAGTGAAGAGAAGGAAGAAGACGGAGTGTTTCAGGGAGGGACTGGATGTTGTAAGAAGGGGGCATTGCTGTGTTCCGTGTGTTTGCCCCAAAGCAGAGCCGGGCCCGTAGTGGGTGCTCTTGTTGATAGGTGTGCAATAAAGCGCTGCAGAAAAGTCACGGATGTGAATGGACCAGCACCTGTCCCGTGAGCAGTGCTGTAGAGCAGATTCCAGGGCTGCTGGTGAGAGCCCTGGAAGGGATGCTCTGTGGCAGGCATGTTGGTCCGGAGCTAAGCTGTTATTGTTGCTGGAGAAATTCTGGGCGGTCTTTTTTTCCCAAAATTTATTTACACCACTTATTAGAATAATGGTTTTCTATTTAAAAGCTACAGAACCCTGTATTCAATGAATATTTGTCCAGAGGCCCTTCTGGTAAATCAGATAAAAAAGTAGAAGTGATCTAGCTGTAGTGAGGTGCTCAGAGCGTGTACTCTCAACCCCTGACCCTTCAGGGCTGGTTGGAAAGTCACTGCCCTGAGCACAGTTACGGCAGGCCTAGGGATGACGTGCCCACGCAGCCCTCACTGTTCACTAGAGCAGAGTGGAGTCCTCAAGGCAGGTGGCCCCTCTTGTCCTCCTGCTGACTTGACTATGGGTCTTAGTTTTTTTGCTGTTGGTATTTTGGTTCCCAGGGCCACCACACCCAGAGTTGTATTTCACAGCTGGCGCACTGTTCCACTTGCCCTGTGTCCTTCATGGCAGCGGGCTGGCATGTCTGTGGTTTAGAGGGCATTGGTTTTCACAGACTTGGTTGAAAGTTGGATCTTGTCTGTCGGCTTTGTTGGTTTTGGCTCTGTGTTTAAGATGCACAGTCTCTCCGGGAGAACAATGGTGCCAGTAATTACAGTGGTCACGTGGGTTGGCTTGATGGGAAACAGACTAAAAAGCAGAGGTGGCCTCGAGGTCGTAGCACCCAGATGTAAGCTATTTACAAAGACCTCAGACAGTGCTTGCCTTGGCACAGGCCTGTGGCCATTAGAAATTGGCTTCAGCATTGGGCAGAGGGACACTTAAGCATCTGTGCCATCTGCATTTATTCTCCCAGGATGATAGCAAGACTCTTTGAAATCACTCCATTTGAGCCCTGGACCACGCGGGACAAAGTGGAGCGGGTGAGTGTGCATGTGGTTGGCATCGTAGAAGCTGGGCAGACGGCTGCGGGCACTGGAGAGTCAGGATCTTGCTTTGCTTGCTTGCTTGCTTGCTTGGAGTTTCCATGCTCTTGTCTGTGATGTTGCTTTTGGCTTGAGCCAGTCTCTCTAGTCACGTGTTGCCCCTCATCTGTCCACCCCTGTGGTGGCCCAGGAAGCGGTGGCTCTAATTTGTTTCGGCCTACCATTTTTAAAGATTGATTTATTTTTATTGGGAAGGTGGATTTACAGAAAGAAGGAGACACAGAGAGAAAGATCTTCCATCTGCTGGTTCATTCCGCAAGTGGTTGCAAAAACCAGAGCTGAGCTGATCAGAAGCCAAGAACCAGAAGCCTCCTTGGGGTCTCCCATGTGGGTGTGGAGTCCCTAGGCCTTGGGCTGTCCTCAACTGCTTTACCAGGCCACAAGCATGGGGGCTGGTGGGAAGTGAAGCAGCGTGGACATGAACTGGTGCCCATGTGGGAGGCTGGTACTTGCACACGCAGATTAGCCAGTGGAGCCGTTGTGTGTGTCCCGTCTCTCTCTTATTTTAAGGGCCAAACCACCTTTGTGGTTCCCGACCAGCTTCGTCTGCTAGAACTTGCTGCAGTGGCAGGAGTGCTCTGTGCCTGCCTTGTCACATAGCCATCAGCAACATGTGACATTGAGCACTCGACATGGGACCAGTGTGACCGCAGAAATGAAACTTGAATTTTAGTTAATTTTAACTAATTTAAACTTGAATTTAAAGTGGACCTTTGGCTCATTGCTTGCTGTGTTAGCACAGGGCTAGACCTGCAGCAAGGGCCCTTCAGACAGTGCGTGCCAGATCTCACTCCGCCGTGTTCCTACTTTTTTAAAAAAGTTTTAATTCTCAAACTTCATAATCTTTTCTTTTTTTCTTCTTCCTTTTTTTTTTTTTGGAAGACTTATTTATTTATTTGAAAGAGGGAGAGACAAAGAGACTTTTCATTCATTAGTTCACTTTCCCAGTGGCTGCAATGGCCCTGGTGGTACAGGCCCACGCCAGGAGCCAGGAGCTGCTTCTGGGTCTCCTGTGTGAGTGCGGGAGCTCAAGTAGCTGGCCCATTGGCATGTCCTACACGAATGCGTACTTAGCATTAACCCAGTGTTGATGCAGTGGGCTGGTTCAGAGACTGCAGTGCTTGATAAAAGAATGGCAGACATTTGATGAAGGATCAGTGCTGTCCCCACTTGCAGATTGGTTCTGTTAATTTGCTTTATACAAGATCTGGGAGCTTTGGTCTTATATTTCATTCCTCTTAGCTACAAAACAAAAGGGGTTTGTTTGTTAGCTCTGTAGAGAGCGTTGGTCCCCCAGGCTGAGTTCACTGGAAAGGCTGAGGAGTACGTGGGCTGGCTCCACGGCGAGGAGTGGGTACTGCCTGCTCCTGTTAATGGAGGTGTGAGATGCTGAGCACAGGCACAGCAGGCGCTGGGGAAGGAGCCTGCTCTGCCTCGCCGCCTTTGGCTCCCTAATCCCCCTGGGAAGCCAGCCCCGGCCCATGCCACCGGAGACTTGTACATCTGGGATGCAGATGGGCTTGGGTTTTATTTATTGGGTGGCTCATCTGCGGTGTGTCCTGTGCTCAGTTAGGGAGACTTGGTAATCTGACTTTTTCCCTCCCTCCACTCCTCCTTAAGCCAGGAGTCTCTCCATGTGTTCTTAGAAGGCAGTGAGGTCTCAGCTGAGCAGTAAGAGTTTGCTGTGGGGGCATTTTGTGTTCCTGATGAATGTTCAGCATCCTCTCTGGTCCTTTGTTTATTCAAAGAATTACATCACAGACAAGGTGTTGCCACATCTGCCCGGCTTGGAAGACCTCGGCATCCAGGCGACACCGCTGGAGCTCAAGGCCATTGAGGTGCTGCGGCGTCATCGCACTTACCGCTGGCTGTCTTCCGAAATTGAGGATGCAAAGCCGTCCAAGATCGTCACTGCCCCCTGAGCAGCCCTGGGGCACTTGGCTGCTGACCAGCGGCCGACCTACATTCTTTAGGGAGTCTATACGTAGTCGTAAAGCTCCCTCTATTAAAATGTCTGAAGCTAAATTCTGCATTGTTTTATTTATTGATCTGTAAAATGAGAAATCTAGTCACACTGCAGACTTGAAGATAATTTTCTTTAGGCAGTCACCCTTCCTTCTGTAGGCACCATATCCATGGATTCAACCAACTACAACAAATCAAAAGCAATTGAAAAAATTTGCTTCCATACTGAACATACACAGAGGGTCTGTTTTTCTGGTTATTACTTCCTAGATGATACAGTGCAACAACTATTCATATGACGTGTTATATTAGGGGTTATAAATAATTCCGGGATGGTTGAAGGTATGGGGCAGATGTATATGGGTTTTATGCAAATGCTGCACCGTAAGGGACTTGGGCCTCCACAGATGTTGGTATCTGGCAGGTGTAAAAGAGGACTCTGGACCAATCCCCAGAAGAAGTGGAGGGACAACGTGGTGTACTTAATAATGATGTACAAATCTTTGGCTTTTTGAAATGCTGTAAGATTTGAATTTCCCTGTGCCATGCCACTTCTAGCATCTATTCTGGAAGACAGGGACCCCTCTTTAATTTCAAAATATTGTGACGAACTGAATACGTGATTGTCATTTCTTCTTCATTAGTTGAGAAAACTACAGTGTATTGTAACCATTCTGAATTTAGTCACACTGACGATCTTAAAATTTATTTAGTGATATCTGCACACATTTGAAAAAGCAGTGTGCAAAGGACGTGAGCGTTGCCTGGAGACTGGATGGTCAGGCCTTTCACGGGAAGTTGTGACTGCTGTCCTGGTCCTGAGCTCTTGGAGACCTCCATCCGCCTTGCTGGGGGCACCACTCTTGGGTCTTCCTAGACCCAAGCACATGCCTCAGTCTCCATGTCAGCGGTGCCCACGAACCCGAGGAACAGTTGGTTCAGTGCTGGCAAGCCCCCACCACAGCCTCGTTCCAGACTCCGTAGTTCACAGTGAAGTCAGCCGTCACCATCGAGGTGGCTCGGGGCTGCTCGCGGTTCCGTTGGATCTTGGCCCTTGCTCTGTGGGACGGGAAGGTCAGCACAGACCCTCTTCAGAGAAGGGCCTGGGGGGTGGAAGGCGAGTCCTCACCTGTCCTCTGTGTGCCCGAGTCCCCACAGGGCATCAGTGCCACCCGGGAGCTTGTCTCAGTGCAGGGTCCCCAGCCCTCTCCCTGGTGGAATCCAAATCTGCCTGTTAACCAGGTCTGCAGGAGATTTGTGTGCACAGTAGCGTGCAGGGAGCTGGGACGTGCAAGAGCTGTGCCCAAGTTTAAGGTGATTGTGGTCACGAAGCTGGGTTGTCGAGCCGCACCCCACAGCTATAGAATCAACATTCCTAGGAGGGCCCAGGAATTTCATTTTCATGAACTCTACTGATTTATACTCATGTGAGATCCAGTTTAGTAGACAAAGGAGGCCAACTCTGTATTTTTTCTGTCTTCTATTACTTTGGATGACACCCCATAAGCCAGCCCGGTAAGCACACAGATGGGCAGCATTAATCTGATACAGTGATTGATACAAAAGTAACGGACTGTATCTTCTCCTACAATGTCTAACCTGCTGCTAGTGCCCATTCTCATCTCTGTAGCTTGTGGTTGAGAAGCTACTGTCCTCAGCCCTGACAGTGGAGGCTGACCCCTGTGAGAGCAGGTTAGCAGGCATTAACATGTGCAGCGTATGTCACGTAGGGAGCTGGATGGGAACGGGGGGCAGCCAGGACACAAACGAGCACTCATGCTGGATGCCAGCAAATGCAGGTGAAGGATTAGCCTGTTGAACTACCACACTGCCTCCTCAATATAGATTTTTTAAGCTTCCTGGATGGCAGCCTATTAGTACAGACGTTTCAAATTATGTAATTTATTGCAGTAAAAATACCATTTTTTTAAGGTCATAAACTCAACCCGGCAATCAATTTATAAACAGTGGATGTAGCAGATGCTTTTAAGGAGTTCCTATAATTGAGTTACTTAAACTTCCTTAGATATTTTAAACTGCATTTTAAAATAAATTCTCTAAGTTTGTAACTGACTAATATACAAAACCTTGCCATGTACTGAACGACATTCTAGTCAAACAAATTAATAGCATAGATAAGAATCATAAAGTCTGGTGTCACGATACTGTTTACAGACCATGAAACTCTCACATTTTAAAGACTAAATTAACGAAGTACGTATTTTAAATTGGAATCACAAGCACCCGCTTTGGCAACACAGCCACTCAGATTGGAATCAGAAGATGAATCAGATGGCAGTGCTAAATGTGGAATGTGGCGTGGTGACGCTGAGGGTGAAGCCACTGCCTGTGGTACCCGCACCCCGTGTTGGAGTGCCGGTTTTGCTTCTGATCCAGCTCCTGCTAACGTGCTAGGAAAGTAGTGGGAGATGGCTCTAGTACTTGGCGCATCTGCCACTCCCATGGGAGACCCAAACGGAGCTCCTGGCTCCTGGCTTCCACCTGCACTCGCCTGGGCTGGGCAGCCTTCTGGGGAGTGAAGCAGAGATGGGAGATCTCTTTTTCGCTCCCTCTCTTTTTGTCACTATGCCTTTTCAATAAATAAATATTTAAAGTGCATAAAAGTATTGGTTGCATTGTAAATGCTTTAAAGACCGTAAGCATGAGACAGCGATGGTCTGCATTATTCATGATCTGCTAAGCCTTTCAGAGTCTGCTAGGCAAGGACTGTAGCTACTAGGCTACTGTGCCGGACCCAAAAGGACTATTCTTGAAGCATTGAGTGTTTGAAAAGTTCATGAAAAAGCGTGTTATGGAAAAACTATGGAGGGTCACATTTCAAAAATGTTTTTTGGCACCAGTTTCCATGAGGTCACTGTAATTCTCTTGTGTGAGAAGTGATGGCATGGGCGGATGATGGTAATACCTGCATTTGCCACGAGTCCAGAACAACGTTTTATACTTTTTATCATGCAGAAAGAATTACTTCTTGATGTGTTAAAAATGCAGATTTTTGGCAGCTTTCCCTGCGCATATCTGCACTTGACTCAGGAATTCTGATTTTTAGTAGATAAGAGGATGAGGCTGTTACTCACATTGTTTGATAATCACAACCAGTGATTCGGAAGTGATTGATTCTTGGACTACATTCTGAAAAAAAAAAAGATTGTCAATCTCTTCTTTTTAAAAGTCCATTTATTTATTTGGAAGACATAATGAAAGAGAGAAGCAGGGAGAGAGAGAGAACATTTATTCACTAGCCTTAACATCAGATCTGAGCTAGTCTGAAGCTGTGAGCCAGGAACTTCACCTGAAAACTTGAACCATCACCCACCGCTCTCCGGACACATTAGTAGGAAGCTAGCTAGGGAAGAACATCAAGGACTTGAACCTGGACTCATATGGGATGCTGGCATCGCAGCGGTGGCTTATCCACTGCATGCCCATGCTTTCCTTTATTGTCTATCTTAGATCACAGCAGGTCAGTTCCTAAGGAGCCTCCAAGGTGAAGGGCAGGGCTATTGTGATGGAGCTGGGCAAGAGCTCGGAACATGAACCATTGCAAGGATATCAGCCTGGTTGGCAATGCCCGGGCATCTGGGAGTTGACAAAGTGTTCCTCCTTACCCTTTTCCTTGGCAGGAGAAAATATGAAACGGACTGTAAAGCAAAGGACGGAGCATGAACAAAGAAGGGCACCCCCATCAACCTGCAATGAATGACAAGACCAACCCCCCAAAGATAAAGCAGCACAGACCCCCAGAGAAGCTCTTTCCACACTCGATGCTCTTCCGGCAGTGGGGCCAGGAGCTCTCTGAGGCCCAGCAGAAGGAAGCGCAGGACCTGTTTGAGAAATTTGGCTACAACGTGTACCTTAGTGACCGGCTGCCCCACAGTCGCAGCATCCGTGACACGCATGATTCCAGTTGGGCCAGGCCGGGGTCCCTCGGGACCTTGATGTAGGTGGGGGTGCACTTTGGGAACTGTGAACATCAAGGGTTGAAGGAATGGGGATTTGGTGATGTGGGGGTTCAGGCCGAATAAGCAGAAATCCTGTTCTTAACCTGCTTTATTGCTGGTAATTGGCAGGTGACCCGCCTACAGACAGCTCCTGGGCAATAAGCAGAGTTGTCAGCAAAAACAGTCTAAAACCTTCTGAAGCCTTGGGCCTAATGAGTAGTTATCTCAGTGTACAAACGAAGGCTGTGTAAGGATTAGCGAGAGTCACTTCCAGTTAGCAACTCTGCAGCCTTGAGTTTTCCTCAAATTCTCTGCTTGGATTCCTCTGTTCTCCCACCTAATTGGAAGCTTCTTCTCTCTCCCCAGGCTGTCTGCTTCTCCCATTGTCTTCTGTGTCTGCCTCTACCATCTTCCTTTGCCATTAAAAATGAATAACAGCTTTGTGCAGCTATGATTCATACACCCTACATCTCATGCATTTGAGGCACACAATTTGTGGTTGCAAGTTTATGTGCATAGTTGGTCACTGTTACCACAATGGAATTTAAAAATGTTTTCGTCGGTTCAGAGAAAACCAAAGCAAAACCCCAAGTCCATTAACAGGTGCATCTCATTGCCCCACAACTTCCTTTTCCCTAAGTAAGCCCGAAACTTTTGCTTTTATCCTGTTCCTGGGGACTTATACATTCTGGATCTATCCTGTAAGTCCTTCTGTGACTGGCATTTCCTTTTCTCTCATAATGATTACAGGTGACATCCATGTTATAGCATGTCAGGTTCATCTTTTCTGTTGTTGCATAATCTTTAAAAATGTTATTTGTTAATTCATCTAAAAGGCTCGGTTGCGAGAAGCAGTGAGAAGAGCGACTGCTCATCTACTGGTTCACTCCCCAGATGCCTGCAACAGCTGGGTCTGGGCCAGGTTGAAGCCAGAGAAATGAAAGTTTGCTCTGTGTCTCCTATGTGGGTAACAGGAGGCCAGCTACTTGGGCCACCACTGCTGCTTCCCAGAATGTATTGTCAAAAATAACCTGTTGTAAAGACACAGTGCATTTGGGTTGATTCTCCACTTGGTGGCCATTTGGATTATTTCTAGTCTGG